TTTTAAGAAAAAGTACTCAAGACACACCGTGGTGTTTGGGTAATCAGACATTCAAAAATGAAAATATAAATAAACAACTCAACTTAATACATTCACTGTCTCCTCTCTATTTCTCTCAAGTAATATAATACGTTTAAAATATTCCATTTCTAAATTAAATTTCTATTATTACTAAACCTGTTTTAAAACTTTATCAGTTTACAATTACCAAGATCAAATTTAACTTTAAATCAAGAAGTTATCAATTCAGGTATCCCTTCCAGATGTATTTTAGTTCTTAATTTCTCTCATCCCTCCTTTTATCACCAATCTCATTTATTTCTTCTTCCATTACACAATAGCTATCTTAATTAAAAAAAATAATATTAAACCTTAATTCACTTCAATTCATTACACAAACTTCAAATTTCATCCAATTGATTGTCATACCTTATCACATCTATGTTATTGTACAAAAAAATCATCTAATTAAATTAAAACATTCCATTAATTATTAAAACTATCCCAATCTAAAAAATCAACATTTTTTCAATTCCAATACCTAGTTTTCATCAAAATATATCTATTATTCCAAGAAGTATTCTTAATCTATTTAAAATATCCATTCTAAAAATCACCCTCATGTATATATGTTTATATTTTTTCTTGCTTCTAACTCTAAAATCATAATCCTTAAAACAAACTATAAATCCAATATTGCCTTTTAATCCATTACACAGTTTTAACTTTCTCTTTTTAGTCTAATTCTGGCTTTTTTCCTGTGCCAAGAGGTTTCTATAGGGACGCTTCCCTTTCAGCCAATGGATCTATCTTTGTTGCTTGCAGTAGCCTTTGAAATAATAGAAATTCCATCCTCTGCATTAGACGTCTATTTCTCTCCTCCTTGAAGTGTCGTTGCTTTGTAGTTTGAAATCTCAGTCTTTGCTTCTTCTGTTCCTCAAAGTTGCAGATGGAAGGTTTGTAAGAGAGAATAAGTTCCTCTTTTATCTCTGTTGATTCCTCTTCTAATATATTTTAATTTATACCATAGTCAGATGTAGCCTGGACATCCATTTGAACATTTGAAGTGAAATCCCTAGATCTTAGTTCTGTAGTAAACTTTTTCATTGTAGCACATATTTCTGCAGTAGCCTCATAGATCTTTTCCAATATAAGTATACAGTTTAAATGTGACTGAGGTTTCTCCATTTTGATAGTAATTAAAAAGAGTCTCTTTTTTCTTTTTTGTGGAGGCTATATTTAATATAATTTAGGCAATATCCACCCCATAGTTCCCACAGTTACCCAGCTTATCTTTCCTCTTCAAAAGTATTTTGAAGGTCAGTTATCTTCAAACCAAGTAACCAGAAGTTGCAGTATTAAATTTTCGCCACTAGATATCCTCAGTAAGTTAAAAAAGGTCTTTTCCAAATGCCATTTCCCTTTTTCTGTCTTTTAAAGTATAATGTGAAAAAGAAATAATCTTCCAGCATAGGATGATAGTACAGTTCTTAGAAAAAGAGGAAAAAAACAGAATTTTTTTTCTGTACCCCCCAAAATATAAAAGTAAATATAGTCTTTAAAATTTTGTTCTATTTTTATAGAACGCCTTTCTTCCCAAAAAATGTAGAAGCTGCCTTTCAAGCCAGGGAAATAATTCCAACAAGGCTCTTTCAGGTAGCAAATACAAAATAGAATAGAGAGAATAGCAAAGAAAAGTCTCACCCGGATTCACCATGGGGTTCTTACAGCTTAGATGTTCTTTGACTTGCGGTTTGAAGCAGTAGGGTTATCGGCCATTTTACTGGCCGATCTTCTTCTCTTTCAGCCCTCAGAGATGGCTCAGACAGCTGAGGGAGCCACCACTCCTCATCAGCCGAGCAGAGCCTCCTCGACAGAGGTCGCACCCTCCAGGGTGACTTTGGACCCGCATAAGGGTCTGCCAGTGCAGGGAAAGCTAGCCGACGAGGAGACAAGTCTCCCCATAGGACTAGAGATGCCGCGAACCGGAACCGCCATTTGAATAATTTTCTGTACAACAGTTCATTTAGTGACTGTTCAAAGTTTCAATATCACTGAAAAAAAGTGACTTATGGCCATTTTTCACACTTATGATCATTGCAGCATCCCCATGGTCACATGATCAAAATTCAGAGGCTTGGCAACTGACTCATATTTATGACAGTTGCACTGTCCTGGGGTCACATGATCACCTTTTGCGACCTTCTGACAAACAAAATCAATGGAGAAACCAGTTTTATTCAACAACCATATTATTAATTTACCAACTTAACAACTGTGGCAAGAAAAGTTGTTAACAAATGTTTTACTTAGCAACAGAAATATTGGGTTCAATTGTGGTTGTAAGTTAAGGATTACCTGTGTTAGCGAAGCATTTGAGAATTTCCATTGAGGGATTCAATAATAGAATTTTGGAAATGCTGTTTTGCTTAGTTACATTTTTGACTTCACTGCTATGTGATCTTAGCCTTTGTGCTCTGAAGATTGTCTTTCCAGGTAAGCTAAGTCAGAAAACAGATATCACAAAAACCTTTTGGACTCAATTTTATTATTATGAAGTATAATAGTCAAATCTTGAAAGCTTGAGAGAGTTTGTCCCCATTGTTATATCAAAAAATCAAGATGGAGGAATTACGTGTTTCTTTCTCACACAGCCCTGGCTCTCTTTCAAGGCTTAGCTGATGTTTATTTAAAGGCTTTTGCATTCTTTCTTCAAGGTTATCTCCATATTCCTTTATAGCAGACTAAATAGATGCAATGGCTGACTCCAACTAGTTGTAAGTTACTCAACAAATCATGACTAAGTGTAATATATTAACTATGTAAAAAAGTGAAAATAACTTCATGCTGTAACTTGTAATCAGCTGCTCTGATTTTATATACACACACATACACATACAAATACATATTCATATATCATTTAATAACGGATTCTCTGCCCTAATGACCGTTTTAAGCAGTGCTTTTTTTCTAAAAAAAAAAAAAAAAAAAAAGGGGGTGCCGGAACTCACACGCGTCATACAACCCACCTTGCCTACCCTACAAGGTTCCATCAAAAAAAAGGTGCCGGAACTCTGTTCTGGGTGTTCTATGAGAAAAAAAGCCCTGGTTTTAAGTATAAAAAAATAATATCCCCAAAGGTAGCATATTATTTCATGCATTTAATACTTAAATAAGAACAATACTAGAGATACATAAAACTAGATTATAAGCAAGAGTTTTAAAATATTAATGAAAAAATATTAAATAATACCTGACAAAAAACAATCGAATAATGTGTACGATAAACCTATTTGTCACAGGAAAGTTATGAGCATTCTTTCATGGCTTCCGAAATGGACGATAATATAACCCTTGAAATCTATATTTCTATTGGTTCATTGTGTCCTAGCTTCGTATTGGTTTCATTGTTTGAGAATACCACTCTTCAATGCCTTGGTAAGGCCACACTTGGAATACTGCATCCAGTTTTGGTCACCACGATGTAAAAAAGATGTTGAGACTCTAGAAAGAGTACAGAGAAGAGCAACAAAGATGATTAGGGGACTGGAGGCTAAAACATATAAGGAACGGTTGCGAGAATTGGGTATGTCTAGTTTAACGAAGAGAAGGACAAGGGGGGACATGATAGCAGTATTCCAATATCTCAGGGGCTGCCATAAAGAAGAGGGAATTAAGCTATTTTCCAAAGCACCTGAAGGCAGGACAAGAAGCAACGGGTGGAAACTCATCAAGGAGAGAAGCAACCTAGAACTAAGGAGAAACTTCCTGACAGTGAGAACAATTAATCAGTGGAACAGCTTGCCTCCAGAAGCAGTAAATGCTCCAACACTGGAAGTTTTTAAGAAGAGACTGGACAGCCATTTGTCCGAAATGGTGTAGGGTTTCCTGCCCGAGCAGGGGGTTGGACTAGATGACCTCCAAGGTCCCTTCCAACTTTACTATTATTATTATAATTTCAGGGGAATTTGGGGCATAACACCAAATGATAGCTTGTTGTTTGGCACTTTTTCTCTTTATGTTATATGTTTGTTTACTGAAGTAACAAATACCAAGGGAATTAACATGTAGTATTTCATAAATGTATAATGAGTTTTATGAAATAGCAGTTGGTGTTGCCTTCCTGAGAGGTGGTGCTGCGATTGGTTGGCGGCCATGCCACGAATGGGGATTGATCATCTCCCAAATCCCACCGCTGTCAAAGGAGGAGGAGGAATGGGGAGAAGAAAGAGGGAAATTGGCCAACCTGGCCAGGCACCAAAGTGCCACCGAAAAAAGTGGAGTCTCTATGTGTGCCTGCTCTGAACATATCTCTATGGAGTCAAATGTTTTGATCCATCTAACCTGACATTTATATTGATGAACAACTTGCCTTTGAAGTTCAAGACCTCAAGGATTTTTTTCCTTCATGATTCCTCTAGAGATCTATTTGCCAGCATAGATTAAGAACAGAACATAGGATTTATTGGCATATTAAGTATGTGCTTTATTTTATGTGCTAAAAATATCTTTGTTATTAGATTTAGAAGATAATTGATAAAACATTATAGGTACTTCCTAGGTTGTTTTTGACTTTGTTACTCTAACATTTTTCTTATCTTGATTTGTATTTTGTTAAGCAAATACAATAAGTTACATTTAACTTCTCATAAATATTACAATGTAGATGAAAGGAACTGAAATGTAAAACCTGTGATTTTAAAACTGTAGGAATAATTTTTATTGCTTTGGAGATTTTTGGTAAAGTTATGTCTAAACCTGTATTTATGTAGCATTTGAAAAAATATTTACTTGAGAACAATTTCCCTTGCTTCAGAGATCAGTTATTTATTATTCTTCATAAGCTATACTTTATTTAACAGCCTGTCATTAATTAGATAAGCTTTGCTATAAATAATCCAGTAATACTGTAATAATCATCCCATTTTAGAGAGAGGGGAAATGGAGATAAATAAATGTTTGAAGACACTGAATCAATTTGTTGTCCAGCAGGGATTTAATTGAAATCCAAACAACTTGACTCAGTATATAGTTTATTTTGGAATATATATATTCTAAATGCATCTTGGAAATACACTTCTTTTCTGCTGCAGCCCAGGGCGTTTATTCAGTTTAAACAGGAATCAAGAGGTTGATCTGTGAGGACACATTCTCCAAACTGTCTGCCCTAAAGAGAATTAGGAGGCGGGTTTCTAAGTTTGGAGGGAGTGTGTTTGCCCCTTTTCCAGAGGAATAAGAGATGACTGAAAGCAAATATATGGACCACTAGATAAAATTCAGATGGACTTCTAAGTAGTTTGGTGAGTGCAATTTTGTTCTTCCAAGTTTTCCATTTGCTTTCTTTTACTTAAAAACACATGAAGCAGCTGTCTCAGGAGATCATTCATTAATAAAAACTTCAAGGAGACGTTTAACACTTAAAATTAACTGATTTGGTAATGAATAGGATTTTGTGGACAACAGCATGAATTCACCATCCTTTGGTCTGTGCCTCTAAAGGGAAAAGTGTGTCTTTGTTATCAAGGCATTTTAGTGTTGCTGTGCTTTGAATAGATTAATGATGTTGTGTGTGGATGACCTCACTGTGAAGATAAGAAGAGGATTATTAAATAAGTTTTCTTACCTCCTAGAATGGCTGTGTTTGAAATGCATTGCTAACTGTTTCTAGATCCTTGTGATTGTTATGAATTATGGGAACAAGCCCTTATTAAAAAAAGGGGGGGGAATCACTTTCTATGAAGGAAAATGAAACAATGAACATGTGTGTTAAAGCTCTGTGGGGTTTTCTTTTTTCTTTTTGTATTTTAGATGTCATCCTTTACCTGAGACTTCCAGAGAAGACAAGGCAGGGCAGAGAAAAGGAGGAAGAATACGCAACAGCTTTTGAAGGTAAGAGGAAGAATAATTATCTAAAATAATTTACTAATAGTTATTTAAACTATTGCCTCATGCTTTGTATCTCTAAGTTCAAAAGAAAAGAAATAAAAAGCAGAATATTGCAAAAAGGTATAAAAAGCATACAAGATTCCACAGTTCTGTCTGGGTACAAAATCTAATCCAAGAATAAATTTTCTTTCAAATAGAGAAAGGAAAAGGGATATCAGTCAGATGACCGTATAATCTAGCAGCAAATAAGAGATGCCAATATTATATGGGATATAATACTGCCAAATGTGTATTTATTACAATTGTAAATAACTATGTTGAGAAATACAATATTCATATTTGTCAGTGGTATCTACATATTCCAAAAAATATTGTTTTTCATACCACAGCAAATACATCTTCCATCCCTTTCTCTTTTCCCTTTCCCTCTTTTGTTTATAAAAATAGGTAGAAAACATTTTGTAATGATGATATAAGGGTTTTAATTTCTCACAATTAGCATTTATAACTGAATACCATGTCAGTAACATTTTTGGGGAATATTATTCTATTTGTGTTTATTTTGTTCCCCTTTTTGTGAAATGCTTACAATTAATATATAAAATGCATAATATGATCTGGTATGCAATCTTTAGCTAAGTGGCAAAAATACCTTTTTTTGAGAAATTAACTTAATATGTGGCTAAAACTGATTAATTAGCATAGTCACAATAAATCACTGGGAACCATATTTTTGCTTCACTGAGCTATATTGAGCATATTTCAAAATCTTTTTTGTTCAGTGGAAAAGTTGGGAACATTTTTAATAATATTTTTATTAAATATTACAATTAAAAAGAAACTAATACAAACTAAAAAATAAAAGAAAAAAATAAGAGAAGTAAAGAAAAAAGCAAAGAACTTCATCTCTAAAGATGAAGATATCCCACATAAAACTTTTTTAATATAAAAATGCACATGGTTGATTGGGGTTCAATGACATAATAAAATGAACTTTGGTGATGTGTACATTAGTTACTATAGGACAGATGTTTATTTATTTGTTTCAGTTCAATTTAGGTGCTTCAGACTGAGCCAAGTAGCTCATAATATAATTAACCATAGAAATATAGCACAGGACAAAATAAGATAGGATCTGGTCATCTATATAAAATCATAGATGGAACCCATCCAACAAGGGGTTCCATCAATTTTAACACAAGGCCTTATGGAATGGTGAAAGTGGTGAAAGCCACACAAATTTAAGGGGGGGGGTGAGGCATCTCATTTCAGAGGTCAGAAGTTGTGACTGATGGCATACTTCTTGACTCCTGATTGATGATTTTGTTGAATTGAAGGAATCCAGAATGCTCCATGATGGAACAACTAAGGAACAATATATTTCATTTTTGAAATGAGAAGGAACTGATATAGTCCCACTCTTCAAGACAGAATGCTTTTAGAGTAGATGGAGACTGCTCTATAACATAAAGAGTAATTTCCTATTCAAATCCTAACCAGTTCCACTTTGACTTAGTTTGAGGATCAGTAAGGTCAACTAGACACCAGATAGTACTTGAATGGAGAACTAACTACCTAACTATTTCAATGCTGTGGTTTTACTGAAAAATTAAAGAAACAGAGCAGAATGACAAACAATTCCTGTAAAATTGTACTTCCTCTCCGCAAATCCTACATGGCTATAGCTATCTGGACCAGGAAAAAAAATGAATTCTTTGTGAAAAGGACCTTTGCTTTTTGAACAATTAAAAGCAGTTAAATCTTAAATCCGATGCACTTGGCTATAAACTGTGCAATATCCTGCACTGAATCAGCAAAAAATCAAACTTGTTCCCAAATCCAGCATAGGTAAGATTAGGCAGCTGAAAGTTAGCTTGTGGGGAGCTGCAGGATGGACCTTTTAATTTCAATGAAAATGAAATATAGCTAATATCCTCTCCATGCCACCCTGTATTTATCATCATGCTGCAGTTCTTAATGTTACTTTTAATGTTTTTTAATGACATGAATAACACAAACATTTTGCATGCTTGTTGTTTTCAAGTAGAAGATTATGAACATACTTAGATATGTTTCTTTTGTTCTGTGGAAGCCTTCCAAAATCAGTTCTCCTATGTCAAAAACTAGAATGTCAGGAAAAAGATTGATTCTAACCATTTTCCTTGATATCTAATGCCACAGCCATAGGTTTTCTATGCACATGAATATTTTTTGATACAAAGAACTATAAACTGAGGCACTACTTGCAGACTTAAGCAAAATTCAGAAATAGTGATTACCTGCTCCATGGACCAAATTCCTTTTGACATGTTAATATTAAGATTTGTTTTCAAAAAGAACATAGTGATGTACAAATACCATTAATTTTTAAGTCTGTGCATATTTGAGAAGGGAGGTTGCATTTGGGCAAAGGTTAATGCCTTCCAAGCTTTTGATAAAGCAGTGTGTTTCTCTGCTTCAGAATACTGGAAGAGGTGTGTTGTGAATTACTTTAGTGAAGAAGGGCACATCACACCCAGCCTTTTTAAGGCAGCACATGTTGCCTTTGCAGGGCAAGGGGCATGACTGAAGTAAATCCCATCCAATTGCCACCATTGGCGATTGAAATAAATGAAAAATAAGCTGTTCATATTTGTTGCCAGTCCTGACAATGGATGGTTAATATAGACACACACGATGAAAAGACATTCATTTCTCCATAAGGAAAAATAAAAATGTGTGCAGTCATGGGGCATATATTTCCAAAGGTGGAAATGTTTGTATGATAGTATCCTATGCTGGAATGGAAAAATCCAATAATCCAAAAATCCTGTCACAATTCTGTCTTCAGTAAAGTTCAGAGCATCTACGGAGACTATCAATCATCCTGGACATTTGTTATCCCAAAGGTGTTTTTCTAGAAGGCAGCTGGAGTTTTGCTTCTCATCCAAGAAGCTTCATCAGTTCTTCAGAGGTAAAACATTTTCAAGAAAAAAACCAAGAAAGCCCACTTGTCTTCTGGAAAAGCATTTTTTGGGAATAAAATTCAAAGCATTGTTGTAAATTGTAAGAGAATTTATCTACATTGTATGTTATACAGTGTGAAAAATTCTTACTTTGAGTAATCTCTTCCACAATTTGGTGCTTTCCAGATGTGATATTGGACTATAACTCCATAGTCCAATTGTCTGGTTATTATCAATTTTGGAATTCTTTTCAGGGATTACAAATCCATACTGCTTCCTTTCACTGAGCAAGATTGATTTGATTTACATCTAACATATAGCAGTTCTAATCAATCTTCCTTTCCATTTCCCAGTCCTTCTTATCCAAGTTTAAAACACATCTGAAATTGATCCAGGGTGTGTTGATTACTTTCAGCATCAAGACATGATCATGGATGTGTAGAAAACCAAGAGATAGTCAACATTTTTGCTTTATGGCCAGTATAGAGATTTTCAAACCAACCAATGCTTGATTTCTTGTTTGCCAGTAACTCATTGCCTCAGCTGGTGTCCCAGGTGCTTGCAAAAACACACCTCACTTCCTTTTCTTTACAATAAAAGAAAGTAAATTTTAACAGAATTTCATATTCTATCTGGTTGACATGCCAGGATGCTCATTTCACCTCCTTTTACCAAAAAAATGCCAGTTCTATAATGGGATTTTGGAAGGCACCCTTTCTAATACAGCGGTTCTCAACCTATGGGTCGCGACCCCATTTGGGGTCGATCGACCATTTCTCGGGGGTCACCAAACAAGGCGATCCGCCATTTTTCCCCCTCAGGGGGTGCCGCCGCGCATGCGTGCTGTGCATGGGGGTGCCGCCGCACATGCGCACCGCACATGGGGGCACCACCGCACATGCGCGGCACGTTTGTGTGACGGGGGTTGCCGTCACACAAACGTTGAGAACCACTGTTCTAATAGGAACATTTTAATTGATTATGTGCTAATCAACTCTTAGTGACCATATATATATATATATTTCTCCCTGACTAACTGTCCTTAACTCCGTCTTGGTATTTCAAATTTTCTACCACTGCATCCATTGCTTCTGTAACTAAGACTCTTCACCTTGTAACAGGAACCTATGTAGTATGCAGCTGTTTGTTTCAAGCAGCAATTGCTCCTTAAAAATTGATATGCCTCAGAATTACAAGTTCACCGCTGTAACATTGCTATCTAAATTTTACTGTCCCAATATTTTGGTCAACATATTGTTTGAAGCTTCTTAAAATGTTCTCTTATAATAAAGCTGGCAGGCAGAATTGGTGAGGTGAGCCTAATAGCAAGATTGCAATTGTTAATTGATGATATACTTGTAATATGTCTAACATGTAATTTGTATCTGCATAAGCGATCTATTTCCTCCTCCCTTTCCCCACCCATATCACCTCCATTTAAATCCTATATCAGTTTAATTATTCTATATATCTAATGAAATGAACGGCAGCTCACCAAAGCTGCATTTTAATAAAATTTGATACTTAGAAAAGGTACTCTCTGATGCATTGGGTCTCATGGTTTTAGATCTGTATTTTAACCTTATGACTATCAACTGGAGGTCTTTATGGTAGCCTTTAAATTGTTAACTGTAACTACTGAACACTAGGTAACTCTAACCTTAATGTATACATCTGTCTAATAATCTAGTCTCTGATCCTAATAGAATTGGTGTTGCTGGAAACCCCTCCCCCCATTCATTACAATATCATCTGATCACGAGATAGGTAATCTCATACTAAAACAGCACTTTCATTTGGAGTCCCTCACAAATTTTATCTGTATAGTCTTGGATTTTCAAATCATAGTAGTAGAACTACTAACTCAGATTATTTTCCAAATTAGTTGACTTAATCTTATTACCAAGATATTAGTGCTTGATTTTGCTCTGAAAGCTGTCCAGAAATTCCATGTTTATAAAAAAGTTAGTCACTGCAATAGATTGCTTGGAAACAATTATCCGAGTGAAACATGGTTGATACCATATTATCTAAACAAAAGATGAAATAAATTTTGAACAATATTTTTTAGTGTTGCATGTTGTAGCTCATTGTTCTCATTCCTCAAGATTATTGGCTTTTTGCTGTGGAATTCAGCAATCTTAAGAAGGACTTAATTAAAATAAAAAAGGGGGGGAGAGCCAAGAACATTTCTTTGTTATTCAGGCAGCTGGCGCGGGGGAAGTGGCTAATACATACAGCTAGTCTTTGAATTAAACTACAGTTGAGACCAGAATTTTAGTCATTGAGTGAAGGGTTGTTAAAGGAAGCTGAGAGTGTGACTGCTTCACTCAACAACTGCAATCCTGGTACTCCCAGTTGCAGCTGTTAAGTGATTTCCTGGTCATTAAGAAGAGAGAACAAAAGAGGTGCTTGCCAGAGGATCTCAGCTTTGCCTACCCTCAAAGAGGCTGGCTGAAAAAGGTCCATCCTGAAATCCAGGCAAGAAATTGGCAGGGAGCTTTGCAGCATGGACATTTGCAGCTAGCGCCCAACATCAAGAATAACCCCTCTCATTTCTGGGGAGCTGATTGCAAATCTCCTGTACTGCATCTGTCCTGAAATCCAAGCAGAATTTGCCATGGAGTGTTTGCAGCTTGGGGTGTTTGCAGTCAACCAGAGACAAAAGGATTCCTTCTCATTTCTTGAGGCTGGATGCAAACACCCCATGCCGGAGACCAAGACTGTATACAAGTAAGGTGACCAACTTTTTTACAATGAGAAGGAGGACACAAATAAATTGAAGAAAAAAAGTGAGTCTAATGCGTGCGTGTGTGCCGTGTTGTGTTTCAGTAAGAAGCCACTTGCATGTGGTGCACTCTTGCACACGGCACACTCTCTGAAAACAATTCTTATGTGTGGAGCGCATGCATTTCGTAATCACATCTAGATGCACTGCACCGAGCCTTGACGAATCGTCATATCAAATACAAATATGTCACATCACACGAAACGGATCGGATCGGCATTGATTGAATACGGAGATTTACAGATTAGTCTTCAAATATCGAAAAGGAGGACATGTAGAACAGTGGTTCTCAACGTTTATGTGACGGCGACCCCCGTCACACAAACGTGCCCCCATGCGGCGCTGCACATGCGCGGCGGCGCCCCCATGCGTGGTGTGCATGCACAGCGGTGCCCCATGCGGAGCTGCGCACGCACGGCGGCGCCCCCATGCGCGGTGGCGCCCCCTGAGGGGGAAAAATGGCGGATCGCCTTGTTTGGCGACCCCCGAGAAATGGTCGATCGACCCCAAATGGGGTCGCGACCCATAGGTTGAGAACCGCTGATGTAGAAGGACACTTTTTGAGAGAGTTTACAAAAGAAGGCTGTCCTCCCTAAAGAAGGATGATTGGTTACCTTAATACAAGGAGAGTTTAATGTTTCACACACACCCCTTTTATAAAATATATTAAAGAACATTGTCAGAGTTGTCACTTGAGTGCTGATACATTTAACATGAAATAGCAAGTTTACCATCAGGTGAGTCAGCTTCTCTTTTAAAATTCTATTTCTATTGAATTTTACTGTGATGTTTGAGCTTACTGTGAGATTTTAGAAAATTATCGCTATAGGTGAATGGTTAAACACCAATGAAGAAGACCGGCAAGAATTTTCTTGAACTCATATGTAACATAAATTATTGTTTATTTAACCATTGTTTAGTAAATAAATAACAATAGCTGGATTCATGCAACATGATAAGATAAAATTAGAATAGCACACGATGATTTATCTATGATTTGTAAATCAAAGTATTATTAAAGAGAGAAGAACACAAGTCTAGGCAGGTTGCATCACATCATCCTAAAAACAGTCATGAAGTAAATGTTTTATGGAATTCAGCTAATTTAATCCAATGACATTCTATTCTAAGATTGGAGAGTATCTTTAATTATTTCAAAATTAGAACGATTCAATAAAATTATAGAGAGATATCTATATCTATATCTCTATCTATCTATCTATCTATCTATCTATCTATCTATCTATCTATCTATCTATCTATCTATTTCTGAAATTCTGGAAAGATTTAGACTCAACAATTTCATTCTGGTGCTTATTATTTGATTCTGACACTATCCACTTTTTAAAAGCAGATTTCCTGACCAAATGTTTCTAAATGGACTGGGCTGCATTGGATTGCAATCCCATAACCCCCAAATCAGGTTAGCCAGAGGGCACTGAGTTGATGAAAGTTGAACTCTGAGGTTAGATTTTTGCATGTCCACACAGAGCTAAGCTTCAGCTGTTATAAATCACTGCATTCATCTTCCTTTTTAATCCACTCTCTCCTTCTCATATGATGTGTAGGCTATGAGGCTTTATTCAAAGCATTTTGGCATAGCTAGTTTTGAAAAAGGATTTGTTATGAAAAGGCCAACATCGGTTTGCAAGGCCATGCTTTGACTGATGGTACTGCTTTCAGGATTTTTGGAACTGGTTTGCAGTCTACTTTCCATAAAGGGAAAAATGCACTTTCCATAAAGGGAAAAATACAATGAGAAGGTCGTACTGAAGGAGCTTCTGAAATACATGAAGCATGTTTCAGTGAACAGAACAGTTGCTGGACAGTCAGCAACATATTCTAATTATTTAGTTTGTGGTAAAGAATGCTAATATTATCTGTAAGATTTCCTTATCATGATGAATTCAGAATCAGTTGCTTTCTTTTATTAATTATAATAGATGTTTGGCCTAACTATTGACACTCTCCATCTGACTATTTACAGCCAAAAGACTAAAAGCAGATTTTGACAATTTGAGACTAATTCTGATATACACCAAATCATTGTTTCTGCTTGCCATAGTTAAGGCTCAAACTATATTTTGAGCTTCCAAAGATCCCCATGTCAACTGTGGTTTAGGGATCTCTAACCTTCCTTGGGTTCAGCTGTGAGTTTCCATTTCTGCCTCAAGAAACTACTTGAGATTAAAACAATGATTGCAACTGTGACTCCCAATTGTTTTGGTATTAAGGACTAAGCCCTTTTTTGAAAGAAAGTCCAGTTGCCTTTTGAAAAAGCACCTTTGGAAGGATAATAACTTGTTCAAGCATACTACTATACCATGAGTGTTATGTAAATGCAGACAATACTTTTGATACAGTCCAGCTAGACATTTAGCACCATACATTTCAATGCACAATAGATAGCTTTCCTCACTTTGGTACCCTTCATTTGTATTGGACTACAGTCATAATTCTTAACCATCATACATAAGTGCTATTATTATAATAAATGTATTTGAACAATATGCACCAGTTTAGAGAAGGTTGGTATATACCAGGGGTCTGCAACCTTAAACAATCAAAGAGCCACTTGGATCCATTTCCCAGAGAAAAGAAAACACTGGGAGCCGTAAAACTTGTGCATGTGCGTGAGGGGGAGGGAGCTTGATTGAAAAGTTCAGTTAAAAAATATAGAGGCTGCTGTGCATGAGTTCTCTCTCTCTTTCCTCTCCCTCTCTCTCTTTCTCTTTCCTCTCCCTCTCTCTTTCTCTCTCTTTCCTCTCTCTCCCTCCCTCCCTCTCTCTCTCTCTTTCCTCTCCCCCTCTCTCTTTCTCTCTTTCCCTCTCTCTCTCCCTCTTTCCTCTCCCTCTCTCTCTATCTCTCCATCTCTCTCTCTTTCTCTCTTCCCCCTCTCTCTTTTCTCTCTTTCCTCTCCCCCTCTCTCTCCCTCTCTCTCTTTCCTCTCCCTCTCTCTCTTCCCCCCCTATCTCCCTCTCTCCGATCTTCTGCTCACCTGGCAAGCTGGCTTCAAGCTGTTCTCCAACAAGCTGACACACATTCTTATTGGGTTCTCTCTCTCCTGCCCTTCCTGCTTCCTGTTTCCTGCAGAGATGCAGCCAAGGGAGGAGCCCCGTCCAATAAGCTTGTGAGCTCCTCGGAGAATAGGGTGAGGCCACTCTCTTTTTTACACACAAACACATACACACACACAGAGAGGGGGGAAGTGCAAGTGCCTGTCTCTGTCTCTGCAAATGGCAGAAGAGGCTGGAAGCCACAGGAGAAGGCTCAAAGATGCCAACCTGTGGTATATACTAATAGTTAATGTAAGCTTACTGACAGTGGAATTCTGGATTAGAATAGTATGATTTTTTTTCTAGAATGGATAATTGAGGTTTTTTTTCTTTTTAAAAGTATTTGCCGTGGAGGTGTGTCAAGATGAATAATTGGAGCTACATTCTTATTGTTTCCATTTTAACTACTTGGTGCTGCACAGATGCTCAAGCTACTGGTAATGTCATACTTTGATATTCAATAAGATCAATTACAAAATATCCTTAGTTTTCAAAAGAAAATAAGGTTCAGGAAATAGATATAATAATCCAAAGACTGTAGAGCAATTGTCATTGATTTGAATTCAGTCACAGCCTTTCCAAATGGGAAAACCTTCCATTTGTGAATGCTGCAGTTTGGCAGCTGTTTGAAAGCTTAGTTTGGAGTTTGGGAAATAAAGGGAAAGGGTGGAAGTCTTTGAATGATCTTGAATGAAAGATCATTCAAAGATCTTGAATGATCTTCAATGATCATAGTTCCAGCTGTTCTCATGTTTACTTAATTGTAATTTTTAGACAATTTTGCATTAAACCACCATTTTTGCCCCATGCTCAGTGCCAATAGGTTTATAGTCCAAAAACATATCGAAATACTAGTTAGGAAGCTGTCCTAGACACTATCCTTCTACAGAAGAACAAAGAAGCAAAAATAAACCACTGCTGTTCAAAATAAGTTGGTATTTCAGCATGGGTGGAGAAAGAAAAAAAATGTAATTGAATAGAGTACATATTTTGGAAAAAAAGGAAAACATTTCTGCAATAATAATTGGAGGATAATGATTCAATTGACATAGTACTCAGTATTCATCAGTAGGCATCTAGATTCCTCCCTCCCAACACAAAATCAAAAGTAAGATATGAAAGCCTCAGTTGTTCATGTAATTTATATTGGTTATGATTGCTAGAAAATTTCAAAAATTGGAATATTTTAAGTAATGATCATGACATTCAGTGGTAGTGAATTAGCCACATCTAATTAATGCTAAGAAAGGAAAATGAAACTATCATGTGTTTCTTCAGTCTGCAGAGAAGCTTCTGTCGCTGATATCGTGTTCATGGTGGATGGATCATGGAGTATAGGACCTAAAAACTTCAGAATCATACAAGACTTTCTCTACACATTGGTTAATAGTTTTGACATTGGAAAAGACAAAATTCAAGTTGGGATGATTCAGTATAGTGATGATCCTCGCAATGAATTCTTGTTGAATTTTTTCCATCAGAAAAAGGACATTTTAAAGAAAATACAAAATCTAATCTACAAAGGTGGGGGTACCAAAACTGGAAAAAGTTTGAAGTTTTTGCTAGATGAGCAGTTCAGTGAAATGGCTGGAAGTCGACACAGTGAAGGTGTTCCCCAAATTGCAGTAGTGATAACAGATGGGCAAAGTCAAGACAACTTTTCTGGGCCAGCAGAAGAAGTCAAGAATGCAGGCATCATACTTTATGCCATAGGCATCAAAGATGCTATTTTGTCTGAGCTTCAGGAAATTGCTAGTGATCCAGAGGAAATGCATGTTTATAATGTGGAAGATTTTGCTAGTTTGCAAGGTATCTCTCAGAACATACTCCAAGTGTTATGTACTACTGTCGAGGAAGCCTCTCAAGAATTTATACATATTTTTCCAGGTAAATTTAAAAGGCTAACTGTTTTCTACATGAAAAATAGCCTCCTACCCCTTATTTTATGTACAACAGATAATATAATCTAACACTTGTGGCTTGTGTAATTTGCAACATCTTATCCAGTGCCAGGCCTATGGTTGGAAATGGGAATCTGTTGTTCATCAAGTGCATGGCAAGGATAAAGCAGTCTCCCCTGCTCTCCCCCAGCCCCCCAACAAGACTTTGCATTATGCATTAACATTATATTGTAATCCTATGAGGTATCTCAGTGGGGTATGCAAACCTCTCTGGGGATGGGTGCACTAAAGACAGGTAAGGCCGTTTTTATTAAAATACTGAGTAGAATAGCAAACTAAAATTGGTCTCCAATTTCTCCAAATTTTTATTCTGCTATGAAAAGAGATGTTCAGGATTCTTTAGAAATAATTTTCAGTAAATTTTATTGCTGTAAAGTGAGTAAGACCACTACCTCCTCCCTATCTCATTTTTACCTCTTTTTTTCGTTCCTAGTGTTTTCCCACAAGTGCAGAATCTGCTTTTTTTTTTTTTTTTGGGGTCAACACTTGCTTGTGACTGGAATTGACCAACCAGCTTGTTGCTTGATGTCATGGGCTGAGAGAGAATGATTGGCCCAAAGTCACCCAGCTGGCTTTCATGCTTAAAGTGGGACTAGAACTCATGGTCTTCTGGTTTCTAGCCTGATGCCTTAACCACTAGACCAAATTGATTCTCTCCTCCTTACTTCCTTGTGTGATGCAATAGGAACCACTTCCGCTACTCAGCCATCTCATAATATTAATAGGATAACTCTTTTCACTGCCGACTATTGTTTACTTTTTAAAATGCATATGCTGCCAATTTTCATTTTATGATCCTAGGTATTTTACAAGATGTCCTTTGAAAAAGAAAAGGGTCAAGAATTAGTTCTTTCATAGCAAAGTGAATTCTGAAAAATACCGTACTTTGAAAGTCCCAAAATCTGCATCCTTTCCCACTTGGACTTACTGTAGCATGACTTAGTTCTCATTTTAGTCAGCTGTACATTTTAATAGTTATAGTATTAAGAGGAGCAAAAATAAAATGAGGTACTATAAACATTTGTGAAAACAAACCTTTCTTCTTTCCCCTCCTCTCTCTCTCTCTCTCTCTCTCTCTCTCTCTCTCTCTCTCTCTCTCTCTCTCTCTCTCCCTCCCTCCCTCCCTCCCCTCTCTCTTCTCCTTTACCACGCCCAGTTTTCATTAAATGGTCATAGAACTATTTTTCTCCACTGAAATTTTGAAATATCTATTTGTCTGGAGTCAATCCATCTGCAACTCCCAGAATTCCCTGAACAACTCGCTAAATTGAAGTTAGACGTCCATGTCTCTTCCTTTAAAAACTCCTAGTGTTTCTAGATAACTATATCATTTCCCAAACATGTACATTGAGAAAGATACAAATGTATCTTATACGGAATAATTTCATGGGACACTGATTTCATCTGAAGTTTCATAAAATGTGAAAGGCCTGCCAATTGCATGAGATGTATATTACCATTCTGTAAGAATTGGGCTGATTTCCCAATTCTTACAGACTAGGCTGGTTCCCCGGTGCTCACAGAGAGAATATTTTTCAGTTTAAGATACATTTCATGAACAAAATTTCTTACTATCACACTTAGATAAACAATAGCATCAGGAATAGAGAGAGAAAGAAAGAAAGTAAATCCTCTTAGTTTAAGAGAAAATTGAAGTTCTTATTCACATGCCTATTTTGTAATTATTGTCCAAACATCCAGAAGGTGGTCATTTAAATTATTCTTAGGTGGACATTTCTAGCTTATCAAAACTATAGGACAAAAGCCAGTGTATTGTTTATTTATTTATTAGACTCATATCTGTTGCAATTAAAAGTGTGGCTTGAAAGCCATTGCCTTAGCAGGGCAAGTGTATCATTACACTTATACCAAATATCAAGCATACTGAAACTGGTTCTAAATCCCATTATAATTGGACCATGCACATTTTTATTTTATTTTATCTTATTTTATTTTTTATTACCTTACCCTACCTCTTATCCAAAATATTATAGCTCATCATATTTATTCATTGCTTCATCTTTAGGCTCCTCCATAGAATACATTAGATGTATTCTCTCCAGGCTTCCTTTTAAAATATTTTAATTTTTACACTTTAAGCCTAGCAGTGCATGGGGGTTATTTCGAGAACAGAATATATTTGGGTCTTTTGAATATAAAGAGTTGCAATTTAGCAGCTAACTACATTTTCAGGCACTGGATGTCATTAAGCAAGTTGATGTAATGACTGGCCTAGGAGTAGCTAATGCTTTTATGAAGAAATAAATGTATGATTTCAAAGGGATATTGAAATAATATATTTAAATATTTTATTTTGGTTCTGAGTGTAACAAATTAAATTCATTGGAAAAAAAGATTTACATGATTAGAGTAAGGAATTCTCAAGTTATATTTGAAGTAAAAAATAACCTCAGATTGAAAAGGTTAATGAACTCTCCTTTTTCTTCTTGTATATGTATATTTCTCATTTAGTATGCCGAAAAGCCACTGTGGCTGACATTGTGTTTTTGGTGGACAGTTCATCAAGCATTGATTTGGAGAATTTCCAGAAGGTGAAAAGTTTCCTCTACAACCTGATTTCCAACCTTTTTGTTGGTCATGACCAGATCAGAATTGGACTGGCCCAGTATAGTGATGAAATCTTTAGCGAGTTTCATCTAAACCAATATCCTTCAAAAAATGATATTCTAGAACATATAGAGAACTTGACCTTACGGAAAGGAAGCACTTACACAGGTGCTGCTTTGGATTTTATCAAGGAAGAATACTTCACTGAATCTGCTGGGAGCAGAATCCAAGAAAATATCCCACAAGTATTGGTCCTACTCACAGATGGGGAGTCACATGATGAAGTTAAAGTTCCAGCCCGCAAATTAAAAAATGAAAGAATCTTAATTTATGTGGTGGGCATTGGGATCCAGAACACCACTGAACTTATGAATATTGCAAACCAACCTTTTAACAAGTTTCTGTTTAATGTTGACAATTTTGATATCCTTCAAGACCTTATCAACAGCCTTCTTGAAACAATGTGCTTTGCTTTGGAGAGCCAGATTAAAGGTAATTAAATGGCCTCTGGTGGTAATGTAAGATTTCAGAAGGTATTTTTATTCTTTTATTCCTGTGTTAAGTTATACAGTTTTCTTTTTGTGCAAATGGTGCATTTTTCTTTTTGTATTGTGATTTCTATGAAACCATGCTTAATTTGGAAAGCTTTCCAGACTTTACTTTACTTGGAAAGTCAAAGACTTTTTAAAAACTTGCATTTGCACAGAAATTTTTTTTAAAACTTAGTGTTCCACAGACATTTGGATGCATTTTTTGCCATTCCTAAAGGCACTAAAAGAACCTCTGTGTGTATGTGTGTGTAGTTAGTTTTACTGCTGAATATCAACAATATGCTCTGAGGCTCATAAAACAAAAAATGAAGGTAATATAGGCATGACAGATTGTCTTTTTATGTCTAATAATCTTATTATCTTCATTCCCACTCTACAAGACAGAAGTTACAGAAGGAATTACAGAAGTCAGACTGTATATATTCCAATATATCCCTCTATGAGTTAGAGTGGAGACTTTGATTATTTTGATCTTTTTTCAACCAGATTTTAATTGATGGCAAATAATTATGCAGCTTTACACAATAATCTCTTGAATCTTTATTTGTCTGGTAAATAATTCTTGAAAAGAAATTGAAATTAAGAGGCAGGGAGATTTGGGTCCCACTCCATAATTAAATTAAATCCAACCTACCTTGTGTAATTGATTTCTTGGGGCTTTCTGACAAAAATAGATTTTGAGAACATGTGGGTATCATTTTAAAAAATAGTTGCCACAGTAGAACAATAGGAGACGGCTAGCCACAAGTAAGTAGTAATTGTAATGTGAGTTCTATTCCATCCTGTACGTCTTTTAAAAGTACGCTGTTCTATTTTTCCTACAGCATTCACAAAGCGCTATGCTGATATTGTTTTCCTTTTGGACTCCTCTAACAGCATGGGATCTGCCAATTTTGAAAAAGTAAAAAAAGTAATTGTCCAGATTGTTGAACAATTGGACATTGGCTCTAAAAAATACCAGATTGGACTTGCACAGTACAGCGAAGGAGGGAAAGTGGAATTTTTACTGAATAGATATAAGACGAAGAAAGATATTCTTAACCATATTCAGCAGAGCACTGTATTCATGGGAGGCCCTCTGAAGACTGGCAGTGCTCTCCGATTTTTGCGAGAAGTCTATTTTGTTGAAAAAGCTGGAAGCCGTCTTCGGCAAGGAACACCACAATTTACAGTGATTTTTTCCTCTGCTAAATCGGAGGATGATGTCAAGAAACCTGCAAAAGAACTGAAAGAAATGGGAGTGAACATTGCAACAGTTGATGTCTTACACTCTGATAAGAAAGAAATGAAAATGATTGCTACCTCCCCTTTAGTTTACCAGATTGATGATATAGAGGATCTTGTTCGGGTTCAGAAAATCATAGATATTGTGGAAGCACCCGTTCAGCAAGAGTATGAGGCTGTTTTAGATGCAAGTGTGCCTGCAGGTATTGTTATATCACTATAAGAATTACACATTAAAATAGGAAGGAGGCTAATATAATTCATTCAGCTTCTACAACAAAACATGATTGTTATTATATTTCCTCATGAAGTTAATCAACGTTATTTCCTGATTTTTTCTCAGATGGATTTACTTGAACTAGAATGTCATTAATTCTTAAAAGGACTTCAATAATCAGGTCTGTGCAGAGTTCTGGATTCCAAGGGGAAATTATTTCAGCGTGTTTTTGACTGTGTATATTGCAACTGTTGGTGTTTTTTTCTTAAACATGTCTTCCTTCTCTGGAATTTAGTTTACCAGCCTCTTTTAGTATTGCCAATAAGTGCAATGTGCATATCATAGATACTTCAAATTTTTCCCTTCATATGATTGTTAGATAGACCTACTAATAAAACGTCAAGACAATTTCCAGCAATTCCAGGAGCCTTGGGTCATTACATGTCACGAAAGACAAGTTCTAATTATATTGCTTATATTATGAGGTTGGGTTAAAGATAATTCCTGAATTTGAACTATGATATATATTTACCTACTGAAAAGATTTACCTACTTTCAAACCAGCAAATATTTCTGATCAGCACCTAAGTTAAAACAGGTATGTTTGACTTTAACTTATTGGAAAATAGCTTCATGGCTTCTTGCGAAACAGAAGCACATCAGGGAACTGTTTACATTAATGCGCTTCCATTCTTTCTTCAGTATATAGTCCTCAGTATTATTTTCCTGGTATCCTCTAACTTTTTGGTAGGATTTCCAATTATTTCTTCATCTATTTGGGTCTTACTTCTTAAACAAATAAATGTCGGACAGTAATGTTAAATACACTTACCTGGAAATAATCTTCTAAGATTGTGTGGTTATCACTTTGTTTTTACTAACTTTTATTTGCTTATTTTGTTCATAGTTTGCTCCACTGCCTCAGTGGCAGACATTGTGTTTCTTGTGGATGAATCCACTCGCATTGGTCAAAAGAATTTTCAATTGATCAGGACTTTTCTGCTCAAAATAATCAATGCTCTGGAAATTGCCTCAGATGATGTACGAGTTGCCTTGGTACTTTACAGCGATAAGCCAAGATTAGAGTTTAGCCTGAATACATTTGAAGACAAATCAGAGGTTATGAACTATCTAAAAAGATTGCCTTATCGTGGGGGGCAAACATATACAGGTGCTGCTATAGACTTCCTAAAGAAAAAAGTTTTCACCAAGAGAGCAGGAAGCAGGAAAAGTCAAGGAGTGCAGCAATTGGCTGTTGTGATCACGGATGGTCAGTCACTAGATGATTTCACTGTTCCTGCATCCAAGCTTCGCCGGGCAGGTGTTACAGTTTATGCTGTGGGTATCCAAAACATTTCTGCGAGTAGCCAACTGTACAAAATTGCATCTTATCCCCCAAGGAAACATGTTACTACCATGGAATATTTCTTGCAACTATCGAACTTGGAATATGTTATAAAAAAACAACTTTGTAATGAAATAGTTTCACAAGCATTTTCAATTCCAGTGCAGGTTCGTTCCCTGAAGGAAGGTAAGACAGTGATATCTTGATCAATCTCAAATCCTATTTCAATAAACTTTGGAAAATTAGATGTGAGTGAGGGGTTTTTTTTGGGACTTACCATATCTGTCTATGCACACATATCCTTATTCCTCCTTTCTCTTTTTCTCTCTTGGGCAGCTAAATTAAGAGAGAAATAAGGCAAGGGGTAGATGACATCAAATGAAAGATAGTTGAATCAAGGTGGGCAGCTTGCCATCATCAACCTACTCTTATTCTGATTCCATTCACACCGTTCAACCTTCTGCTACCTATTTCTTTTCTCCCCCCCCCAAAGGTCTTCAACACGGCCTTCACCTGTTAGATTTCTCTTCCAGAATATAAACTGCCACATCTAGCATTGTTAGCCATTTTAATAGAATGGTAATTGAAAATTCTGTGAGTTGTTGTTTGCATAATCTGGAAGGCTTGGAGAAAGCTGTGTTAAGCAAAGGCAGAAGGCTCTATTATGTGGGGGATAAGCAGTGTGCTGGCCACTGCAAATAGGACGTTTGATGTCCAATCCATCAAAGATTGGAAAAGAAGCTATAGCTCTGTTTAACAGCCAGGAAAGTTGCTTATGGTGACTCTGTTCAAAAGCATCTTGTCCTTCCTCCCTTAAGAGGGAAAGAAGCAGACACTGGGCCGGTAATTGTTTTGCCCAAATAAAACTACATAATGAAATTCTAAACTATTTTCAATAATTATCTATAAAGTTTGCAGGATATGATTGACTTTGGGGATGTTTTCATTCTTCCCCAACTTAAAAGATCCATGCTTTATTCTGTGTTTTGTCTTCATTTCCCATAAAGCAAAAGCTGGACAGCGTTGAAAGAATATAGTGAGTGGGAGGAATAGGACTTCTTAATTATATTCCCATCTGTGCTCCATCTTCAAACTTTGGATTTTAAATTGCCCCTAGTAAAGCTTGGAGGTTAGAAATGGCTGGGGAGAAAAAATGTTCTAGGAAAAAAACAGGATGCAGAAAAATAATTATTATGCCTTTCTTGAACTTCAAATTTACATCCTTTAAATTTACAGTAAGCTAACAGGAGCTACATTGTATGCATATGAATATGGCCATTTTGTCTTGTTATGCTTGAGTGTTTGCATTAAACTATATATGTATGCATCTTTCTCAAAGTATATATCTTTTTGCTTATAATATTGCCTAGCATACAGAGTTGTTACTATTTTTCATAATGTAATCCTTCAAATTTTTGGACTTACTGAGTCTCAGCTTGTGTTTTAGCTTCAAAAATTAGAAATTATATAATTTCATACTTAGTATGAACTCAACAACTTTCTCCTCCACCCTTAATTGTAATACACTACCTACTTTGTTCTTAAGGCAATAGTTCTTTACATAAATCTTGTGCAAGGAACTACTGGATAAGTAGTAGGGGAAGCTGAGATAATACCGTAGAACATCTCACTGATGTTTATTGAAAATGAGTGTAGGCTTCACAGTAAAGGAATTGCCATTCTTACTTTCCTCTCTTCTACTTTTCATTAGGCTGTGAAGAGACAGAGGAAGCAGATATTTATTTCTTGATTGATAGTTCTGGCAGTATACAGACAGAAGAGTTCCATGATATGAAAGTCTTTATGAATGAAGTGATTAGCATGTTCCAGATTGGCCCCAATCAAGTTCGTTTTGGGGTGGTTCAATATGCAAGTGCTCCCAGTGAAGAGTTTCTGATTAATCAGTACAATACATTGACCCAATTAAAAGAAGCAATAAAAGCAATCTGGCAGATTGGTGGTGGCACTAAAACTGGATATGCTTTACAATACATGAAGAATTTGTTCAAAACTTCAGCCAGGGACAATGTCCCCCAGTTCCTCATTGTTATTACAGATGGTGAATCCCAGGATCAAGTAACCATGCCTGCAGAAATGCTGCGGAATGCAGGGATTGTTATATATGCCATAGGTGTCAAGGATGCTGCTAAAAGAGAACTAGAAGATATAGCTGGGACCAAAGACAGGATGTTTTTTGTGAATGATTTTGATTCCCTGAAGCTCATCAAACATGATATTGCACAGGATATTTGTTCTCCTGAGGGTAAGGTGTTTTCTTCAATGAAAGATTCTCAATGTTTTATCATAACAAATCTTCTGAAGGCTTAAATGGAAACAAATTCCTTTTAATTTTCCAACATGGATCATATTTATGTCTTCAAAGCATCATCTGAAAAGAATTCACCTTTGTTGGGTTAATCTCCATCCTTTTGGGGTAATTATTAAGGAACAAGATATTCCGTGGGAAGGCTGTATGGCTGACACTTGTTTCAAGTACAGAAGCTTCCATATGAGGTTCACTTTTGATTGTTTTTTCCTACATATAAGGGGTAGCTAAGACCTATTAAAGAAAAGCCATGAGAGTAAATTCATGAGCGAGTAGAATTTAGTTTTACTTCTTATTAAATGAGAATTTGACAAAAATGAGCAAGAAAATAAAATAATGAAATAAGGCAACCCTTGATACCACACACTGGTTAATAGATTTTAAACCTTAAATTTTATGTTAATTCCATGCCAAAAAGAATAATGATAATTGCAGCTGGAGGGAGTGTGGGATAGATGTTCCATTCTCTCCCTCCTGTGATCTCCTTCCTTCTTTTTAATAAGTACTTTAAGGTAATTTCTGTATTCCCTACAAGATCTGCAAGCACAGATAACTAAGTGTTTCCATGGAACAGGCCATCCAAGCTCCTAGCTAGGCTTCCAAATAAGTCCACACATCTTGGTGACTTCTGCTTGGATTGTTTAATTAGTAACACATATTAGTTCACTAAAAATGTTATTTCACTACATAATTCTCAGGGGTTAACACTGTAAATGTGAAGAACACTGGATTCTAATGGTATTTTATTCAGAAAATACAATTGCATGAATATTATAATATAAAACATAGCTACTATTCATTCTTTCTCCCTAGCATATGCCTATTATATGGTTATTATAGTTATAAGCAATATAGTTAACTGAGGAAACCCCAACAAAAGTCCAGCTGCTGTTTAAAGGTTTCTTAAAAACTCCCATGTCATTAATTTTGCATTATTTTAGGAAGCTGAACAAAACCCATTATTGTTTAAAAAGTGGAAACTCAGTTGCAAAGATGAAGTGCAGCTTAGGTTCTGGAAAATCTCTTGTTAAGAAATTTGGTAAGAATGACCTCAGAGTAGACATTCTGTACAGTCAAAAAACATTTTTTAGACAGTGAATGCCAAGGTCTTATTGATTTGAATCATGAAAATGTCCTATTGATTGGGCCTGTAACATTTTGCATATTTATTTAATATATTTATATCTCTTTTTCATTTGTCTACCTTCAGCCTGTAAAAACTTGAAAGCTGACATAATTTTGCTAATTGATACATCAGAAAGTATGGATCAGTTTGAATTTGAACAGATCAAGGATTTCATTGATTTAATTGTGAACAAGTCTGATATTGGGACTGATAAGATTCAGATTGGGCTGCTCCAATTTGGCTTCAATCCAGAAGAAGTTTTCCCACTGAACAAGTACAACAACAAGGCTGACCTGAGGAAAGCAATAACTACAATGAGGCAAGTTCAAGAAGGAGCCAGAATTGGAAGAGCTCTAGACTTTGCCTCCCTTTACTTTGACACATCTGAGGGAGGGCGTTTGGGTGTAAAACAATATTTGATAGTGGTCACAGATGAGGAATCTAGCGACGACGTGAGAAGAGCAGCCAGGGCACTCAGGAAGAAAGGTGTCATCATCTATGCAATTGGAATACTGAAAGCAAACAACTCCCAGCTTTTAGACATTGCTGGAACTCAGGATAAAGTATTTTCAGAGGATTATTTTCAGTCCCTCGTGTTTCTGGTGAAACCAATTCTATTTCAAATTTGCAACCCTGAGGAGGGTAAGTATTGAATCGAGAAATGTTATTTCTTCAGAAAATTATTTTGCACTCTCCAATTTTCTGCTATAACCCAGAGCCAGATATTGCCAGGGTCAGAGTTAATGATTGTAATAGTATGTGAGAATGACCTGGGAGACAGTAGGGAAAGTCACAGACTGGGCAACTGGACAGCATGTAAAAGATATCTCTGCCTCAAGAGGGAGAATGTGGGGAAATGTTTTATACGAGACCCTTTTCCTGAGAGTAAAAGGAAAGAAGGGGAGAAATATTTTTAATCTTGCAAGACTATTTATTTATTAATTAATCAAATTTGTATATTAGGTGTTTCTGGCAGCTTACAAATAAAGCCATAAAATCTATATAAAAATAGACTAATTAAAAAAAAACAATTTGAGAAGTTAAAAAGACAGAGGGATTGCCCTTAAGCCATCAGCCAACCTTAAAGTTGCATGCCATGCTAGCAGACAGGCCAAGTTTTAATGCTGTTCCAGTATACCAGAAGAGTGAGGCCCAACCAATGTAACCTTATAATAAAGTCAGGATTCATACTCCTGGTTGTGTTTGTTATCTGGATTACCTCACAGGGCAAGTAACTGTATAGAAAACAGCAGTAAAAGGTTTGAGATCAGAACTAATTTTACCTTGCAGCCTATTTTCTATCCTCTAAATAATGGTGCTGTTCTCAAGTCATTGTTTGAAAAGTAAGATTTAAGCACTAATCAAATTGCTTTCAGACAGCAATATATATATATGTATATTATGTTTTGAAATTTGAACGAATTCTAATGCAGATTATACAGTATATTTCCTTCCTTTCTTATAACAAAACTGGATTCTTTTACATTATATAAAAATATATTTTTGAAAGACAGTTGGAAAAAGTGACTTATTCAAAAGAACGGGCTTCACAAAGTGTCCAATTCCCTACTGCACAAAACATGATAGCTGCCTACATATTCCTGAAAAAAGTATCCATGCATCTGATGAAGTCCATGTTATTTTATATAATGTTACAAGTGTTATCTTACAAGATGCTATGCAATCTGCGAGAGAGAGAGAGAGAGAGAGAGAGAGAGAGAGAGAGAGAGAGAGAGAGAGAGAGAGAGAGAGAGATTTTTTAGTATAATTGTTAGATGCTAAGAGAGTAGAAAGTGCTGTGGTTCATTCAATACATTTTAAAATAGTTTGGATAATTCTGATATCAGACACCAAAATGTGGACAAAACAAAAAAATCAACTCACATTAAGATTAAAATTACTTTTACTAAAATTCGCTATAGTAACAATGCAGAGACTTGTTAGATATGACTGAATGGAAGAAAAAAAAGTAGTAACATAATCTTGCAAGTCAGATTACAGATAGTTCTCAACAGTGCTTTTTTTCTAAAAAAAAAAAAAAAAAGGTGCCAGAACTCACACATGTCATACAACCCGCCTTGCCTAACCTACAAGGTTCCATCCCAAAAAGGTGCTGGAACTCCATTCTGGGCGTTCTATGAGAAAAAAAGCCCTGGTTCTCAATTGGGTCCATAAATTCCATCATGACATTGCAGTCATAATTCAAGTTGGATCAATTTTATAAAAAAATTTATGACAGTCACAAAGTAAATTACCACCGTCACTAAGAAAATAATGCAGTTTTTAAGTGAATCACATGATCATTAGGTGACTCCAGCTTACTCAATAGATGGATTTTTTTGCTAAAAATTGGCAAAAAACCCTTGTAAATTGTAATCATGACTGTAGAATATTGCAGCCAGTTGTAAATGTGAGCTGGTTACCAAGCCCCTAAATTGCAGTTGTGACCATGGGGATGGTATTTCTTAAGCATGAGTACAGAACTGAGTAAGAGTTATTAAACCACATTTGTGAAGGCCATTATAACTTTGAACAATTGTTAAACAAATAGTCATAAGTCAAGGTCTATCTGGGTTTCCCTCTTCTTTCCCTCATATGAATTAGAGAGGTATCAGTCATGTTCTTCTTTCACTGTTTGGCTTAAGTGGTATTTCCCTCCTTGTTGCACTGGTAACAGATCCTTCCTCTCCATCAAGATCATCTTTCTTATTCTCAACAGTTGCCTTTGCCAAATGCTGCAACTTAATCATTATGAATCCTACCTTGGTTTAAGGTTTTTTTTCCCCATGGGTGCAGCCTCTGGATATTGCTAATTTACAGCTTTCAGCAATCCCTCCCCAGAGTGATTTATCGCAGAGCTTCTGAGAGCTGTAGCTCTTAACCTTTAGGCAAGCCACCTATACTTTTATTTCTGCACTATTGTTTCTATTTTAACTTCACCTTTAGCAATTCATATTTTTCAAAGAAATGTCCTAATAGTTAACAGCAAGGCTGAGGAAGCATTTGACACTAGATTATTGAAGCAAAACAGCAGAAATTTATTTTAACACTGCCATTTTGTTTTTTTAATGACAGTATGCAAGCAAACTGAAGTTGCTGACATAATCTTTGTAGTTCATGGATCCAGAGACATTACAGATCTGCAATTCAAGGGGATTCAAAGACTTATGGAAGTAATTGTGAATGATTCAGTTGTGGGCAAAGACAATGCTCAGTTTGGAGTTATTATTTTTGCGACTGTACCTGAGGAAAAATTTCAGCTAAATACCTATTCCACAAAATTTCAACTCAGGGAAGCCATTAAAAACCTGGTTCCTTTAAGAGAATTCACCTATACAGCAAGAGCTTTGAATTTTGCAAGGGAACGCTTTGGTGCTGCTTATGGTGGCCGAACATTATACCTAGGTATCACAAAGATCATCGTCCTGATCACAGATGAACCAACAACACCCACCGATAAACCTAATCTCTCAGCAGCAGTTCAGGCTTTGAAGCAAGAAGGCATCCAGGTCATTGCTGTAGGGATAGAAGATGCAAATAGAACAGAACTAGCAGAAATAGCTGGTGAGAAGGGGAAATGGTTTTTTAGTCCCAGTTACAACGCACTGGACAGTTTATACGAAAACATAACTTATCTTATATGTGATGAATCAAAACCAGGTAACTAGAACCTTTGTTTATGTATACATTTGATTTATTATTAGCATTCATTTTATATTGCCACACTAAACTGAATCTTCTTCTCTACTTGGCAAATAAAGCCACTTGGGATGGACTGGAGGAATTGAATTGGACACTAGTTGAACTTCTTCCCTCTGTAATCCTTCATTTTGTTCCTGGCTTCCCTTAATTTGGCAAAGTAATTTCTAAAAATCTGCATCTTGGCCAAATGAGAAGCAGCTGTCATCCACAAATTTGAGAAGGCTGGGCTATGTTTTGTCAGTATGGAACATAACAAACGTTTGGTAGGGGGTCAAGTCGGGATATTAGGATATATGCTAGATATAGTTAAAGAACAGGAATTTGGTCTGGGAAGTACAAGATACAATAATACATTTTACTTTTCTATGCATCTGATTCATGTAATTTACTGATCTTCATTTGGAAAGAGTGTATTTCATTTACTTCAGCTCCTCTGTTATTCATATTGCAGAACATTTTTCTTAGGCAATGTAGAATATATAATACAATAAGTGTGCCACTTCAGGAGAAATAGGACAACAACAACCAGAAGTTCCCCTATCTGCTTACCAAGATTAAATAATATAAATAGCCAACATTAGAGGAAATACAGTGCTGTAAATGACAACTTTCGTTTTCAAAGGTTTCAGTCCTCAAGGCACACATTAGGAGAAAGAAATATCTTGCAGTACTTCTGTTTAAGTTTAATATGTTATGAAATAACATATCCTTTTTTAACAGATCTGTTGAGCATGGCCATCTGTAAGATATTACCGTTATGTTATGTTACGTTAGGTTATGTGGTACAGATAGTCCTCAGCTTTCAACCACAATTGGAATTTTGGTCACTAATAGATGCGCTCATTGAACAAGGCAACCCATGACCAGAATCAATTTTGTAGTCATTATGACTCTGGTAGTTAAACAAATCACATGGTCAGTAAGTGAATCATGCAACTGTTAAGTGATTGTTGCTTGTTAGAAGTTGGCTGAAAAGGTTGTAAATAGTGATCACATGACTGCAGGATGCTGCAAATGTTGGAAATGTGAGCTAATTGCCAAGCACCAAATCACAATCATATGATCTTGCAGAACAAGTCATTTTTTCAATGCTGTTGTAACTCTGAATCATTGTTAAATGAATTGTCATAAGCTGAGAATTACCTGTGGTATTTTCAGTGCTAAAACGTTATTTGTTAATTTTGCAAAAATACAAAATATTCTATATAAAACCAAATTTGAATTCGTTTTCTGGAATGAAAATCTATTGATTTGTGTGGAATTATTACCCAATAATAATTTTAGTATTATAGAAGTAAGTGTCACTGAGCTCAATAGAACCTATTTCCTAGAAGTGTATTCAGAATATTACCTTAGGTGTGTTGAGAGTTACTCACAATCAAATGGATTTTTCTTTCTGCAGCTTGTGGTACTGGAGAGGCAGATCTTGTGTTTCTGATTGATGGCTCAGACAGCATTTCAAAACAGAACTTTTCTACTATGAAGACATTCATGAAAGAAGTAGTTGACAGCTTTATCATTGCAAAGGACAAAGTCCGGATTGGGGTGGCTCAGTACAGCACAGATCCTCAGAAAGAATTTTATCTCAATGAATTTTTTAATAATAATGCCATTAAAAAGAAGATCGATGCAATTGCTCAGTTAAAAGGTCACACTTTCACAGGTGCAGGGTTGAAATTTGTCAGGAGCTTTTTTGAATCTGCGAATGGTGGCCGACAATATAATGGGGTGGTGCAGTATTTGATTGTCATCACAGACGGGCGCTCTGATGACAAAGTGGAGGATGCAGCCATTGTTCTAAGAAAAGATGGCGTCCAAATCTTTGTAATAGGCATTGGGACTTCAATTTCTTTTGAGCTCCAAAAAATTGCTGGCTTTCCTAGCAGAGTGTATGTGTTGGAGGACTTTGAACAACTGCAAAGTGATACAAGGAAGATTGTCAAAGAGATTTGTAATCCTGGTGATAAACCCACTCCAGGTAAGTCTCAGCATTTTTAAAACTCTATACATATCCATCTTATTTTTTCCACCTCAGAGTGTTTAATTTTATTTAAAAGATGAGATAGTTTTTAATATTTCTTTTTAAGTAATTGCTTTGCTTCAGTTAAGAAGGATATTTATCTATCAAAAGAGAAAAAATAGGCTGCAATAGTGTGAAGAGAATCCAAGAGGAAATTTAAGAAATACTGAATGCATTTGGTATTGAGGGAATTAGATTATAGTAATTTAAAAGAACACAAAAATGATAACAGGAAATCAATGTTATCAATCTCCTCCTCCTCCTTCTTCTTCTCCCTTCTTTTTCCTTCTTCTCCCTTCTCATTTGCTGTTGTTACATTAGCCAGGAGACCACAATGCTAGTGCAGAATAGTAGTTTGGCTACCAATTTACCAGGTCTGTTGTAGGACATGCTTCCATGCTTCCCAAAGTGCAATAAAGTAGGATGAGCTGGATTCGCAGTAGAAAGAAAGATGAATGGCTCTTACTGCAGTGTCATCTTAGGCCCCTTCCCTTCCCTGGAGCCACCTCATAAAGAGGTGCCACAAATAGGAAGGTTCAGAGCCAGCAGGAATCTGACTGCCTGAACAGAGTACCAACTTGTTCCTCCCCCCCCAATGAAGTGGTACCTATTTATCTACTCACATAGAACATGCTTTCAAACTGTTAGGTGGGCAGAGGGTGAGGTGAGTAAGCCATTGAGCCTCCACAGCTCTACACTATCCTACTGTGATGACAAATTTAAAATACAATTAAGAAATTACTGTAGTTATATTATGGATTTCATGAGACTCAATTTTTAATTTAATATATGCTGTTCTATATCTACATGAAACAACCCTGGAGAAATTATTCAGAGATGGAGATAAAAGTATCACTAATATGTAGATGTCCTCGAGCTTTACCTTTTTATATCAAAACCTTATGAGGCAATGAATAATCTTAAATCAGAATTTGAATATAATAATATACTAGATGAAGGTTGATAAGTTGTCATTAAAATCAGATAAGACAGATGTGTTTCACTTGCTTCACTATAGTAATCAGTGTGTTGGGTATGCATATCTGTATGTATATATCACACTTCTTTGGATCCAGTATTATCGCTAGAGGTACAGTTAGTTTTAGTGATACAGAATTTCTTGTATTAGATTGATTCTATAGTTATAGATGAATTATAGCCTTGTCTCTATAGAGATGACTTAATAAGAGTTAAATATTAAATATTGCAGTTAAAACCAGATCAGTTCATTCAGGCTAAAATTAGCATGAAATCTCTAAAACTAGAATGTCAGTGATGGAATATATTTCTGAAGACAGAACCTTTGGAAGTCATTGAGGACCAAGGTACTGATTTATAAAATTCACAAATTCCAATTCTAATCTACTCAGTCATAGCTGTAAGAATAATTTAGTAGATCAGTCTCACCCCAAATATATTTCTGGAAAGCAAAAAATGTTAATCCAAAATCAAAGTCTGACGAATCAAGATAAAGCTCTAAAGTGGTCAGTACTAGAAGACAAAGAATAGGCAGATACACAAAATAAAAGCAATGTTTGCTTCACAGATAACAGTTTTTTCCTATTTATTTATATGGGATTGCAGATAAGCTGCAACTTGATAACTCTGAGATGTAGAATGATGCGATTCTCACACATAACTCTCCTTAGTGTGGCTAGTATTAAGTTATTGCTATTTTTACAATGAGGGAAAAGCATGTAGATAAATATGACAGATGTAAATAAAATTTATAAAAAACAACAGTAATAATAGTTATCTAAGTGAGTTGGGTGGAGTAAAAATTTAATAAACAAATAATAAATAAATCCTAAGAGTAGGAAATTTGGTTGCTTACCACCTGCCTCACCCTTTTGAATATATTTTTTTTAAATATTAAAAATAATTATAAGCCACTTCTGATCAGTCTAAATGGTCTTTATCTATTGATGCTGTGTTTTTCATTTCTTTTTGTAGTATATGGGAACTATTCATTCTTAGCATGTATCTAATGAGAAAATATATTTATGAACTAATCTTTGCATGGAATCCATGATATTAGAAGCAGATGTTGTCTCAATTATCTGCTCTCATCATTCAAATTGACAAACTTGAGCTTCCATAATGGTGTTCTGAGAACTTTAACTTCGCTATCCAGGACAAGATATTTATGGCCCACAAAGAAAGGAAAGGGTGAGGAGTTTTTGAGTGGACCCAAAGAAATTTAGAACTGACAGGCATTCCAGAAAGGGCTGCTTTTTGAAGTTGGAAAGTTTTAAAATTAAGGGTATCTTTTCCTCCTATTTATCTGAACATTATTATATAGGCGGTGTGAGGCATGTTATATATCAGGGCTTTTCAACCAGTGGTATGGGTACCACCTGTGATACATTGGCACTTGGCAGGTGGTACGCGACCATCCTAGAAAAGTGATAGTGGGGGAGGGGAATGAGCTGAACCGGTGGCGGCACCGCACAAGCCTGAGCGAGAGATGGCTGGAGCTGCAGGGCTGTCAGGGCTCAGTGGAAGCGCCAGGATCAGCACTTCTTTGGGGCTGTCAGGGCTCAGTGGAAGCGCCAGGATCAATACTGCTTTCCAGCTGATTGGCGCTTTTTTGGGGTTGTCAGGACTCAGTGAAAGCCCCAGGATCAGCGCCAGGCTCCAGCAGGAGCTCAGTACTGATTCTGGTGCTTCTGCTGAGCCCTGAAGAAGCACCAATCAGCTGGAATGTTGCAACATCTCCAGGGTCTTGTGATTTACATTCAGATGCTTGACAACTGATTCATATTTATGACAGTCACAGTGTCCCAGGGTCATGTGTAGTGACCAAAACCTGCTGCAACCACCCAGCAGACAGGGGGAATAAAAACCAAACACCCCCCCATCCCCCACCCCCACTGCCAATCCTCAACAGATATACCTCACAACAATGAAAACCTCGGACAGAAGGAAGAGCGCCACCTGATGGGCAGGCAGGTGTCTTGCTTGGCTGTGGCTTGGGGGGCACTTTTTTCAGTGCCATTGTAACTTCGAACAGTTACTAAGTGAACTGTTGTAAGTCGAGGACTACCTGTACTTTATCACTTTTTTCCTTTTTTTTTTCTCATCAAGTTTTTGACACCTTGTTGGGCAACTGGTGGTACTCGGATGTTGCCATATCCTAAAAGTGGTACAATGGGTGAAAAGGTTGAAAAGCCCTGTTATATATGATCTATTAGAAGCAACAAGGAATCACCCATGGAATATGTTGGGCAATATCTTTGGAGATTTTATTAGAAATCCAAGAGTCTGGATTACCTGATACCCAAGTTCAAATTGGAATATCATCTGTCCTGATACAGACATCAAAAGGATCATTGTTAAAGATCACAGAAAACTTCTTGGTGGCAGGGCATGAACAAGCCATAGCTAGCACATCAAATGTTTATTTCCAGCCCAAAAGTTCACATCTGGGATTATCCAAATCAAAGAGTTCCCACAAGTAATAAAAACTTGTTCATAGTAAATTGTAAAATGCTATAGCAGCATCTAGTGGCTTGCTTAGAGCCTCTTGGCTCTATCATAAGCTGATCATTTTGTAACCTTGGAAAAAAGGTTCTTTTGTTCCCTTAAATTGTTTTCAGAGCACATAATGGAAAACAGAATATACCTTTTAAAAACATTTATAAGCCTTTGTGCTGGGTTCCGTGACATAATGTTTGTGGTATTTTTTTAAAAAAATGTGCCAAATTTTAAGGAAATTCATACATATGCTTAATTATTCCATAGTAACTATGTTGGGGAGAGACGTGGGGAGGGAGAGTGGGATAAATGATAAAATCAAGGAAAAACGTGGGCTTGCTCTGATCCATGTCATAGTCCAGAATTGCTTGATTGCTGGAAAATCTCATTTTTTTATTGAAAAGTTTTATACAAGTTTTAAACATATCCCCCCCTAAAATAACCCCTTCCCCCTTCCCCTTCACTTCCCAGAGCTGGTTACAGGGTTACAAATAAACAAACAAATTCTAAATAAACTTACAAATAATAAAATTGATAATATACTTTAACTCAAATACAAAAAAGGGAAAAAAATTAACAATATAAGCATTTCCAAATTAAAAACTATAAATAATTCATAATCTGCATAATGCATTTTAAATCCATATCATAACCCATAATTACTCTACATATAATTTATCCATCTTCACCTCGCTGAGGTATATATTTCTTTTAAACAACCATTCGTCCATAATAAACACAAAATTTTCCCTCCGATATAACCTAACCAACAAACTTACGTTCAATAAAATTGGCTCTTTGTTTTTTACCCCTAAGAAAGTCTATTAATACCCTCCTACTTAAAAAGTTTCAACAAACCATTCATCTTCTAAAATTCTCACCAACAGAGATCATTAAAATTTTGAATTCTTTTACACATTTACCCATAATATCTCATAATTATTTTTCACTTTAAATTAAGAATTTATAATATATATACTCCCAAATATTTAAACTTTTCCACTAAATCAACACCTTCTATTATTCTTTTACTTTACATCTATATACTACACAAATCATTCACTGTTCCTTTAAAACATACTAAATACAAATCATTCACTATTCCTTTAAAACATCTTCTATCTCAAAAAACTACTACAAAAGTTCATCATTTCCTTTTCTTTATTCCAGCATCCATTTTCTGCAGTTCTTTTAATTTACGTCTATAGGCTGCACGAGTCATTCTCAGTTCCTTTAAAAAATCTGTCTCAAGAGACTGCTGCAAAAGTTCAGCCAGTTTGTCTCCCACATCCAATAGCATAGCACTTTCAACCTTGGCTGCTCTTCCAACTTTTCTTCTATTATCTCAGGTCGTAAAGATAATGGAGAACCCACCTTCAAAACCGAAATGTAAAAATCTTTCACTTTTGACATTGTATTAAGTCTATAATATATCCCGGCATAATTCAGGACTATTCCAACTGGTACATCCCATCTGAATCGAACCTGGCATTTTTTGAGCTCATCAACCAAAAAAGCAAAATCCTTTCTTTTTCTAAGAATTTTTGAAGGTATTTCTTTTAAAATTATAACATCTTGAGCTGCATTTGAATAATTTTTATAAATTTATAAAAAGCCTGTAAAATTTCATTACGAAGTGATCTCCTAGAAAAATAGATAACCACGTCTCGCAACCCTAGAATTAACCCTAAAAACTTTTTCCGTTTCTCTCAATATTTCTTCAGGCTCAGCCCCCAAAATAAGAGCTATATCTTTTACCACCACTTGTCTCAAATCCTCTTGAATATTTTCCTTCATTCCCCTTATTCTTAAAGCAAATTCCATGTTTTTGTATTGTAACATAGTAACTTCATCCTGTATTATTTTCACATTATTTTCCACTTTGTCAATTCGATCTTCCAGTTTTTCAAAATTTTCCACAACATCATCAATACGCTCATCCAGAAGATCTATGTGACCAACAAACTTTTGAAACGCAAACTCTATGTCCTCTGTCAATTTCATGAATTTATTTTCAATAAAAACCTCCATCTCTTCTTTAATCTGTCATGCCTTTTTTTCCAAGGCATCCTGTAAATCTTTAAGTATACATGCTGGAGACAATGGAGGTGGTGGTGGTAACTTAGACTTAGCTTGCTGAGCTGTCTGCATTACTGGGAAGATCGAGGCTTTAGAAGCAACAGAAGCTCCGAGACGCTTTGAAGCAATTTTATTTTTAAGACCACTTGTAAAAAGTCTGCTAAAATCTTATAAAATCAACAAATACCCCCCCCCAAAAGAAAAAAGGAGAAGGGGAAAAAAGACAAAAGCCCCCTTAAAAGAAAAAAAGAAGATTCTTGCAATTTATACAAATACAAAATCTGTTACATTGTTCCAAGTAGAAGTTCCGGTCCTTTCACTCAATGAATCAACATCTCAGCACCATTTTTCACCACTCTTAATTAAAGGAAGGAGAAGATAAGTTCTTTTCCAGAGTTAAAATCCAAAATAATCCCCATTTTAGTCTCTCCTGGTCAGCTCTGTCTGCTTTAAATTTTACTCACAAGTTCATTTTAAGCGCAGATGTGGAAGCAGCGTCTAGCGTTGCCCTGGAAAAATCAGGGCAAAGGCATCCTGGAATGTGGAGAACACCCCAGACTCCGTGGGAGCTCACCCTCTGACCACCAAAAAAGAAAACTTTGGGGCCTCAGGGAGCTCTACCACTATCTGAGGAAAGCTCACCTCCTCCCCTTTGCCCGGGGAGAGAGGTTCCAAGCCGCGAGACAGCTGTTGCTGTCTCAGCTGGCTTTGACACATCCCAGGGCGGACGGCTGAAGAAAGCCACCATCGCTACGGCCGTCACCACCAGAAGTCACTGGAAAATCTCATTATGCTGATACCTGCAAGATTATTATTGGAGCTAAAATATTCTGCCACTTGTCTACACTACTTTGGAAATTCTTGATTTATTTTTTGCATCATTCCAACTGGGCTAACACCGGTTCTTTTTTTAAAATACTAGCATTAAGATATTTTCAGCAAGTAACAAAAAGGGTTTATTGGAATTTTTTTTTTGTTTGGGTTGTTTACTGTTAGCTTGTTTGAATAGGGATATTGTTTACTTCTTGATTATTGGTTTGATGTTAAACCTGGTGTTAAACTATGCTCATCTGGGTGTTGATTGCTGGTGGGAAAATGCTTTGATATTTTTGTTCTCTCTTTGGTTTGTTGATTGTCTCTTTTGCACAGTATGTAGATGCTGTCTATGTGTCTATTGATGGCCAATTTGTCACAGTGCCAGGCTTCCAGAAATTCTTTAGCATTTTTGGACTTGCCTTGGTCTTGGACGGTCACAGGTTCCCAGTTGAACCCATTGTTATGTCTATCCATATGAATCTTACAAGAGTAGCAGATTGCAACCACAACCACCAACTATTAGTCAGAACTATAATGAAAACTCTTTAATTTCACAACATACGGACACACTTAACCATAGTTTGGTTAATGAAATGTTTGCAGGAAAACAACCAAGCTCAGAGAGCACCAAGGTCCACTCATTTCAACCCTGAGCTACAAATATACTCATAGTAATGATAACAATAGTAACAATAAATCAAGGGTTTCTTTCAAGCCAGATTATATTAATTGAAGATTACCCAGATATTTTGACTACAACATCTATTTTTAATTTTTACTATTTTACTCCTATTCTCAGTCCTGATGGAAAGATTGTAGATGAAGATAATTTTCATAATTGCACATTTTCCTTCCCTTTTTTTTTACAGATTGTGAGATAGATATTTCTATAGGGGTGGATATCTCTGAGCCTGTGAGGTCTCCATCTGCAGCCAGTTTGAAGGAAAAAATACAAGCATTCTTGCCTCAGATCATTCAACAAATGAGTATTGTAAATAACATCAGTTGTACTACAGTAACTCCAGATGACCTCAGGTTCAGGTACCAAGTATACACAGGAAGCAGCCCAACTTTGTTTGACTCAGGTTTTGAAAGTTACAGTGATGAAATCTTTCAGAAATTCTGGGCTGTACAAACAACTGTGGAAACTCATTTGACAGCGGACTTCCTGCAGTCTTTCTGGGACAGATTGATTACTGTGGACTCTGCCAATGTGAAGGTAATAGTTTTGCTGTTGTTTTATGTAGCAGGAATGACCTAAGCACATCTCAACGAATATTGAGTGATTGATTGATTGCTTGCTTTGTTCAGGCATGTCAAATTATCCTCTGAGGAGTAATCAGAAGTTTTTAAAAAATGAATAAAGGAAAGGAAGTTAAAAGTTCATCTAATGTGAAAACAGTGCTGTATTCCAATCCTTGCAAGGCAAACAAATTGGACAGGGGAGGGCAGGGAGTTTTTATCACATCCTTTTAGGTGTCTGCAGAGTGATGAGTGATGCAATTACCATACAATTAACAAAACATTTGGATTGCTAGGCAATAGTCTTGCAGTCATTGTGGCTCATCAAAACTCCACAATGCCCACTAGGATATTCTATCTGAGGGGGCTGTCAAACCTATTTTCCTTTTTTAAAAAAATGAATGTGGCCAATATTTTTATTTCTTGGCAGAATTGGAGGCATATTCATTTGTTTGGAGGATAGGAAGAAAATTGCTAGTAAACAATTACTCTTAACCAAGGTGGAATCAAGAAAACCATGCTTATATATTATAGGTCACAAGGAAAGCATTAAAATATAAGAAAATGGCAGTTATCATACAATAGAAAGAAGAATAAGACTTCTATCTCAGCTACTATGTTTACCATTTTGACCAACTTTCCCAATTGGTCACTCATGGTAACCTGTAGTATGCAAAGATGGCTCTCACTTTTCCTAATTAAAAGTAATGGTCCATTACAAGGCTCTGTCAAATTTAAGAAAATGAAATATTACAGCCAGCTGAAAAATCTATCATACAACTTTTTGATGTGCCCAAAGCCCTAAGCTGGGCTTTCCTGCAAAACCCACCAATGTAATATGCGTCTTCATTTGCTATTTTTCAATCACAGGCTCTTCTCATATTTTCTGATGGACCCGATGATAGGATAGATGTTCTTAAAACTACAGTGGATGGTCTCCGTGGACAAGGTATTCAGATAATAAAAAAGATCTTTGCATTTTACTATTGTACCATAATATTTGGTTATTTGCAGGATAGATTTTAAAGAAAAAAGATGTTTTAATTTTTTGGAGTCTGCCTTGCTTATCCCTTTTTTTTCTTTACTTATAATTAAATTGTAAAGTATTGTCTTTTTATCTTGGAGGTGGTGCATAAATACCAGCAATTTTCATAGTTTCCAGGATGAAGACAGAACTTCCTAGGGTAACTTTATTAGAGGTTGCAAAAAAGCATTTTAAAATCATGTGTTTCTTTGAAATATTAGCTAGAGAAATATAATTCTGTAGCAATGCAAATAATCAAACACACTCTGTCTTAGAAGCTAATTTTTTAGCCAAAAAATTGATGGAGTACACTCCAGTGCTTAACAATAAATACAGGACAATCATTGCTGGAGATGATATTCTGAAACATCGGTGAAAAAAATGTCTAGGTACTTTAAGACATGTTGAAATCTTATGTGTCCTGAAGTCTCGGAACAAAAAGAGGTGGAAAATCAATCAGCTATTTTTACGAAGTATTTAAAGAAAAATCTGTTTCTGAATAACTGTAATGAAAGAAGAGATTCCAACTGTCTTGATTTATCTGTAAAAAATGATATCCTCTAAAAAGAATTCATTTCAAAACACATTGGATATAAAATTGTTATATTTTCCCAGCTGTCTTGAAGGGTTTTTTTAATTTTAGCCAAATGTGCTCAACATGTGTTAAAGAGACAGCTGATTCCAGCAGCTTCCTTGCTTCTCAGAAAACTAAGGTCTGAAAACATTTCAGGGATGAAATTACAACCATGACTTATCTGCAATCATGATTTTATTGTATCGAAGTATTCATCCTTAGGATAGTGACTGAATATATTCAAGTTGCTAAAATTCAGGTACAGCTGGAGCAGAGAATAATAAATTCTCTGAAGCCATTTTGCTCGCTAGAGAATTAAATTAAGAAGATTCTATATAAATTATAAGCCTAATTACATCAATATTATTAATAAACATAAAACTCCATATTAAGAAGAACTTGGAGCTGCTAGGTCTTAGATTCTAGTTCCCAAAATCTTTCTCCACTGGCTGTTCCAATTCATTTTGATAGACAAAGAATTCAAGATCACCTAGAAAGTTTTGCTATCCTAGAGAATTAGTGAACTCATTTGTTTTTACCTCTTTAAGATGAAAGCACATGGCTTGCTTTCATTATTGGAATCAGTTTATTCTAAAAAAAATTGGGGTGTACCCTCTACCTTGCAGTCCTCTTCCCCATTCTATCTTCAAAATATGTTCCATGGCCATACAACCCTTCTTAGTAGATGTTGAAAACATGGTAGTATCTATAATTAATTTTTTTATATATAAGTGTCATGGAGACTCTCAGTCATCCAGGTCATGATGATGACAACCATAAGTTTTTTATACTGCTTTCTATAAGGTCACAACCCATCGCGGTTGGCAGTATGAAAATATTTAAAAGCAGTGAAAAATACAAGGTAAAACTCTGTGCAAAGCGTATTTTTTAAAAATGTAGAGTGAAAGGGGGAAATAAGACCCCTTGCCCCAAACCAAAGGTAAGATGAATGAGCTGTTGCTATACTCTTCCTTTCCTCCAGGCAAGCATTTCCATCAGCATGCTTGGAGCATAATGTTAGCTGGACTCATATTATTCATGCAAGTGGGATTCAACCTTTGAGCAAAACCAAACATGGATGTGAATATGCCAAGTACTTCTTACATGGAAAGAAAGCAAAAGAAAAATATATAAAATCCTTCAAGAGGGAATTGGATTTCTTCTTCTTCTGGGGAATAATGAATGTTACCTATATTTCATTCTGACTATGAGTCATCCAAATATTACGATCGAAAATTCAATTTTTTCCTATAAAAATTGTAACAAGATAACTTTCTATCCCTAGTGTGAACATGCAGCTAAATTAAATTATTGTACCTCAGTAACCAGGGAAATGTGTCTCTCTGTGTTATTGTTTTTAATGTTTGTATATTGGGTTTTACTGTTTGTAAGCCCCCCAGAGTCATTGAGGTGGCCATATAAATTCTCATAAACAAACTAGGATTCACACACCAACAGCTCTTGGTTTTAAAATAGAGGAACAGCAGTGATTTATTTTGTACAATAACTTGTTCCTGATCTAAGCAGAACCTGCTTTTTACCAGCTTACCTAAAAGGAGGGAAAAAAAGGAGAACTGTTTATGAACATGCTGCTTGTCCTTATTTTGCTTTAGTTTGCTTATTATTTACATACAAATACATTCATTTCATAATATAAAAGTCTTTAGCATAACTGAGCCTTTAAGCATCCAGGAAATTTTGTTTTGAGTGTTTTATGAATAACACAGATATCTCCTTTGTCTCTTCTCCCCAGACTTGAAAAAAAAAGGTAAATCTAATTTAAATATCCACATGTCTAATTTAGAAAATCAAACAGCAACCTTCCTTTATTTTTCAGGACTAAATGCATTCTGGATTGTTGCATTAAAACATTTTCCAGAATATCATATGTTGCAAGAACTTGAGTTCGGTAGAGGATTTAGTTATCGGGAGCCTTTATATTTTGGAAACCCTGAATTACCAAGCATGTTGAGAAGAACCATTGTAAGTTTTTTCACAGCAAAATGAAAAATAAAAGGAGAGCCAGGTCAGTTTTTAATTAATGAACACTGTTAAAATTTTGTAACAATGACCGGTTTGTATTTATTGTTTTGAAGGACACTATTATAGAACGAGAATGCTGTAAAGTTTGCTGCAAATGTTTCGGGGAAGATGGAATTCAAGGGATTGCTGGATATCCTGGAAATAAGGTAAGATTTGAATAGTTAATGCTTACGTAGTACAAGATGGAATGATAATGTGCTTTTAAATTTGAAATCATCATTTGGATATTGCTAATTTATTGCTTGATATAGATAGTCCTTGCTTAATGATCATTTGTTTAGCAGTTGTTCCAAGTTACTTCAGTGCTAAAATAGTGACTTACTACTAGTCCCCACACCTACAACCATATGGCAACCATCATACATTTATGAGAATCGTAGTGTCCCACAATCATGCTATCCTCTTTGCAATTTTCCCAACTAGTTTCCAACAGGGAAATTTATTACTTCTAACAAGCAAATTCAAATGGGAAGTCAGCAGGAGATCACAAGTTGGGGTCACATGATATCTCACTTAATGACTGTTGTGTCTTGAGCCTGCAAAGGCAGGCTCGGGACGTTGCAACAGTCCCGGGCAGTTGCAAGCTGCCCAGGACCAGACTGGCTGGCGCCGGCACTTGCACAAATGTGTGAAGTGCGAAGCACGCCAAATGTTGCTGGTTGGTCTGGGGATTGCCTTTAAGAGAAGCAGAGAGGCTTGTGTGCCTCGGCGTTGTAACGGGGCTACTGAACAACAATAAAGAGGCTCCTGAAACTACCAAAGGCTTCGTGACGTTATTGCCATTCGCTGAGGACTCAACACTGGCGATGAAGGTGGGATGCCTTACAATTTACTCAAACAATTGTAAGCTTACCCTGGAGTCCTGAAGCAGCAGGAAACGGCATTAAACTCAGCAACTGCCTGCCAATACAGCAAGCGTTGGAGGTAAGCTGGCTGATAGACCCTTCCTGTACTACTGGAAAATGGTAAAGATAGGAAGACTTTCCGAGTTCGATGTTACGCATCCGGAAAGATCGGAGTCTTATGTGGCCAGAATAAAGAATTATCTCAAGGTAAATCAAGTGAGAGAAGATGGCTTAAAGGCCGCCACCCTGCTGTGTGTTTGGGGTCAAGATGCATTTGAGATCGCTGAAAATCTAGCAGCACCTGCACCTCTTGAATCTGTTACCTACACAGATTTAAAGAAATTGCTAAAGGAACATTTCCAGCCCAAGTTGTCTGTCATTGCTTGGCGCCATACTTTTGAACAGAGGGATCAACGGGCTGGTGAATCAGCTAAAGAGTACATTGTTGCATTGAGAAGAGCAGCTAAGCCTTGTGAGTTTAAAGACTTAGAAGAAAGGCTGAGAGACAGATTTGTATGTGGACTGAGACACAGAGACTTGCAACAGAGACTTTTGCCAAGGAAGACTTATCATTCCAAGATGCCTTGAGAGAGGTTACTGCAGAAGAGGCAGCAGGTGAGGCAATCAAGAATATGAGGCCTATCAGAAGTACTCCAGAAGCTGTGTCCGTGCACCAGGAGGGAGTCCAAGGGAGCTCAGAAGAGGATCCTGATGAAGAAGTAGACCGTCTCTACCCAACAAAGGAAGGCAAAGAAAAATCTTCAGCTGTCCCCAAGTGCTTCGGGTGTGGAGATCGCCACAAGAGGACCGACTGCAGGTTTCACTCTGCTATCTGTAGAGCATGTGGAAAGCAAGGCCACATTGCAGCTGTGTGTCTGGGCCATCAGAAGGTACAACCCCGAGAAGAATTGCACCTGAAAGGTACCAGTGTCCCCAGCCAAAACAGGGTGGGTTTCTGTGCTTCACGAAGAAGCATTTATAGGACAGGCACTCACAAGCCTGTCAAGAAGAAACTGTCACTTAAGGTGAAGTTACAAGGAGTTCCATTGGTCATGGAACTGGATACGGGGTCTGCACTTTCAATCATTTCCATACACACATTCAGAAAGATTTGTTCTGGTAGTGGATTTCAGGCCAAGCTTAGGCCTTCTGATATAGTGTTAACAGACTTTCAAAACTCCAGAGTGTGTGTTTATTTTTATTTATTTATTTATTTATTTATGAGACTTATATACCGCTTTAAGTGCAAGCACTCTCTAAGCGGTGTACACCAGTAAGCAATGTATATATATATATTTACATTGCCCCCAACAATCTGGGTCCTCATTTTACCTACCTCGGAAGGATGGAAGGCTGAGTCAACCTTGAGCCGGTGAGCAGTCAGCTAAAGTGGCCTGCAGTACTGCACTCTAACTGCTGCACCACCTCGGCTCTTGTTAAGGGGGAGGCCACCCTTAACGTACAGTATAAGGATTTTGAAGGTCCGTTAGATGTATTGATAGTGGGGGGGGGAGCGTACGAGTCTCATAGGACTCGATTGGTTTGAGGCCTTGGGAATACATGTTACAGGGCTCAATAGCTTGCAAACAGTAGATCTACAGGAAGTCTGCAAAGAATTTGCAGATGTTTTCAGCCCACAGCTGGGCACATACAAAGGGCCCCCTGTGTCCTTAAAACTAGACCCCACTGTCACTCCTATCAGAGTAAAGGCAAGAAGGGTTCCTTTTGCTTTAAAAGGGAAAATTGATGCTGAATTGGACAAATTGATTCAGCAAGGAGTCTTAGAACCTGTTGATTCCAGTCCTTGGGAGACCCCCATAGTCACGCCTCTTAAGGCTAATGGGGACATTCACATCTGTGCAGATTACAAATGCACTCTAAATAAGGCATTGCAACAACATGCCTATCCTGTACCTGTAGTCAGTCATATTCTGGCCTCCCTCAAGGGGGGCGTGTTTTTGCAAAGCTTGACCTAGCTCAGGCTTATCAACAGTTGCCTGTTGATGAAGCTGTGCTGTAGCACAAACCATTGTAACACACAGGGGGGGCATTCAAAGTAAAAAGGCTACAGTTTGGAGTAAATGTGGCTCCTGGAATTTTCCAAAGCATAATGGAAAATACACTGAGAGGTATACCAGGGGTTTGCCCCTATTTTGATGATGTCTTAATTGCTGGAGATTCCACTCAAAATTTAGCTGAGAGATTGAGGGCTGTTCTGCTGCGGTTCCGGAAAACGGGCCTCAAACTCAAGAAGGACAAATGTAAAATTGGGGTGCCTTCTACAGATTTTCTGGGATTCAAAATTGATGCCAATGGGATTCATCCTGCTGAGTCCAAATTGAAGGCTATCATGCATGCTCCTAGGCCTAAGTCCAAGGCTGAACTACAAGCTTTTCTGGGCCTTTTGAATTTCTATAATTCATTCATTCCTAACAAGGCTAATGTAGCTGAACCACTTCATAGGCTTCTGGACAAACAGGCAGTGTGGCAGTGGTCACAAACACATGAAGCAAGCTTCAATGAGGTTAAGGCCTTACATCTAACAATGTGCTTGCTCATTTTAATGAAACTCTTCCTGTGTGCATCGCTTGTGATGCTTCTCCTTATGGGGTGGGAGCAGTACTCAGCCACCTTAGGCCGGATGGAACTCAGGTTCCTGTTGTATATTACTCCAGAACCTTGTCTTCTGCTGAGCGAAACTACGCCCAGATAGACAGGGAGGCTTTAGCTGTTGTTGCTGGAATTAAAAAATTCCATGATTTTTTGTATGGCAGACATTTCACGGTCTTTACTGACCATAAGCCTTTGTTGGGGCTGTTTACCACAAACAAACAAACTCCCCATATCATCTCCCCCAGAATGATGCGATGGTCAATCTTTCTGTCAGCCTATGATTTTTCTCTAATTCACAAACCTGGGAAAGAAATGGGCCATGCTGATGGCCTCAGTAGATTACCCCTGCAAGTAGTAGAGGCTGATCCTGCCCCTGCCATCAACATCCTTTCAATTCAGGCATTGCCTGAGTCACCGTTAAATGCCAGGGATGTGGCTGCTGAATCTGCCACAGATCTCACACTCTCCCGTGTCTTATCTTGGGTTTTGTCTGGATGGCCAGAGAGTTGTCCTGGCGCTGAGTTTCAGAGTTTCTGGCTTAAGAGGAACGAGTTATCCACTTTCCAGGGTTGTCTGCTGTGGGGCAGCAGAGTTGTCATTCCTACCTCAATGAGGTCTAGGGTCTTAGGTTCCCTTCACGAGGGTCATCTGGCATTGTACGCATGAAGGCGCTTGCGCGCAGCCATTTGTGGTGGCCTGGGTTAGATAAGGAAATTGAAGCTAAGGTGCACGCATGCCACCTTTGTCAGCGCTCACGCCCAGAAATGCCTCAGGCTCCTGTGCATAGATGGGAGGAAATACAGTCTCCAGGGTCTAGGGTGCACATCGATTACGCTGGGCCCTTTCAGGGTCAATTCTTCTTGGTCCTGGATGATAGCCATTCAAAATGGCTTGAGGTTGTACCTGTCTCTTTCACCACCACTGCAAAGACTATTCAAGTACTGAGGGGGATTTTTGCTGCACATGGGCTTCCGGATGTTTTGGTGTCTGACAATGGCCCTCAATTCACTTCTTCCGAATTCCAAGCTTTCTTACAGGCCAACATGATTCGTCATGCCACCTCTGCACCATTCCACCCTTCCACCAACAGTATGGCTGAACAGATGGTCCGCATCACCAAGGATGCTTTAAGGAGACTGACATATGGGGACTGGCATCACAAGTTGGCAGACTTTCTATTTGCTTACCGCACCACACCTTCAACTTCTACTGAGAGAAGTCCGGCTGAACTTCGCTGGGGGCACAAACTGACTACTAAGCTTGACCAGTTGCATCCGGACAGACTGCCTTCTAAGTTTACACAACCCAGGGCACCAAGGCAATTGCTAGTGGGTGCCCCAGTATGGACCCGTAATTACGGGCCAGGTCACTTGTGGGTCCCTGCTATAGTATGCAAGGTTACAGGTCCCTTGTCTTATGAAGTTTCCCTGGATGACGGTCGTATCCTGCGACGGCATATCGACCAGCTGCGTACGAGAATGGACTCACCCTCAGAGACTCCTGGGTCTTTTCCAGGGGGGGAGGGGGACCTCTATGGGCAAATGGAAGGATGTGGGCAGCAGTCAGACACCAACAGAGAGGCCACTGATGGCCTATTTCAAGATTCCGCGAGTGCTCCGAACAGGAATTCATGGGAACCAGCTAGAACACAGGCACCAGTGCCTACTCCAGCCAGGGAGTCACCCCGGGGGCATAATCATTACACATCAGCACCATTTAGCACTCCAGTCAGGGAGAATACCCGGGACCATCCTAATAACTCACACATTGCAAGAGAGCTGGCACACAATTCTTCGAGTTGGCCCAACACTGCCACTGTTCCCAGGAAGGGGCATTCACATAGGGAGGTGGTCGGAGGGCCGAATCCCAATTCGGACACCTCTGGCATAACAGAGGGGGCAACTGAGTTTTGGGACAATACTGAGATCCCAGACAGCCCTGCTATGGAACTGGGGAGTGGAGGAAGGCAGCCTCATGATAGGTCTAAGGTAGACCTGGGAGGTTCTACAGAGTCGCCCAACAGTGGCAGCCTTCTAGAAGGGCAGAGAGCTTGCAACTAGGCAGGTCAACCAGGTTATGGAGAGAAAAAGTCCTGGCCTGACAAGCCCGGTGGGCAAGCAAGCAGGCCAGGCAACGGGGCACAGTCCATGGGGACCACCAGGGTCAAAGAAAGGGGGCGAACACATAGCACCCCCCCAGACAAGATGTGCTTGGAGGTTCTCTGGGAATTCGGAGATCACAGAGAGCTAAAAGATCTCCTAAATATCTTGAAGATTTTGTAATTCTGCTGGCAAAGCAGAAACAGTAAGAGTGTATTCCTGTGAAAGGTTGGAAATAAGGAACACTGGGAAATGAAGCCCAAAAGTACAGTTTGGTATCAAGGAGCTAGTGTGGCTCCCACGCTCGTATTGAGGTCGCATGTAACTATTCATGTAGTTGTAGTTTTAGCTGGGGGGGAAGGGGTGTTGTGTCCTGAGCCTGCAAAGGCAGGCTCGGGACGTTGCAACAGTCCCGGGCAGTTGCAAGCTGCCCGGGACCAGACTGGCTGTCGCCGGCACTCATGCGCATGCATGAAGTGCGAAGCGCGCCAAATGTTGCCGTTTGGCCCGGGATTGCCTTTAAGAGAAGCAGAGAGGCTTGTGTGCCTCGGCGTTGTAACGGGGCTACTGAACAACAATAAAGAGGCTCCTGAAACTACCAAAGGCTTCATGACGTTATTGCCATTCGCTGAGGACTCAACAATGACCATGAATGATTTGCTTAACAACTGCAGCAAAAATTATAAAATTGTGTGTGATGTCTCATGTAATGATTGTACCAGGTAATGATGAATTTTCTGATCCCTCATGTTTTTAGCTTTCCTCCCTTTCCGCTAATAAAGAACATAAGAGAAACTAAGATTGCATGATCTATAGCAGGAGTAGAGAACAACGGCCCCTTTATGAATTATGGACTTCAATTCCCAGAATTCCCATGGGTAGATGATCTTCTACCCATGCTCTACTAGACTCAGATTTTCTTCAAAGCATTCTTTGTAGCCATATTACTTATTATTCTGGGAATAATAGTTCAGGAGATATCAAGGGCAATCTGACTGGAGAAGTTTATCTTACCATACTCTTAATGCTCAGGACTTCAAATGCTAGAGCAGCGGTTCTCAACCTATGGGTCGCGACCCCATTTGGGGTCGATCGACCATTTTTCGGGGGTCGCCAAAGAAGGCGATCCGCCATTTTCTCCCCTCAGGGGGCGGTGCTGCGCATGCGTGCCACGCATGGGGGCACCCCCGCACATGTGTGCCACGCAGGGGGGCACCACGCATGCACGCCGCGCATGGGGGTGCCGCCACGCATGCGCACTGCGCATGCGCGGAACGTTTGTGTGACAGGGTCGCCGTCACACAAACGTTGAGAACTACTGTGCTAGAGTGAATAGCAAATCTGGATGAATCAGGTATGAGTTTTGAAAAACATTGTGAATCATTCTGAATCAATGTGATCTGGGGGAAGAAATATTCTGAGAGAGTATAAGGTCAGAGATTGGAAATGAGATAAATAATTAGTCCACTCAGAGGCCTAAGATTGAATGAAAATGGGGACTACTGTATATGCTTAGGAAAGGATCTGTATATTTCAAATGTCTCACTTAGTTTGGCCATGTCATGTGGGGGAATTCACTGGAGAAAACAATTACAATTGTATGTAAGTAGTAAAATGAAACCAGCCTGCCAAAAAACACCATTAGCTGGACACCATCAAAGCTGACAGAGCATAGAACAATTCAAAGATGTAGTACAAGATCAGAAGATGTGGAGAGACTTGGCCCATAGGATCACCAAGAATTGCACATGATTAATGGATGACATCATCTCCACTACCACCACCACCACCATCATCATGATTCAAATGGAAGGATTTAATACAACTGATTTAATATTTTACGTTGAAAGAATGAGAGAATTAGTGAAGGGTGTATAATTATGAGGAATATTGGATGTAGGAGAAACAAATGTGGATATTGTCAAGAGTGAATCTTTGGGTGAAATGAACACAGAAAAAAGTAGAAAGACAGGAAAAGAATTATATAACATTGAAGAGGAAAATGTAGATCAAGTCATCAGTGACTAGCAAAGTCACTTAAACAGAATAAAAACAATATCACGACAGGGTTGCAAAAATGTTCATTGAAATTAATGTAGAAAATTAGTCTTTGCTATATGCAAGAATCACTATGTCCTATCCCCCCCAAAATTGCAAAATGAAATGAAAATTCAAATAGGCACACACAATATATCAGAATTAGTAATATAGTATATTATATTACTTATAGAAATGACCCCCTTGGTTCACTGATATGATGATATCAGGAGACAATTTAATTGATTAAAAAACCTGAAGAAAATAACAGAATATTGTAATTTACAAATAAAGATTGAAAGATGATGCAAGAAAAAGTAGATTGTCATGATGGGTATAATTAGAGGTCTTGGTGCAGTGTTAAATGATTCACAAAATATTTTGCACTTTTAATTTTTTTTTACTTCTCTTTGCATCATTAATTTTGTAAAAGATTGCCCTATTGGGACAATAGACATGTTATGATGTCTTCTTGAATCCTTGGGTAGGAACAATTGATTTGGATATATTTAGATATTTGGATGGATAAAATAAATAAGAATCACAAATATCTTTTAATGGTATCTCTTTGACACTAGTTTGTATATGAACACTAAGCCATGTAACAGTTTATTTGCTTTTGGCATAACATATTGTTCAAATGTGGCCCTATGTGCTTTGAATCCTGACTGTTCTTTAGCCTCACCATTAGAAAATATTTGGATTGAACTGTGGAATCCCTAATGCTCTCTTATTTTCTTGCAGACATTTCATTACTCAACTGGTAACATTATCAGTGCTATCTAATTGAGTAATGAAAGGGAATGAGGTTTGCTCTTTGTTTATATAAAATGGCTCTACTTCCTTCTAGCACAGATGATGTTATCTAGTTGGGTGATGAAATGTCTGAAAGAATGTTCTTTAGTCTTGCTGAGTTTGGTCAATAGACTTTAATTAAGGAATTATTATACATTTCAAAATAAGAACATACAGTTTGGGTATAATAATTTACTGATAGCAAAGTATCCTGTTTGCTGAAGTGCAGAAGAAAGAGCTCTGCTATCAATAAGATGCAACACTATACTGAATTAAGTTTGACTTTGTCCTTCTTGTTATCTTTCAGGGAAAGACAGGCTTTGTTGGCTATTCAGGCCATCCTGGTGAAGAAGGAGGAATTGTAAGTAACACACCAAGCAGTCTTATTCAAAGAATACATTGTGGTCACTTAAGATAAGACCACCTGGAGTTATCCCTAGCAATCTACATTAACTCCTATTTCTGTAACATTCTAAGAGAGAGAGAGAGAGAGAGAGAGAGAGAGAGAGAGGGAGGGAGGGAGGGAGGGAGGGAGGGAGGGAGGGAGAGAGGGAGGGAGGGAGGCGCAGAGGCACATAGACAGACAAATAGTTCTATGACAGGCATTTATAAGATGGAATGTGTCAGTCATATGGAAGAGGGTTTAAATAATACAGCAGATCTTACTCAATGCCTTAGTTGTAGATTACTTATGATCACTGATCAAACAAAGCTTATTATAAGGAGAATATAATATAAAACTTAGGTGATGGAGAAGAAGATGAAATGCTAGCAATCTGTACATCTGAACTATACCTCTGAAAAAGATTGCTTCATTTCTTCATTCATCAGGATGTGTGTTCATTCAGGTGTCTGTATGTGCTTCTTAACAAGCATGTGCAGTAAGCTCAAATTTGAAGAACAGGTTCACAATCTAAATATATCTATAGTATTAAAGAATTAGTTTTTGGTATGTCTATTTCATAAGTTAATCTTACATTATTTAGTTATTATTGTTAGGTCTGATTCAGCAAAGTCTGCATTTCACAGCATGTAGTCAGGAGACAACTCAGCAATTTTCAGAAATTCTAATTAGAGACATTAACCATATATCCTTCAAAGAGAAGGCAAATGTATCCAAGGCATTGGGCATATTCAAAGGATAGGTTTTCCAATTTTTCACTTTTTTATTTTGCTTTAGGGAAATCGTGGTCTGATGGGTTCTAATGGAACGCAAGGAGAAGTTGGATGCTCTGGGGCTAGAGGTCCCAAGGCAAGTCTTGAAACCATTTTCCAAGAGGATCACCTTAGGTGTTCTTGTGACATTACACTTCATATTATTTCATTTCTTACCATCTTGGTGTGGTTCCAATGTGTGCTCGTTTCATTTTGAAAAATGATTTCATAGTTCTCTTCCACTTCAAGAAATGAGAATGCACGGGTGTCTGTAAATCCAGATGGTGGCCACAATGATGTGTTTGACACTCTGCTTATGTGATGTACATAAAAAAAAGAAAAGAAAAAGTGGAGGTTGAATTGCATTGTTGTGGCTGCCTTCAAAACAATTTGACCGCACCCTATGTACTCCCATGTTATAATGTGTGCATTTTTATCCAGTAAATTATATTTGTATTTACCAAAAGGAAGATGTCCCTGAGAAGATGAGAAAAATAATCTCCTCTCAAAAAAGGAAAATTGAACACCAGCAGTAGCAGCAACAACAAACAGAATATAACAAGATACAAAGTTTGCACGTAGCTCAACTGTTCTAATTTGCCAGCTAGAGTTGCTGGCTCCTATCAAAACAAGAGTTGGAGATTTTTTTTTTCACCCAACAAATATGCTTGTTCACAGGACTTTGAACACAATGAATGGGGGAGGGCAAAGCACTTTTGCACATAAGAACATCAGATTAAAAGTCAGTAGGAATCTTATGAGTGGTAAGAAATGCATTGCTTTCTGTGCTTCTCTGAATAATAAAAAACGAGAAAGAAGCTGCTGAGTTCCTAATGGTGAGGTGAACAATTGCTGGGAATGAGCATTTGAAGTATCACTATACTATAAGGCAGTATAGAAAAAAAATTTGCTAATCCCATTACCTGAATGCTAATTTGAATTTCTGATTATCTAGTATTTCTTGTTCAGAAAAATACTCTATATTTGGAAATTTGTTTCAGGACTTCTGAATTTCTTCTGTGTAACACCCAGTTTCTTCTATGTTTCAGGGAGTAAGAGGATATAGTGGAAAAAAGGTAGGCAAATTTTTAAAATAGAGAAATAAAACGCTTTCTTCAAAAGATACGACTGGAAGATTTATTTTGATTATTATTACTATCTTGTAGTTGGTAGGTATGGATTTTTGCAGACTAAGGCACTGTATAAGGGCACCTCCACAGCTTCACTATTTTTATCTCATCATCTTTCAAAATCAGTCTAAAGATGGCTTGTCATTCTTTTCACTTCTGCTGTATGGGGTGTGGTGGCCTAGCAGTTAAGATGTTGGGCTTATCACTAGAAGGTTAGCAGTTTGAGACCCAAGTATCATGTGATGGGATGAGCTCCTGTTCTTTCCCACCTCCTGCCTATCTAGCAGTTTAAAAGCATGCAAATGCAAACAAATAAAGGTATCACTTGGGTGGAAAGGTAACAGCGTTCCTTGCACCTTGGCATATACAGTAGACATGTCGGCCGAAGACAATGCTGGCTCCCTTGACTAAGAAACATCTCCTAGAGTTGAATAGGACTGGATAGGGGAAAGCTTTATCTTTTTTTTCCACTTCTGCTGACCTTGCAATGCTGAGAACAAGGAACAAACAAAATTACACTTCCACCTCACGTCCTGAGAAACAAAATGTCTTTACCTCTTGCTGCATGTGAGTGGGGGAAAAAAGGTACTTGATTATAACATCTCTTTCTCTTTCATGTCTTTCATATTATATGTCATATGAAATTGTTCATATGAGTGGGAGTTACAGAATCATCCAGCTACATTACTCTTGAAAGACTAGTCTAGGAGAAAATGGGAGAGCAAAGCTTTCAAATACAGTGATGAAGTCATGGGACCATGAAAGTCCAGTCATGCTCTCAAAGTGGCCCAGAATTATTAGGTGAAAGTGACTTAATTTGAGTAGGGGTTTTATTTTTTTCTTTATCAGTATATTATTATTTATGGTTTGTCACATAATCAGCCAGATATTCAGACTGGATTTGGCATTTTTGCTTGTCTATCAAGTCCTTCCCAAGGATCTGGGATAAGCAGATATTGATGTTTGATGATGCTATGCATACTGTTCCAAGTAAAGCTCCATTTTGCAACTGACTGATAATGAATTTGTCAATACTGATGGTTATTATTATTATTATACCATTATTATTATTATACCTCATCAGAACTATTTGGTTGTATCTAACGTTATGTATATGTCAGTGCTGGTTTATCAGGCCTTTGAGGATACATAAGCTATATTCAGAGGACGGGAGATAAAAAAATGTGTCATGTATGGAAGGCTTCTTATTTGATGCTGCAAAAATAACAAAGAATTTCATACTTATATTTCCTCCAACAGGGTGAAGCTGGTAATCCCGGGATTGATGGTATTTATGGACAGGAGGTATTTATTCAATATATTTTTATCCTCCATATACATACGTACATACATGCTTACATATATGTTTTATAAATAACTCAAGGAAGTGAACACACATAGTATTCCTTTCTTCTCCTATTTTCCCCATAAAAACAACCTTGTGACATGGGTTGGATTGTGAGAATGTTACTGACCCAAAGTCACCCTAGTGGCTTTCATACTTAAAACAGGATTAGAACTCAGTTTCTTGGTTTCTAGGCCAGCACATTTTGATGAGCCCATTTTTATGTAGATGATTTAAAGATGCATATAGCTTCTGAATAAATGCAGAATTGAATTAAGTCACAAAATGGATCATCTGTTTAAATGTTACAATCTAATGAATACTTCGTAAAAGGATTAGACTCACAAAAGCTTTCCAGGTGTCTTCTGAAAGATTGGAGATAATCTCTAATCTAGATCTTTAAGAAACAGGTTTCATAAGGTTATTGAATTATTGTCCTTTTTCTTTTGGGGTCTAGGGAGAACAAGGAGTTCCTGGATCACATGGACAAAAGGGCCACTCAGGACGAAGGGTAAACTAAATTCTATGTTGAATGCATTTATGAGCAGGGGGCACTATAATCTCTTGCAGCTTTCCCTAATTTGTCACTTCCCAGATCTCTTGAGATCACAACTCCCAGAATTTATTGCTGGTGATTCTCCTATATACAGTGTCAATGTACCTGAAAGAGGGGAAAACTGCTATATAGTATTGTCAGCAAGCTTCAAACTTTTTGCAGTCCTGTGAATTAATGATTATATGATAAATAAATGCATTATCTACACAGAGAGACTGATTAATGCCAATTGATCTACCTCAAGGGGCATCAGACACAAATGCTGCAACCCAGCTTAGAGTTAAATGACTTTAAATCACTTCCTTTCCACTTTACTGTTATGAACATGATTACAGACCTAGATGGTGAGCACCAAACAATGACTGGGATGATATAGGCAGGTCAACACTAAGTGAACTCTTCTTTCTTCTCTTCATGGTTAAAGGGTAGAGAAGGCCCTAGAGGAGAACCTGGTGAGCCTGGACAGCCTGGAGCAAGAGGAGACAGTGTAAGTTAAGAACAGTTATTGTTTTAGTTTTAAAAATCAAATTGAATGAAATGACAATAATTAGAAATAACAATTTTAGAATTATTTTTTGCATGAGAGAGAGAGCGCTATAATAATAGGATGTGGCTATTTGGGCTACAAAGTTAAGCACTATTGGACCTCATTAGTGCTTGAACAGGAGAGTACTAGGGAATACCAAAAATGCAACTTTGGCTGGGGAGTTGGGGAAAAAACCCACGGCAAACCCATGTCCTTATTGCTGCTGATATTATTACACAGATATTTGTGATATAACTGGTTTTTCTTAATTTGATATTTCTTCCTTTCTGGAACTGCACTCTTTTCAGTCTTTTCTTGAAGTAGCTGGAAGAGGCACCACCATGTTTTGCACATGTCTGGAGTCCTCTTCCAGTTGCTGACTCTTAAAGAAAGCTGCAGAGAAGGTACCAAAGCAAGCATTTAAGAGCAATGGGGTCATTTGTCTTGGTTACCTAAATCATCTCATTGCAACTTCAAAAGCTCCTTCCTTCCTTCCTTCCTTCCTTCCTTCCTTCCTTCCTTCCTTCCTTCCTTCCTTCCTTCCTTCCTTCCTTCCTTTCCTTTTCTTTCTTTCTTTCTTTTGCATAATTGAATGCTTTTGTCAGGAAAGCTATGATATTATCCGTATAATACAAAGTTTGGCACAGACTTACTGTATTGTTCTGTTCCATGCTTACATGAAAACTTTTGTAACTGCTTTGTAAAATTGATTTTGGTGCCAAAAAGTTCTTTGGAAGGTTTTTTGTTTTTTCTTTAAGTAGGAAGTTTCTGTAAGTTGGAACTGATCATAATTGAAAAACTGGAAATAGCATTGAAGGAAGTTTTATATAACTTGTGGCAGATTGCTCATCTAGGTTACTATCTATTCTAATTTACACTGGGCAGCCCTGAAAGTGTTCTAAATTTTTCAGTTCTAATCTAATTTAATGCTGAAGAACCACAAACCATATAGCAATAAATACAAATAAGGAATACAAGAGGCCTTGAAACTTCCCAGCAACAGTTATCAATTGCTTAACAAATTGAACTAATGTTGCAGTGTTTCAGCTCAAGTTCTGCCCCTTCTATACATGCATTATGACATTGCACACATCAATAAAAGGAGAGGAGTTTACGATGTGTCACTGTTTTCATAACCTGGTAAAAGGTTCCTTTGTGGTTCATGCAAAGAGCTGAACATAGAATCAGAGTCAAGGTACAAACCAGGAATAAGGACTTGTCAAGCCTCATAGGATCAATAGAAATGCCAAAGTGTACATAAAAACTTTGAAAACCTCTTGATTCAACCAAGATTCAAGTTCAAAAGAATACTCTATGTAGACTTTCTATTCAGGAGGAGCTAATGCATGTCATTTCTTGTATATACATATATAAATACATGCAATTTGGCAGAGATATACTATAAGAAATAATGTCTCCCAGTCCATTGTTGGAAACACAAGAAATTACTTGGTTCAATAATTCAGAATGTTGCTGTGTTTTTTTTTAAAGGGTAGGGGAATAGAAATCGTTTTACATGAAGGTATTTATGCCTTCAGTCATGAATCTAGCTATTCAGATTATATTGCAAGATTTCTTTGCCGACCACAGTGATTTTCTCTGTTGCTTTTGACTGAAAGCCTATTTTATACTAAGATAAATGTAGCTTCTATCACACTGACTCATTTTTTTCAGCTGCAGAAAAAGCAGAAGTCTGTGAAGCTACTTAAGAGCTTGTTTGTTCTTTTCAGGGGTTTCTTGGATCTGACAACAATGAACTTGGTCCTCCGGGTAAAAAAGGAAATATGGGGCAGCAGGTATCCAATCATCTAAAAATCATTAAGAGCATGCATAGCTATTTCTAAACATAATGTTGCATCTTAACTAGGGCCCGATTGTTGGAGGCGCACTATGTTTCATTGTTTCCTCTGGATTTTGGCAGGTTTCCAGAATTAGTTGAAGCCAAACTGAATCAAGATACCATTGGCAGCATGAACTGAATTTGCAAGTGTCTGTTACTTGACTTTTTCAGACTGAATCAGATTTATACATGCATGTGATGTGTTTATGCAGCAAATATGTTTGCAAGTCACACATACATACACTCACCGTTTTAATGAGGAAGCTTAGAAAGTCAGGCCATATTGTGAACACTTGCTTCAATCACAGGTCATAATTCATCACCAATATATTATGGAACCTAAAACACAAATGTATTTTAAATAATCTTGCTGTCCTTTGCAGGGAGAACCAGGGGATGATGGAGAGCCAGGAGAAGCAGGCGAGAGTGGTGCTAATGTAAGACTACTTATATGCAAAGAAAATAAATAGTCACAACAAACACTAGAGCTTTGGTTAAGGAAACAATCTCGTCCCTTTCTCAAATGTAATCTCTCTTTAAAATATTCTAAAATTAGCTAAAGGTAATACAACATAGACCAAAGTAAAGTCACAAGTTGCCAAAAGTTTATGGGGCCCTAGTATCTCAATAATTTTTTTTATGGTGCACCTCAGCTTGCAATTCACATAGTGTCTCATGGATGTCAAACATTGCTGTGTTACTCTGCAACACCTCTGTGAGTTTGTTGCAATGCCCTTGAATGATGTGGCATACAGTTTGGGAACCAAACCTAGGCAAATAGGAAAAAGCCTCTTAACCTTATTATTTATTTATTTATTTATTTATGAGACTTATATACCGCTTTAAGTGCAAGCACTCTCTAAGCGGTGCACACCAGTAAGCAATGTATATATATATTTACATTGCCCCCAACAATCTGGGTCCTCATTTTACTTACCCCGGAAGGATGGAAGGCTGATCCTTTTATTTATTTATTTATTTATTTTGTTAAAATTTATAGACCGCCCCACTCCCGAAGGATTCCGGGTGGCTAACAATAAAAACACAATAAAACTTAACAAACAATACAGTAACATTCATCCAGGGGTCAGATTTTATAAACCCCAGGCCTGCCGGAAAAGCCAGGTCTTAAGCAGCTTGCGGAAAACCAACAGGGTGGAAGCGGTCCTAATCTCCGGGGGGAGCTGGTTCCAAGACGTGGGTGCCATCACAGAGAAAGCCCTCCCCTGCCAAATGGCACTGCTTGGCCGATGGGACTTGAAGGAGGCCCAGCCTGTGGGATCTAACCGGATGAAGGGAACTATGAGATAGTAGGCAGTCTTGCAAATAGCCTGGCCCTGAGCCATATAGAGCTTTAAAGGTAATAACCAACACCTTGAATTGGACCCAGAGACCAATAGGCAACCAGTGCAGCTCGCGGAGGATAGGTGTAACGTGGGTGTACCGAGGAACACCCGCTATCACTCGCGCGGCTATTTAACTGTAGTCTCTGGACCAACTGTAGTCTCCGAATACTTTTCAAGGGTAGCCCCACGTACAGCGTGTTGCAGTAGTCCAGGCATGAGGTGACAAGGACATGAGTGACTGTAAGGAGAGCCTCCCGGTCCAAGTAGGGTCGTAACTGGTGCAACAGACGAACTTGTGCAAAGATCTTCCCAGCCACTGCCGTCAAATGATGTTCCAATTTCAGCTGTGGATCAAGGAGGACAACCAACCTGCTCCGAAGGGGGTATATTTTCCCCTGCTAGAGTCAACACTGGACAGTTAACATGATCCTTGGGAGGCAACATCCAAAGCCACTCGGTCTTGTCAGGATTGAGCCTGAGTCTGTTAACCCCCATCCAGACCCTTACGGCTTCAAGGCAACGGCCCATCACATCAGCTGCTTCACTGAGAGAGCTCGGGGAAGAGATATATAACTGGGTATCATCAGCATACTGATGAAACCTCACCCCGTGCTGTCTGATGATCTCACCCAGCGGCTTCATATAAATGTTAAATAGGAGGGGGGAGAGGACTGACCCCTGCGGCACCCCGCATTCAAGGGGCCTTGGGGTTGACCTCTGCCCCCCCACCAGTACCGATTGCGACCAGCCAGAGAGGTAGGAGGAGAACCACCGTAAAACGGTGCCTCCCACTCCCACCCCTCCAAGTCATCGCAAAAAGATACCATGATCGATGGTATCAAAAGCTGCTGAGAGATCAAGTAGCACCAAGACAGAGAATAACCCCTGTCTCGGGCCCGCCAGCGATCATCCATCAGCGCAACCAAAGCAGTTTCTGTGCTGAAGCTGGGCCTGAAGCCAGATTGAAAAGGGTCTAGGTAATCCGCTTCATCCAGAGACCGTCGGAGCTGGAGTGCCACCACTCTCTCTACAACCTTCCCAAAAAGGGGAGATTGGAGACTGGACAGAAGTTATTTAAATCAGCCGGGTCCAGGGTAGGCTTCTTGAGAAGGGGCCTCACAACCGCTTCCTTCAAGGGTTGCGGGAAAGATCCCTCCCTCAGCAAAGTGTTGATCAACACCTGGAGCCAGCTTCGTGTCACCTCCTTGGCAGCCGAGACCAACCAGGAAGGATACGGGTCCAATAAACAAGTGGAGGCACTCATCGCTTCCACCGCTCTGTCAACATCCTCAGCGGTCACAGACTCAAATTCATCCCATAAAACTGGGCTAAGACCTGCCCCGGTCATCTCAGAAGGCCCTGCCCAATCGGAGTCTAGGTCTGTCCAAATCCGAGCGATTTTGTCTGATAGAAACTGCACAAATTCTTTCGCCCTACCCTGTAAGGGCTCCCTGGCTTCCTGAACATTAAGTAGGGAATGGGTCACCCTAAACAGGGCGGCGGGGCGAGATTCTGCAGACGCGATAAATGCAGAAAAATGCGAACATTTTGCCGCTCGTATCGCCACTAAATAGGTCCTAATATAGGCTCTTAAAAGTGTCCGGTCGGGTTCGGAGTTACTAGCCCTCCAGCGTCATTCTAGACGTATCTTCTGATGCTTCATCTCTCATAGCTCCTCGGTCAACCAAGGTGCCCTCCGGGATCCACAAGGTCTAAAGCCCCTGATGCTGCCTTATTCCAAGCAGCAACCAAGGACTCAGCCGGTTTGTGGAGGAGGGAATCAGGAAAACCCTCAAGCGCTATTCGGAACCCCTCCGGGTCCATTAAACACATTTTATATACAAGCCTGGTCTTTTCCTCTTTATCATCGCATTATATTTTTCTCTTTCAGTTTTAAGACGCTTTAGCCTAAGACAGGTACATCATTGTAAAAAAGAAGGAAAGAGGTCTATAGTTACAAAGGGGGCTATAGGAGATGTCAAAAATATCAAGATGGCATGGACAAAGACTTGCTCCTTTTTTATCTGCATCAAACAAGCCCCTCCCCCCTGCCAATGCTTGGTCATATGATCAAAATTCAGGCACGTGGCAACCAGCATGCAGTTTGTAATGGTTGCGGCATTCCTTGGTCACATGATTCCTATCTGTCACCTTCCTAGCTAACTTCTGACAATGGAGAAACCCTGATTCACTTAACAACCAGGTTATAGACTTATCATCTAAGTTGATTTGCTTAACTACCACAATTAAAAATGTCATAACTTGGATGCAACTTACTTAATGACTGCCTTGCTTAGCAACAGAAGTTCCAGTCCCAACTGTGGTTGTAAATCAAGATTTCCTGTACTTTTATAACTCGCTTCAGTATCAGGTGCTATAACTACTTTTTCTTCCCTCTTCTTTTAGGGTCTTGTTGGGCAAAGAGGTCCTCCTGGTTTAATGGTTAGTAACCATTGCATTCACATATTACTGCTTTACTGAAAATAGTCTGAGTTTTCTTCTCTCTCTTATTTAACATTGAATTCATGAATACTAATCAGTGCTTTTACAGACTTATTCCAGTGCTGACTCAATCCTGATATGGGGAAATTAACTATTTAAATGAAAACTGACATTCTTAAAAATTAATGATATTTCTAATTGTTCTCGGAAAAGCTGTTGACTTTCTTATCATTAAAATGATCAAATCTTGAAGTGCTAATAATTAAACTTTAAAAAAATCATGATCTTAATTTAGGCATTCTTTTTAATAATTTTTTTTCTTAATAATATTTTTTAATTACTTGATTACAAAGCTTAACTCCTACTTTACTTTCATGTCTGTATTTTGCCAGTTGTTCTCCTGCCCTTACAAAGTTCCTTCCTTGAGTTTGTTCTGTATTTTAATTAATTTATTTTACTAGACAGTATTTCATTTGGCTGAATGTTTTCTCACTATTAAAAATGCCAAATACTTCATACTTCAAATAGTGAAATTTAATGGCATTTTCCATCCCATTATTTAGCTATATGTGTTGCATTTTCAGACATTTATTTATTTACTGTATTTATAGTCTGTTCAGTCTTTTCCAGCTCCAGGGAGGGGTGCTCATCTCCATTTCTTAGCCAAGGAAGCCAGCATTGTACAAAGATATTAGCGTGGTCATGTGGCCAGCATGAATATATGTGGAGACACATGGAACACTCTTACCTTCCCACTGAAGTGGTACCTATTTATCTACTTTCATGCTTTTGAATTGCTAGATGGGCAGTTGCTAGGGCAGGAATGGGAGCTTACTCCTTTGTGCAATGCTTGGGTCTTGAACTCAGGTTGTCAACTTTCCAGCTGACAAACTCAGTGTCTTTTGTGTCCTGAGCCTGCAAAAGCAGGCTCGGGACATTGCAATGGTCCCGGGCTGTTGCAAGCTGCCCAGGACCAGACTGAGTGGCACCAGCCTGCATGCATGCGCAAGGCGTGGAAGCGCACCAGTTTGTTACCTTTTTGCCCGGGGATTCTATTAAAGGAAGCAGAGAGGCCTGCGAGCCTCTGAGTTGTGTCGGAGAGAGCTGATGAGAATAAAAGCTTTTAGAATCAACAGAATGTGTGCTCTTCTTTTGCCATTGACTCGAGGACTCAACATTGGCGACGAAGGTGGGATGGCTTACAAGATAAAGAAAGAAGACTTGTAAGGCTTACCCAAGAGTCCTGGAGAGAGGAAGACGGCGTTAAATTCACCATCTGGCTTGCCAGTACAGTGTCGCTGGAGGTAAGCTGGCTGATAGACCCCTTCCTAGAATAAGAAGCAAGGATGGCGAAGATAGGGAGATTGTCTGAATTCGACGTTACTCACCAGAAAGATGGGAGTCGTATGTTGCTAGAGTAGAAAATTACTTTAGAGTGAATCAAGTTAGAGAAGATGGCTTGAAGGCCGCTACTTTTCTGTGTGTCTGTGGTCAAGATGCATTTGAAATTGCAGAAAATTTGGCAGCCCCTGCTCCTCTTGAGTCTGTTACTTATACAGACTTAAAGAAGTTATTGAAAGAACATTTCCAGCCCAAGTTGTCTGTGATTGCGTGGAGACACACGTTTGAATAGAGGGATCAAAGAGCTGGTGAATCAGCCAAAGAATACATTGCAGCCTTGAGAAGAGCAGCTAAGCCCTGTGACTTTAAAGATTTAGAAGAAAGGCTGAGAGGCCGTTTTGTATGCGGGCTAAGGAACAGAGACTTGCAACAGAGACTCTTTGCAAAAGAAGATATTTCCTTCTAAGATGCCTTGAGAGAGGTCACTGCAGAGGAGGCAGCAGGTGGGGCGGTCAAGAATATGAGGCCTATCAGGAACAACCCAGAAGCAGTTTCCGTGCACCATGAGGGAGTTCAAGAGAGCTCAGAGGAAGATCCTGAAGATGAGGTGGATCATCTCTACCCATCCAAAGAAAGGAAACAGAAGGAAGGCAAAGAAAAGACTCCTGCTGTGTCCAAGTGCTTCAGGTGTGGAGGTCGCCACAAGAGGACCGACTGCAGGTTCCATTCTGCAATCTGTAGAGCATGTGGCAGGCAAGGCCACATAGCATCTGTTTGTCTGGGCCATCAGAAGGCACAACCTCGAGAAGAATTGCGCCTGAAAGGTACCAGGGTCCCCAGCCAAAACAGGGTGGGTTTCTGTGCATCACGCAGAAGTATTTATAGAACAGGCACACACAGGCCACTTAAAAAGAAACTGTCACTTAAGGTGAGGTTGCAAGGAGTTCCATTGGTTATGGAGCTGGACATTGGGTCTGCTCTTTCAATCATTTCTATCCACACTTTCAGGAAGATTTGCAATAGCAGCGGGATCCAGGCCAAACTGAGGCCATCCAATATAATCTTAACAGAGTTTCAAAATTCCAAGGTGTGTGTAAAGGAGGAGGCCACCCTTACAGTACAGTACAAGGATTTTGAAGGTCCATTAGATGTATTGGTAGTTTGGGGTGAACAAACGAGTCTTATTGGACTCGATTGGTTTGAGGCCTTGGGAATCCAAGTTACAGGGCTATACAATTTGCAAACGTTAGGCCTAGCAGAGGTCTGCAAAGAGTTTGCAGATGTCTTCAGTCCCCAGCTTGGAGCTTACAAAGGCCCCCCAGTTTCTTTGAAACTTGACCCCACTGTCACTCCCATTAGGGTGAAAGCAAGAAGAGTACCCTTTGCTCTTAAAGGGAAAATTGATGCTGAACTGGATAAATTGATTCAGCAAGGTATTTTAGAACCTGTTGATTCAAGTCCATGGGAAACCCACATAGTTACGCCTCTCAAGGGACATTCGCATCTGTGCATGCTACAAATGCACACTAAACAAGGCATTGCAACAGCATGCGTATCCTGTACCTGTAGTCAGCCATATTTTGGCTTCCCTCAAAGGGGGGCGTGTTTTTGCAAAGTTAGATCTGGCACAGGCTTATCAACAGTTACCTGTTGATGAAGCTGCTGCTGAAGCACAGACTATTGTAACTCATAGGGGGGCATTCAAAGTTAAGAGACTACAATTTGGAGTATGGAAAACACCCTGGGGTTTGCCCCTATTTTGATGATGTCCTTATTGCTGGAGAATCCACTCAGAATTTAGTTGAGAGGCTGAGGGCTGTTTTGCTTCACTTCAGAAAAACAGGCCTAAAACTTAAAAAAGACAAATGCAAGATAGTAGTTTCTTCTATAGATTTCCTGGGATTCAGAATAGATGCCAGGGGTATTCACCCTGCTGAGTCTAAATTAAAAGCCATATAGCAGGCTCCTAGGCCTAAGTCTAAAGCTGAGTTACAAGCATTCCTAGGCCTCTTGAATTTTTACAATGCTTTCCTACCTAACAAGGCTAATGTAGCAGAACCACTTCATAGGCTTTTAGACAAGCAGGCAGTGTGGCAGTGGTCCCAAGTACATGAAAAAAGTTTCAGTGAGGTCAAGGCCTTACTTATATCAAATGATGTGCTTGCACATTTTAATGAAACCCTTCCTGTCTGCATTGCTTGTGATGATTCCCCTTATGGGGTAGGGGCTGTACTTAGCCACTTAAGAGCTGATGGAACTCAGGTTCCTGTTGCATATTAGTCCAGAACTTTGTCCTCTGCTGAGCGAAACTACGCTCAGATAGATAGAGAAGCCTTGGCCATTGTCGCTGGAATTTAAAAATTCCATGATTTTCTATATGGCAGACATTTCACGGTCTATACTGACCATAAGCCTCTGTTGGGGTTGTTTACCACTAACAAACAAACTCCCCATATCATCTCTTCTAGAATGCTGAGATGGTCTGTCTTTTTGTCAGCCTATGGTTTTTCATTGATTCACAAACCTGGCAAGGAAATGGGCCACACTGATGGCCTAAGTAGATTACCTCTGCAAATGGTAGAGGCTGCCCCTGCCCCTGCCATCAATATTCTCTCCATTCAGGCGTTGCCTGAGTCTCCCCTAAATGCCAGGGATGTGGCTGCTGAATCAGCCACAGATCTCACGCTTACTCGTGTGCTGTCATGGGTTTTGTCTGGATGGCCTGAGAGTTGTCCAGGTACTGAGTTCCAGAGTTTCTGGCTCAAGAAGCATGAGTTATCTGTTTTTCAGGGTTGCCTATTGTGGGGCAGCAGAGTAGTTATTCCTACCTCATTGAGACCTAGAGTCTTAGCTTCCCTCCATGAGGGTCATCCTGGCATTGTCAGGATGAAAGCGCTTGCGTGCAGTCATTTATGGTGGCCAGGATTAGACAGGGAAATAGAGGCCCAAGTGCATGGATGCCATTTGTGCCAGCATTCACGCCCTGAAATGCCTCAGGCTCCTCTGCATAGATGGGAGGAGATACAGTCACCTTGGTCTAGGGTGCATGTAGATTACACTGGACCCTTTCAGGGACAATTCTTCTTGGTCCTTGTTGACAGCCATTCAAAGTGGCTTGAGGTTGTTCCTGTCTCTTCCACTACTGCTGCCAAGACCATTCAAGTACTGAGAGGGATTTTTGCTGCACATGGCCTTCCAGATGTTCTGGTTTCTGACAATGGTCCTCAATTCACTTCTTCCGAGTTTCAGGCTTTCTTGCAGGCCAACATGATTCGTCATGCAACTTCTGCACTATTCCACCCTTCCACCAACGGTATGGCTGAACGGATGATTCACATTACCAAGGATGCTCTAAAGAAACTGACCTATGGGGGCTGGCACCACAGGTTGGCAGACTTTCTTCTTGATTACTGCACCACACCTTCCACTTCCACTGGGAAGAGCCCGGCAGAACTTCGCTGGGGGTGCAGACTGATCACCAAACTTGACAGGATGCATCCGGACAGGGTGGCTCCTCAGATCACCCAACCAAGGGCACCAAGGTGTCTGCAAGTGGGTGCCCCGGTATGGGCCCGGTCACCTGTGGGTTCCGGCGGTAGTATGCAAGGTCACTGGTCCATTGTCCTACGAGGTTTCCCTGGACGACAGTCGTGTCCTTCGGCGGCATATCGATCAACTGTGTACGAGACTGGACTCTCCCTCTGCAACTCCTGGGTTTTATTCGGGGGGAGGGGGACCACTGTGGGCAAAAGGAAGGGTGTTGGCAGCAATCGGGGCCAAACGGAGAGGCGGAGGAAGGCCTATCCCAAGGTTCCGCAAGTGTCCCTAACAGGAATTCAGGGGAACAAGAAACAATACAGGCACCAGTACTTACTCTAGCCAGGGAATCACCCAGGGGGCATACTCATTATTCACAACCCCAATACAGCACTCCAAGCTGGGAGAATAACCGGGAGCATCCAAACAACCCAAATAACACAAGAGAAATGGCATACAAACAAATAAGCTGGCCCAATGCTGCTACTGCTTCCAAAAGGAAGTCTGCACATAGGGAGGTAGTCAGAGAGGCAAATCCTGATTCCGGTACCTCCGGCATAGAATGGGGGGCAACCGAGTACTGGGGCACTGCAGAAACCCAGACAATCCCATTATGGGGCTTGGGAGTGAAGGGATGCGTTTCCTTGATAGGTCCATTGTGGGCTTGGAAGTACCACAGAAGTGCCAAATACTGGCGGGAACATAGTGGGGCCCGAGAGCCTACAGTTAGGCAGATCAACCAGGTACAGTGGGGAGCAAAGTCCTGGTCTGACGAGCCCGGTGGGCAAGCAAGCAGACCAGGCAACAGAACCCAGTTCACGGGGACCACCAGGGCTTAAAAGAGGGGGCAACTCCACTACAATCTCTGCATAGGATGATTTAGGGAGTTCTCAAAATCTGAGAGGTCACAGAGGGTTAAAAGATCTCCCAAATACTTAGAAGAGTTTGTGACATTGCTGTCAAAGCAAGGGAGGTGAAGAGGGTGCCTGCTGTTGGGGAACTTGGAAATGCAAGTATTGGGCACTTAATTCCAAAATAATAGCATGGTACCATGCTATAGTGTGGCTAGTAAGTAGCTGCAACAGATGTGCAGGTTCCATAGGGATAGCACACCATGCTTGTGTTGAGGTCGTGTATACCTATCAATATAGTTTAATTAGGTTTCATCTGGGAGGAAGGGGTGTTGTGTCCTGAGCTGCAAAAGCAGGCTCGGGACGTTACAATGGTCCCGGGCTGTTGTAAGCTGCCTGGGACCAGACTGAGTGGCGCCAGCCTGCGTGCATGCGCAAGGCGCGGAAGCATGCCAGTTTGTTACCTTTTTGCCCAGGGATTCTATTAAAGGAGGCAGAGAGGCCTGCGAGCCTCTGAGTTGTGTTGGAGAGAGCTGATGAGAATAAAAGCTGTTAGAATCAACAGAATGTGTGCTCTTCTTTCGCCATTGACTCAAGGACTCAACAGTGTCTTTAACCATTGAGCCAACACTCCCCCTTATTGTAGTTATATTTTACATTTTCTGTGGTAACAGACAATGCTACATATAGAAATCTCCACTAAAATTATAGGGCTAAAGGAGAAAGACTTGCCCAATAAATTAAGATACAAAGTAAACTGAAGAATCCTAACTGAAAAGGTCAAGATAATCCATGTCCCCAGAGCTGGAGATAGACTATCCTCTCAACCATCTTCCTGAAAAATATAGTTGGAAACCAGATTAAAACTGTCCATATTGACTGGATCCAGCTATCTTCTCTTGCAATCTCATCACTTTCAAAGCAAGAGAAGCATTTGCCACCACTTAGGGATCCAATTTTCCACTTAATAAACAAGGAGGGAGATGGATCAATAATACAAGGGGCTGCATCTGAGCTCCTAGAATTGTGTTCACATCTTTGGGACTAATAGACTTAAACCACCCCAGATAACATCACAATATTGTTCCTTCATTGCTAGAATTTAAGCGAGGGCAAATCTGAATGATTTTATCATGAACAATCTTGACAGTGACCTGCAGATGCTCCATTGATCCAATCATGTAACAAAACATCAGTGAAGCTCCCTCTGAAATCCAGGAGGACCATCAGGTGCATATTGTAGTTGGATAAAGGAAACTTGCATACAAACGTTTCTTTACCTTGTGATCTGGGTTGACTTTAGTATAATTTCCTTTTTGTCTGCCTTTCAATCCAGCTACTCACTGGCAATGTTCTTATAAAACCCTAGAGGGCCCTGTAGGCTTTGACATTTTTCTAAAATATTTCTCTTCTTCATTTTAGTAAAACATTATGGGAAAATATCTTTCCATTAAAATTTTATCATTTATATAGCTAGATTTTATTTTATTTATATCTAGACTCTTTCTTTATTAAATATTGCCTCAGATGGCTAAATTTAAGTTACTTCTTAGAATAGCTCACATTGTCTTTGTTCTAAAATTTCAACCAAATTTTCAAAGGCGTCTGGTACCCGGTGCGTTGCAGATGGGATATAACTGAACATAATATGTTTGATTTCCATTTTTTAAAACAATATTAATGTGAAGAATGTAAACATTAGATCAAGAAAGGAATGCTATTCTCAATGATTTTCATTCATACGTACATAGTCAATTATGGTGAAACGAAATGTGTTATTGTAAAATTAGAGGAGCTTTTAAGTCAGACTCAGCTTCAACATATGGCAGTTTTGCACCATGGCACTTTTCCTATCACTTAAGTAGAAGTCAGGACATGCAGCCAGGTTGACTACATGTGCTGATTGATATTTAAATGATAGGAATCAACATGTGAAAAACTTTCTTTCTTTCTTTCTTTCTTTCTTTCTTTCTTTCTTTCTTTCTTTCTTTCTTTCTTTCTTTCCTTCTTTCCTCCCTCCTTCCTTCTCTCCCTCCCTCCCTCCCTCTTTTTTCTATAAATGTCCAAGTGAAATATCAGAAACTAGATGTGTATATATAAATGAGTGATGTCAAAATTAGATTTGTTTTATTTTTTAATTTTGCAAAAACAGAAAATTGTGGCTTTATATTTTTCTAAATTGCTAATAAGAAAATGCATCCTATACTCTATTAAACTTCTTACATCAGCTTTTTTCAACCTGGTACCATCCAGGTACCATCCAGAGCTATTGTACTGCATTTCTCATTATTCCGAGCCATGGTGGTTACTGTACTGTATAAATCATAGCATTTCCAGTCCAGTGAAAATGGAAGGTGCAATGGAGGCAAGTAAGTGGCTTAAGTATCTAGACTCATGTAGTTCTGCCTCCTTCCCTTTGGGATTGTGACTACTATGGTTAGCAGCACTATCAGTACTTGGCAAGAATACAGTAATATCAGTGGATTTGGGTTTACAAATGCATGTTTTCATTTTTTTTACCTGACAGGGTGAACTAGGAAATGAAGGGAACCAAGGCTATCCTGGGGAAGCTGGGCTACGAGGGCAAACGGTAATATTTAAGTTATGTTGTGCAGCAGTATGTATGTATGTATGTATGTATGTATGTATGTATGTATGTATGTATGTATGTATACTTCATCTTTATTATTTTTTACAAATAACTTCAGGGGATGAACATATACAATATACCTTCCTCCTCCTATTTTCCCTACAACAATCCTGTGAGATGATTTCTCAATCTTGGCAATGTTTATTTATTTATTTATTTATGAGACTTATATACCGCTTTAAGTGCAAGCACTCTCTAAGCGGTGTACACCAGTAAGCAATGTATATATATATTTACATTGCCCCAACAATCTGGGTCCTCATTTTACCTACCCCGGAAGGATGGAAGGCTGAGTCAACCTTGAGCGGTGGGATTTGAACCGCTTACCTGCTGAACACTGTCAGCTAAAGTGGCCTGCAGTACTGCACTCTAACTGCTGCGCCACCTCGGCTCATTCATGTGAAGATGTATGGACTTCAATTCCCAACTTCAAGTCGTGGGAGTTGAGGTCCATGGATTTTCACTAATATTGAATCTAATTTTTCTCTTTTTACCTCACTAGGGTGTTTTAGGGTTACGAGGAATACCTGGACCGCTAGGACCCCATGGTTTACCTGGCCATCAGGTAAAGTGGAAATTACCGTACTTTTGGTAAACTAAATATTGTGTATGTGGTTTATCTCTTTGTGTGTCTCTGTTGTTATATATATATGATTAGATCTAGAAAGAATTTGTCTCTAGTACAGAAGCCTTTAGCAACAGAATAATAATTCATAATAATTTTGTCATTCTTGTATAGTGAATCTTGCTTTAATAAACTGATCGGGGGAAACAGGGGCATCTGTTATTCTCCATATCATTGCAATGATGTCATTTAATCAAACTATATTATCTCCACAATGATATTATTCTACAAATCAGATCAACTGACACAAATAATGCATTTCACATATTGACACCATAACACAATCCACATAAATTGCAAGAGAATTAAGCCTTCATCAAACTTCAAATTTAAATTGTGTTTGCTGCACATATAAATGTGTGGGGACATAGAAAGATCTTGATTAATGAAAGAGTGCATTCAGCTATTACCATCATTTCTTTATCTTTCTCTCCTTAGAACTTCAGTCTTATCAATTCTATTACATTTTTTTCTCTGGAAAAAAATCCCTCTCTCCCTGGAGTTTCATTCCTTTGGATAAGTGAGTTCCCCCAAAGATAACTTGTGGGCCTGGATAGTTTCATGAGACATGGATTGGCATTTTAAAAAAGAAACAAATGACTTCAGTTTCATCTGTAGAGCAAGTAGGATGTCTGTGTCTCTCTGCATAGTGATTTAGCAGACATTGCTTAAACTTGGATATGATTACAGAAAAAACACAAAAACTATTTTGGCTGCCAGTGGTATCTGTGGCAGTAGGTCCATTAGCTGTGTACTTGAAAAAAAATGCCATTAATTCTGTGCCATAAAGGTCTGGAATTCCATTTTCTTTAAAAACTAACTTTCAATATGTGCTTCTGATTGGAGGGTAATGCAGGAATCAAAGGCGAATCTGGTGCTATAGGAAAAAGAGGCCATGTGGGTCCAAAGGTGAGCACTCCTGATTTTTCAGTGATATGGGGACAAGGTACAAATTCATTTCTTTTTAAATAAAATGCAGCTGACATCATTTCTATTATTAATGCAGTATAAACAATTGTCCAGCACAGGGATTTATTCACATTCCTTTGAACTTGGTGCAATATAAGAACGAGTATTGAGCTATATTTTTTCAAGTTTGAACTACAAAGTAGTCCTCACTTAACAGCCACAATTGGGATCAGCATCTCCTTCAGTAAGCAACATGGTCATTAAACAAAACATCACGTGACTATGATTTGCTATTTTAATTCTTTTTTTTTTTTTTTTTTTTTATTGAAATTTTTCAAAAGTTTTACAAATAAAAATCCACCCCCCCCTCCCCACCACCCCACCCCCCCCCCCGACTTCCCAGAACTGAATATAGGATTATTTAACAAATATTTTAAAATAACATTTGCAATTTATAAAATAATTATAATAATAATAAAAATCACAGTAATAATATATATAGAAATAATATACATAACATAAACTTTAAAATGAATAATATATACTAAAAAAAAAAAAATAAAAAATAAAAGAGAAAGAGAGAGAGAAAGAAGAAAGAAGAAAGTAGACGAAAAATAAAGCATATATATATATAAAAAAAAATATATGAATAATAATACATTAAAAATGTATATATATAAAAAAGAAAAAGAAGAAAGAAAGAAAGAAAAAACAATCATTACAAATTATAAAAAGGCTAAATAATATTTTTCCATATCCAAATTATGTTGTATAAAATTTATCCATTTTTCCCATACCGCAAAAAATTTTTCTTGAGATTGCTCCTTTAAGAAAGCCGAAATCTTTGCCATTTCTGCCAAATACGAAACTTTATGAAACCATTCTTGTAAAGTAGGCAAAGATTCCTTCTTCCAATATTGTCCTATTAACAACCTAGCGGCTGTAATCAAATTTAACATCAATATAACCTCCTTAGCATCACAGTCAATAACAATACCTAGTAAAAATAATTGCGGAGTAAATTTTACCCTCCTTTTAAAAATTCTTTGAATATTCCACCATATCTTAATCCAAAAAGCTTTTATATGCTTACACGTCCACCAAATATGGTAATAGGTAGCATCCAAATATCCACATCTCCAGCATTTCGGCTGTAGATTAGGGTACATAATGGACATTTTCTTTGGGTCAAGGTGCCATCTATAAAACATCTTATAAAAATTCTCTCTTAAATTTTGCGCTTGTGTGAATTTAACATTTCTTATCCAAATAAGTTCCCAAGTATCCATTGAAATCGTTTCACCAATATTCTGTGCCCATTTAATCATACAATCTTTAACTAGTTCAAGTTCTGAATCTAATTCCACTAAAACCCCATAAACTCTCTTAATATGGGTTGGCCTTTGATCTCTTACTTGTTTTAAAAAAATTCCATCTTCTCTAAGCCAGCCCATTTTACAATCCATCTTCCATCTATCCACTATTTGTCTATATTGGAACCATGAATAAGTTAAGTTTTCATGTGTTAATTCTTCCAAAGATTTTAACTGCCAGTCTTGGCCATCCCATCTTAGTAACTGTACGTAAGAGACCTTGTCCATATTTACCCCTTTCCTTATACCTTCTATGGCATGCCGAGGTATAGCCCATAATGGTATTTTGAAGTCACTTTTATAATACTTTCTCCACACTCTTAGCAAAGAGTTTCTTATAATATGAGACTTAAAAACCCAATCCACTTTTTTATTAAATATTAAATAGGCATGCCATCCAAAAATAGGTCCCAGCCTTCCAAATGAAGTATTTCTGTATTTGTTAAATTCACCCAATCGCTAATCAATGTCAATACTACAGCATCATAATACAATTTCATATTTGGTACCTTGAGTCCACCTCTCTCACGAAAATCTTGCATTATTTTAAGTTTCACCCTTGGTTTTTTCCCTGCCCAAACAAATTTATTAATACCTTTTTGCCATTCATCTAAATTACGTTCGTTCTTTAAGATAGGTAACATTTGGAACAAAAAAATAAACTTTGGCAGGACATTCATTTTAATAACTGCAATTCTGCCCATAAGGGATAACTGTAAATTATTCCAGTTTTTTAAATCCTTCTGTACCTCCATCCACAGCTTTTCATAATTATTTTTATACAATTTTACATTAGAAGCAGATAATGTAACCCCCAAATATTTTACCTTATCAACAATTTCAAAGTCTGTTAAGTTAACTAGAGCCTGTTTATCACCATTAGTCATGTTTTTAGCTAATATTTTGGTCTTATTATTATTAATTTTAAAGCCAGAAACACGTCCATATTGTTGAATCAATTGTAATAATTTCACCACCGAAGAAACAGGTTGAGACAAAGTAACAACCAAGTCATCTGCAAAGGCTCTTAATTTATATTCTTTTTTATTAATTTCTATTCCTTTTATTTCTTGAGACTCCCGAATTTTAATCAACAAAATTTCCAGTGTTAAAACAAACAATAACGGAGACAACGGGCATCCCTGTCTTGTTCCTTTTTCTATTACAAAAGCCTCTGACAAACCCCCATTTACAATAATTTGAGCAGTCTGTTTTTGATATATATTGGATAATACTTGTAATATATTTTGTCCAAAATTCATCTCCTTGATTAAACACAACATAAACTGCCAATTCACTTGATCAAAGGCTTTTTCAGCATCCAAAAATATCAAGCCTGCAGAGACTTGGTTATTCTTTTCTAAATACTCTAATAAATTAATAATTTGTCTAACTTTATTCTTCATATACCTTCCAGTTATAAAACCCGATTGATCCCTATGTATAAACTGCTGCAAGATCCCCATAAGCCTGTTAGCTAAAATTTTTGCAAAATTTTTATAATCCACATTTAAAAGAGATATAGGCCTATAATTTTTAGGCAAAGTAAGATCTTGACTATCTTTTGGAATCAATGATATAAATGCATTACGCCAGGATGGAGGGATCTCTAACCCCTGTAATAAATTATTAAACAGTTCACACAACGGTTGGATCATCTCTTCTACTAAAGCTTTATAATAAATAGATGTCAACCCATCCGTACCCGGCGCTTTGCCCAATTTCAATTGTTTAATAGCTGTAACAATTTCTTCCTTAGTAATTAAACCGTTAATCTTTTTTTCCTGATCTTCTGTTAATTTAGGAAAGTTGACTTTGCCTAAATAATTATTTATATCTGTAATTTGAATATTGGTACCCTTATATAATTTTTGATAGTATTCTAAAAAAGATTTCTTAATCAATTCTTTCTGATAAACCAATTTACCATTATAATTTATTTTATCTATATTCCTCTGTTTCTGTTTTTTTCTTAACTGATAAGCCAACCATCTCCCTGGTTTATTAGCATTACAAAATGTATTTTGTTTCATAAATAGCAAATTAGTTGCAGCTTGATCAGCCATCAGCATGTTAAATTGTGTTTTTAACAATTTTAAAGCTCCTTTAATCTTTTCATCTAAGGGATTTGAAATTAAAAGTTTCTCTTTTAATTTAATCTCCTCTTCCAAGTCTTTCCGTTTCTGAATCTGTTTCTGTCTATGCAAATTATTCATTTTTATCAAAATACCACGCATAAAAGCTTTACTTGCATCCCAGACCATTGACATTGATGTTCCCTTGTTCATATTTAAAGTAAAATATTCCTTTAAACATTCCTTTAATTTATGAACATTTTTTTCTTGTTTAAATAAATTCTCATTCACCCTCCAGGATCTCCTATCTTCCTTCTCTACAAACAGTTCCATCCAAACTGGACTATGATCGGACAATGTCCTAGGAAAAATTTTTACATTCTTCACCCTGTTGTATAAATCTGTTGTGATCAAAAAGAAATCAATTCTTGAGAAAGATTGGTGTCTATCTGAGAAAAACGTAAAATCCTTTTCTTCTTGATTACGTTCACGCCAATAGTCTCTCAATTCCCAATCTTCTTTCATGTCAAAAAAGGCTTTAGGTAATTTAGCCTGTTTAAAAAAGGTAGAAGAGCCTTTTTTGTCCATTTGTATATCTAAGACACCATTCCAGTCTCCCATTAAAATCACGGATCTATAGTCCAACAAAGTTATTTTCTGATGTAGTAACCTATAAAATTGCTCCTGTTGCTGGTTTGGTGCATACAACCCCACAATAAGAATTTTCTTGCCATATAAACCAAGTTCAAGCATAACATATCTTCCATAAGGATCTGATTCTAACAAGGTAGCAGATAAATTCTGTTTAACATAGATTACCACACCCCCTTTCTTCCCAGGGGCGGGAGATACAAAATGAGATCCCAAGCGAGGATTATTTAAATATTTTTGATCTTTAGCTGTAATATGAGTTTCTTGCAAGCAAATAATATCATTGTTGTGTTGTTTCAAATAGTGGTAAATTTTTTTTCTCTTTTGAGGAATGTTTAATCCATTAACATTCCAGGACAGGAGCTTTGCCATCTCCCTTGGCCTTCAGCCTGGAGAAGATCCGCTCAAATTCTGCTGCTGATGAATATGTAGCAGAGCTTTTGGGTCTTGCTCCTCCCACCGGCACTGAAGCAATTTGCTGAGTAGATTCTTCAATTTCTTTTTCTTTTTCTTTTTTCTGTTGTTCTTTTTCTTTACGTTTATGTGCTGCACGGGTCATTCTCTGTTCTTTAACCTCTGGTTGAGACATCCATACCACCTGTCCAGCAGTCATCATCCCTGTACCTTCAGATTTCTGTTCCATCTCTTTGTCACTCAAGACTTTATGCATCATGGGCAAAGGAGAGCCTGCTCCCAGGACCGTTTTATAAAATTCCTTAGCTTTAGCAACTGTATTAAGTCTATAACGTGTCCCCGCATGGCTCAAAACAATGCCCATCGGAATCTCCCATCTAAATGGCATTTGTCTTGCTTTAAGTTCATTTACTAAAAAAGCAAAATCTTTTCTGCTTCTTAAAATTTTAGGTGGAATTTCCTTTAAAATAATAATATCTTGGGCAGCAATCTGAAATCTTTTATTATAAAAAGTTTGTAGAATCTGATTTCGCAAAGACTTCTTAGCAAAATATATCACCACATCTCTAGGCAAATTCCTCTGTTTTGCAATCCAAGAATTAACTCTATAAATTCTTTCCACATCCCCACGTAACTCTTCTTTATCAATATTCAAAATAACAGCCAAGTCATTAATCACCATTTCCATCAAATCTTGAGTTTTATCTTCTTTCAGACCCCTTATTCTCAAAGCATATTCCATCTGTCTATACTGGAACATAAGAATATCATCTTGTGAAGTCTCCACTTTTTTCTCCATATCTTGAAATTTATAATCCAAAAGTTCAACTGTTTCTTCAATTTCCTCTACTCTGGAGTCCAGCTTCACAACCACTGAGGCCATTCCAGATAGAGCTAGAAGTATATCATCCCTCAAAATAGCATTATTCTGTTCTAAAAGCTCCTTCATCTCTTTCTTCATTTCCTCCTTAGTTTCAGATTTATTCTGATCCAAAAGTTGTTTCATTTCCTCCCTAAACTGTGAGACAGCACTTACCATTATTTCTTTAATGTCTTGTGCTGATGTGCCAGATGGGGGAGGTGAAGGTGGAGTAGATTTAGGTTGCTGCACTGAGGGTATTATTTTAAGTTGTTGTTGCACAGTAGAAGTAGCAGGAGAAGAAGTTACTTTAGAAGCTGCAGTAGCTGGTTGTCGTTTTGAAGCCATTTTAATTTATCTTCCTTTCTTCTTAAAAATACCAATAAAAATAAGTAATCCAAAAAAAAATTAAAAATAAGATAAAATAGAATAAGATAAGATCAATCTAAAAGTCCCCAAGAATAAAAAAGTAAAAAAAGTAAAAAAAAAGCAATATTAAACAACAATTCAGCCGATCCGTCTTTTAAAGGAAAAAAAAACTTTCAAAACGCCATTTTACTTTCACTCTCACTTTTCCGCCCAAAAAAAAAAGAGAAAGCTCAAAAAAATAAAAAAAAAATCAGCAGATACTAAATAAACTAAATAAACTAAAAAAAATAAAATAAAGCTAAACTATAAATAAAATCCTTTAAACAGTTCTGTCCGGTTTAAGATTACTCACGGTTTCTTTAAGTACGGAGATGGTAGCGGCGTCTCGCTTTGTTTCCGAAGAAACAAAGACAGCTGAGAGGCGGAGAAGGCAATGAACTCCGAGGGAACCCTCTTTCTACCCCCCTAAAAATAAAAATCCAGGGAGAGTTAAGAGGTTCTACCTCTATTCATGCGATCTCTACCCCTTCCCTTCGCCCGGGAAGGGGATTGCGAGCCGCGGGCCAGCTGATAAACGCTGTGCTCCGCGGATCTGACACCTTCTCAGGAGGACGGCTACAAAGTAGCCGCCATCTCCACCGCTTTAACCACCGGAAGTCCGATTTGCTATTTTAATTCTGATTTCTCCATTGACTCTGCTTGTCAGAATCCATCTGTGAAGCATACAAATAGTGATTACATGACTGAGGATGCTATAATGGGTATAATATCTGCCATTTCTGAAGCCCTCAAATCTCACTCATATGTCTGCAGAGATGCTGTAATAGTCATAAGTGCGAGGACCAGTCATAAAATTACTTTTTCAGTACCACTGTAACTTTTAATAGTTGCTAAGCAAGGCAGCTGTTAAGTGAGGATTACCTGCATATTGTCTGCTGGATTTATCTGGAAGAGTTGGTTCTCTCCTTTAAAGTCCTAAATATTCAGGTCCTGGGTAGTCTCTTGCCTGCCTAATGAGAACAGCAGTGATAATTTCTTGGCATACGTTTGGCCCATCTACTATAAAATGCAGCTGGTAGGGATATGGGGAAAGAACTACTGGTCTGAGTACTCAGTATGTGTAGAACTTTTTACTCCAAGATATCTATGTATTTTTTTTAAATCCATATTCTGTCAAGTGTGGATTGGATGTCAGAAGTCTTTGGCCTGATTTTAGTTTCGCTGTTCTTGGACCTGTTCCTTTTGTCCATTAGCATTTTTCTTAATTTTTTTTAAAAAACATTTTATTGTTTACATTTTATTTTCTGGAACTCACTTGCAGTAATCCATGATTTGAGTGGAAATGTGGGATAAAAACTCTATTAAAGAAATATAAGGAAGGTAGAATTTCATAAGCATTGCAAAAATATTCATGGAAAAAGAGAAAGGTGGAAACTATGCTAAAAACTATATTAAATAAATATGAGGAAGGTAGAGTTTCTCAAGATTAGCAAAATGTTATGAAGAAATGAAGAAAGAGCTTTAGAAATTGTATATTTATCATAGAATCCCTTAATCAGTTTTGACTATTTAACTGTATATCCACTTACCTAGTAATGGTTATTTCTTTCTTTATTTGATTTACAGCTCACATTACCTTCAGGAGGTCAAGATAGCATACATAAAACCCTCTTTTTAATAATTTCCATAATAAGAATATTTATGATATAGGTTGAGTGGAGAAGTCTGAGCTTTAACTTCGGTCTGTCTCAAACATACTCCAATATACATCACTATATTCACCAACATCCCAATTATTATATGTTAGATGAGAACCATCTAATTTCAAATCTAACTCATCAGAGAGACTTTGGTTGGGTTCACTGAACTTTTCTTTTGGAAAAAGCTGCAGCAAACTTTTTAACTTCAAAATGGTGGCTGACTTGTAAATCCAAGATAGTAAATGTTGACTTCCGTGTCCAATCTTACTGGCGCAAAAAGTTAGCATTTTGTACAGGGATTCTTGTCTTTTATGTTAACTTCCAATCAGAAATCTTGCTGATTTCTCATGGGAATATGTTCTCTTCCCCCAAGAGCGGCATTTTTGTGGCACAATGCTGGGCAGTATTAATATAACACTGTTCTACTTAAATTTTTTGTGCAGAGATTTTTCAGCAGTTACCCTAACTCATACCTTCCTAGACAGAATGGTGAATCCTCCTTCCTTGGCATCTAGCTTTCTAGGAGAAGGACCATGTTTTATATGGTTTTGTCATTTTGTTACACTAAACCCTCCTTGGAGTGTGAAGAGGTATAGTTAGACCCATGTTTCTTTTTTCGGTGGGAGCAAGAAAACTGCAATTGGATTGGTAGCAGTAATTTATGTGGCTGAGTGCCTAATATCTCTTTCATTCCATGAAAGGGTGAACAAGGCGATCCTGGAGAAAAAGGGCAAATGGGGCTACCTGGAACAAGAGGTTTTCCTGTGAGTTTTACCTGATTGCTTCTGAATTCCTCTTTTTTTTTTGCTGGTTTATTTGTTTCAAGTTCATGATGTTTCTATTGTTTGGAAGAGTTTCATCTTAGTATTAAGAAAATTTGTTTCATTCAAGGAAAACAGCAGCATTAAAGAATATCAACAGCAGGATCAAAAAAATGAAGATGGTAGCCACCATCATGCAACTGAATTTGTGCCTCTTTTTAAGTGCATTGTGATGGCAATAAAAAAGGACACAGTTTTAATCATATGGCTATGGCTGCCATCTTGACTTTTTTGGTCTTTTATATGTGGTCATCCGAGCAACACATACAGTTGTCTTCTAAATTATTTTTATGAAATGATCTTATTTTTAAAGCACTCCTCAAGTTCACAACAAATGTTGTTTTTTTTAACTTGATGCAAAAGCTCAAGATTGAGAAAGAGGAACTGGTCACTGGAGTTGGGATATGTTTGATTTTTGGTAAGACGTTTAAGTTAAACTCTTTAAATGTTGATTATAATTTATAATTCCCAACTGAAAACTAACAGTATAAAAATTCAGGACTGAAGCAAATGAGTGCATCAATGTAACTTTCAGAATTCCAGTTTCAGATAGATTATTGTTCTCCTTTATATTATCCTTAACGCCTATGAAGAATTGGTGATGATAGCATGTGGTTGTGGCAGTGTAGCTTTCTAAATGTAGGCAGTCCTCATTTAGTGAGCACAATTGGAACCAATTTATATAAAGTGGTTGCTAAGTGAAACTACAACTATGCTTTTGATCTTACTTTCCTTTGCTTTAGAAACCTGCAGAGGTTATAAATGTGGGATTGATCATAAAGTTACTGTTCATTACTATTGTAACTGCAAATGATAACTAAACAAGATATTAACTGAACTAGGACTACCTGTATTGGAACAAACAATTTGTCCCCAAGGCAAGGAGAGAACTTGTGGTGTTTTCAGACTTTTCATAGTTTCAGTTGCTTTATCTAAAATATTTGTTATATATTGTATCTTGCTATTACAATCAGTACACTTTTGGTCCCACATCCTTCTTGAAATGTTAGTGCTCCAAGGTCATATAGTGTCAGTCAAAAACAACCAGATCTATATAAGAAAGGTCTAAGTCAACACCTTTTTTGTGTTTTATCTATATTACAAGATTCTCTGTAGATTGTTTGCCTTCCCTTGAGAATAATCAGTTAAGGTTCCATGGAGTTTGGGATGGTGATGGTCAACTTATGCTTCTTGCAGCTGAGCAAGAACTTAAGGCTAGTTCCCTGCTTGATCCTTCCTCCTTGCCTAGCTAGGAGCTTCCCAACACATGGTGTGCTGATCCAGTGCATTTGGCTGCTTGAGATGAAGCAGAACCTCTCTGTGTAACATATATGTTATTTTAGATTTATTAAGCTATTTTGGTATCCAGGCAAAACATTCAAAAAGATCTCTATGTCATAAACAAAGTAATAAATGGAAAAAAAATTAACTCCCTTTCTTTTCTTTTCACCCAGAATTAGCTGATTAAAAATATTATCTCCTGTCCAATTCTCAGAGATTGCCTGGGCAAGTCCCTGCAGTTTTCTTGGCAAGGTTTTCAAAAGTAGTTTGCCTGAGAGAAAGTTACTGGCCAAGACTAAAACTCAGGGTTTCCAGGTTTTGAGCTTGATGTCTTAACTACTACACCAAACTAGCTCTCACTGGCTAATGTTAGGCTTGCCCTAATAGAATATATTAACATTAATTATCCATTTATTTTTTTCCCATATTTTATAGGGCATTGATGGTAGTAATGGCTATGGCCTTATAGGAAGAAAAGGCACAAAGGTAAGAATTATGCTTTAGTCTTTTTGGACAAATAAACATAAACTAGTGATAATATAAACATTTAGACTCCAACTATTTGAGAATACTTCTTATGGTACCTACTAAAAGCCTTTCTGCTTTTATGACTTGCTTAAAAGTTTCTAGTGATTGTGTTTTGAGTGGATTATGGGGATCTAATTTTTCAAAAATAAGTAATTAATATATTACATTAGTTTTTGTGTAAGTAGAAAATGGTTGTTTTCATTTGCTGCAAACATAGGTTTCATTCCATGCTTGCAAAACCCACAATCAACTATGGAAAGTACAGATCTATGCATCCAAACCACTCCATGGCAGGCAAGAGAAAGCAATAAAGTTCAGTTCATCAGTGGAGGACTACATTAAAAATTCTATATATTTTGGCTGAAGTAGTCATGGAAATCAGTCCCATTCCAAATTAACATTAAAACGCTAATTTTATCCAACTTTTATTAGAATAAGCTACTGTTTTGATCATCAGGGTTTTCTGTGTCAAAAGCAAAGAATTTTAGCATACCATAAAATAGGTGGGGAGGAAATATCAACAGTTCTAAGTTCTTATGGCATTGTAATTGAAAGAAAAGATAGATTGTGTTTGGAAGAAACTAAACCAATCTTTCCTACAACATAGACAGCATTACATTGACCATCCAATTTATACATCAGGAAATATAAAAAGATTCTTTCATTAGAAATTCCTTCTTCTTGAAAGACTGAAAAAATGCTTTAAAAAGATGGATAGAGTCTATGGTCTTTACATAAACTATTGCTTCAGAAGAAGACTAGCTAACTGTTTTATGGTTTGTTTTTTAATGGTTCTTGTATCAGAACAGATTCGCTGTGTCCTTTTTTACCTTAATTCCCAGAGCTGTTGTTATGCTAACATCTAAAGAATTGCACAGAAATATTTATATCCAGCATCTTAATTGCCGGAGACCTATTTGGGCAATATTTTCTATGAAATTTTATGTAAACATTGGTTAAGCCATGATTCGGTTCCATTTGTTTTGTGCAGAAACTACTGTTATTTTTCTTTTTGTGGTTAACATTGTATGGAAGAGGAAATCTGAATAATTCTTTAGTATGTTAGCAAATAAGCAACTTTAAGTAGGTAACTGTATTCTGTCACTTCCTTTGTCCTGGATACATGGCTTGCAATAAGTTTTAAACCAGATGTGTTATAGAAAAACCTATTGGGGACATTAAGATTTGTGATAGACAACTGTTGAATCAATTAAAAGATATAAGCTATTTCAGTTATGGATTTGGCTTTCCAAGATGGCTGTTGAGTAAAACAATATTGGTGCCACACATGTATTTAATTAAAGAGTAATTAAAAAGAAGAATGTTCACTGATTTTTTTTAAAAATTATGAATAAGCAGTTTGAAAACCAACACTGTATTTTTGTTTTACTAATATCAGGGATTGACTGGATATCCTGGAAACTCTGGACGACAGGTGTGCAAGAGTGAATGTTGTGATAGTGAAGTTTTAAATTTTGGGTTGGGACTAGTTCTCCATTTTTATTCTCTCTGTTCTCACCTCTTAGTAACATTAAAAAACAACAACAATTGACTGTATCCAAATTATTATTTTTTTTAAAGGGAAGTGGGGGTTATGGAACTCTAGGATTGCAGGTTAAATATCTGCAGGGGGATCTTTTACAGCTTCATTTTGACAAACACACACACACAAACACTACATCTGAAACTCTCACATCATTTCATACTGGTTCCCCAGTTGCAATTTCTGCTTCTGCTTTCTTTTATAGGGAGAAATTGGTGATCCAGGCAATCCTGGAAACAAAGGTGCCAAAGGAATTAAAGAACAAAGGGTAATCCATTTTCATTGCTGCTGCTCTTTTGCAGAGATGGAAGATTCTAATTGTTGCGTCCTTGGCGGGAAAACAGACACGAGAAACAGCTGGAGTTCTCAGGTTCTTTTATTCAGCGTTCAGCTTACAGGAAGATGGCTTCAGCTCAGCCCAAACGCCTCACAGCCTCTTATATAGGCAACTCCCGGGTAAATACTTTTCCCGCGCCAGCACCCGCGCATGCGCACGGCGCTGGCGACAGCCTGTCTGGTCCCGGGCAGCTTTGCACCTGCCCGGGACTGCCTGCAAACGCCCGAGCCGTTTGCAAGGCTCGGGACATAACACTAATGGCCCTCAACACTATTGTGTTCTTACTTTCTTTTTCCTTATATGTACAGCAGACTTAAGAACAGCATGCTAGGAAGTGTCTGTTTCAGTGTGATTACTGGTCTCAGAAATTATTCTTACTTTTGGGTTATTAGGTTATTTAGGTTATTTTTTTTTAAAATAAACTTTCTACTAACTTTGAGTTGCATAAATTTTTAATTATACATATTATGCTCCCTCTAGTTTCAAAATAAGATATTGGATGTGGAAACAGAGGGGCAATACTATGTGTATGTCTTCCAAGAGAGTGCAGACAAGAAGCATACATAGAAGTACTAGCTCTAACTTTATTGCAAGGTTTCATTATCAGACTCTTACAAATCTGAAAGTACATCTCTCCCTCTTTGCCTTTATATCCAGGACACTAAAGATGGTCCCTTCTGAGATATATGCCATGCCCTTATTCTTTCCATGGGTTCAGCTCTTATCTGATCATTACCTAGTCTGTGGCTCTTCCTTTTGTCTGCCAAGGTCATTCCCACATACCATTATATTGGGGAATAGAAGCGTTTTTTTCAGGTCACCTAAAATTCTCCAGTCATCTGAGTTTAGAGTAAGGACAGGTCCACATAGAAGGAAGTGATGTTTAAAATAACCTGGATCTAAACTCTTCAGTAGTTTATAAATAATGCAAGCACTAGCAATAATCAACTTGATAACTATGTCATAGTAGGATATGCACAAAAGTACTATATCATAATATGGTCTTGCATGTGAACCCCTTTCAGCATTTTGGAACAATTGCAATTTGTAAGGCCCATAATTAATAATTGTTTGATTATCATCTTACTATATGCAAAGTTACTTCTGCATGTAATCACAGTACCTAGATTCAGCTATTTTAAACAAGAATCCAGTTGCCTTAATGTATAGTTGATATCACTGAAGCAATTTTTGTAATGAAAATTAAGCCAGATTGCTCTGTCAATCCAATTAACACACTCTCTGAATTTGTTTAAGGCCAGAGATGGAACACCAGGGAAAAAGGGTAATCCAGGCAGTCAAGGGCCACCTGGAAGAATGGTAATATGAATATAAATTTAACCTAATATTGGTATCTGAAACTCAGTATTGATAAAACTACATTACCAAATTAAATCTATTTTATTTTATTGGATGATCTTCTGTACTGTTAAACTTCAAGACAATCCTACCAGTTTATATCACATGAAATATATAATATGAAACATTATCAAACATAAACCAACTTAAAATAATAATTAAAAACAAATAAGGATATGAAATACAAACTATTGCAATGATGATAACTTCTTTTCCAAATGCCACCTGGAACAGCTCAGTCTTAAGTAATTTCTAGAAAGAAAGTGTTAAAAATGTTTACCTAATTTCAAGAAGAAAGCTATTCCATAATATGGCGCTGCAATTAAAAACATTGTCTGAAGGTTCTTGCCCCCTGCATCTCACAGGCTTGAAAAGAAGATGAGATGTACATCAATCAGGCTGTATTTAAATTTACACATTTAAGGAGTATTTTGTTTATTGCAACTTGTCATAAGAAGAATATTACTACACATGATTATGGATATATGTGATTATTGAGTAATGGAACTTCCAATTGAATATAGGCATGTAGAAAATCTCCATGTTTGTATTCCAGAAGGAGAAAAGAACTGAGATGGAGAGATTTGGGAGGTCAGGATGAGAATGCAGGTCTAAGTGATGCTAACCTAGGAAAACTTTAATTTTTCCAAATGATGGAGATATAAGTCATGTGGTTCCAAGGAAGGCATTTGTCAGACTATAATTATATTGTAATAGAGGTAGTCGTCAACTTATGATCATAATGGAGTCATGGTCGTTATGTGAATTAAATGCCCCAATGGGTAATTTTTTTTTTGCTGGAAACTGGCAAAAAAAAAAAGTTACACTTCATGATCCTGTAACTGTGGGATGATGCAAATGGTTATAAAGGTAAGCTGGTTGCTAAGTATCCAAAATGTAATCATATGATCATGGGGTGTATTTGATTAGGCATCATAACTTCAAAAATGGATTGTAAATAGATTTGGGGGAGTCCGTGATAACTTTGAGGAACCAGTTGTACGTCAAGGACCATTTCTTTTATGGAAACTATTAAATGTCTTAAATAATTTAAACAAAGCATGTTTCTTTGCTTAAATTTAATGAAACAATTGTACTTCCTATATGCTCCTGATGTTCCACTAAATCATATTATTTCAGAGGCATAAAAAATAAAAGATTAAAAACAAAATATTTTGTAAATGAGAAAAGATGTTGTAGTAACAGCAAGACAAATTTGCCACAATTAATGATATTTCAGTTTAAATTCTAACAACAAAACACATGCCCAACAAATCTATAAAAAATATAGTAAACAAAATCCAAGTCTGTGTTTCCCTATGTTAAATAATACCATAAGAATGGAATGAAGATAGAAGCATATCAAATTGGTGGGTTTGGAAAAGTATTGGTTTAGAATATCTAATGTTGCTTCTTGTCTGCTTGCCTATTATCTATCTCTATCTCACTATCTCTCTTTCTAATGTGATTTTATAAATCTATTTTTTCTCTCTCTCCAGGGTTCAAAGGGTCCAAAAGGCACAACTGCTATGACGGTATGTGTTGCTGTATTTGACATTGCTAACTACTACCCTTTCTGTATATAGAATTAATTTAACTATAAAAATATATATTTAAGCAGAAAAGGTCTTCATAGCTGTTGATTTTTAAAAGTTATCCTGATTAGTCAAACCACGAGTTAAGCAGGAAAAGAGAAGCAGCCTAAATGAAAACTTTGGGAACCTTATCGAATTCAAACCGATTTCAAAGCTAAGAAAAAAATCTCTAGATCGATAGGGTACTTCCTATATATAGTACTGTAAATCTGTAGGTTTCTGAGCAGAAATGCACAGATATATGCTGCTAATCATACTATTTTTTCCTGTTGTCTGCAGACTTGTCAACTTGTCAACCTTACAAGAGGAAACTGCCGTAAGTAGTAACTTCAGGTTACCAGTATCTACTATTACTATTAAAACTATTATCAGGTTTAAGAACTGCACTCATTTTGTTTTGGTATTAAACAAAATGCATTAAATTATTTAATCCTCAACTATACAGATTTAGAAGAAAGCATATTCCTTGAGTTTACTTTGAAGAGAGGCAGAACTACAGCAATCTAGCAGTGAAATAAGTCTTTGATGATATTATAAAAAGATCATTATACATTGGTTATAGTAGATGATAAATGGGAATTGCCACAATGAAGATAAAAAAGGAAAGTGTGAACTTTTAGAAGTACAATTTCCTGTTTTAAAGGAAACAATGTTAGCTTTTTTAAATTAAATTTGATTCCCAAATTAAATCAGTTATTAAATCAATTACATGAATATTTTATATTTAAACAAAACAGTAGCAAATTTTTCAAAGCCATTTAATGGCTCAGTTAAATTTTAACATATACTTTGGCTTAAAAGGGTATACTACTATTGTGATATAAATTTTTTAATGCTTTATCAAAACCAATTTGAAGCCAATTTTTCATTGGATATTGGAACAAAGAACATGCTCAGAGCAAATTCTCTGATGTGTTTATTGACAGTGTGTAGATGGTCAAATAAGTATAACAATTTGAATTAAAACAATTTTCTTTTATCCCATCCAGCTTGCTGTGTAGGTAAGTTACTTGAATTAGATCATATTTAAGAAAAAAAAGTTGTGCTCCCTAAGTCCAAGAAACATTCTGATACATTTTTACTTTTATTATAAGGCAAGAGCAAATGTCCAGTTTACCCAACTGAAGTGGTGTTCGCTCTTGACATGTCTGAAGATGTTACTCCAGTTTCCTTTGAAAGGATGAAAGACATTATGAAATCTTTGCTGAAGGATTTGAGCATTAGCAGAAGCAATTGCCCAACTGGTGCTAGGATATCAGTGCTTTCATACAATACCAATATAAAGTACCTCATCCGGTTCTCCGACTTTCAGAGGAAAGATCTCCTTATGGAGGCAGTACAGGGAATTCCTTTGGAGAGATCTTCAGGCCAAAGGAATATCGGAAGGGCCATGCGCTTTGTTGCCAGGAATGCTTTTAAACGTCATCGCCAAGGGGCTCTTATAAAAAAAGTTGCTGTTTTCCTTACTGCTGGCCCATCACAAGATGCTGCTTCCATCAATACAGCTGTGCTGGAATTCAGCGGTTTAGATATTATCCCGACAGTCATTGCTTTGAGAGAAACATCAAATGTCAGAGAAGCATTTTTGGTAAGGAGGTCATCGTCAGAAAAAATAACTGGCAGGTTAATGAGGGAGTGTGGTCAGAGAGGTGTTAGTAGCAATGTGGATGTGACTGACATATTTTATCGCTGAAGATTCCCAGTCATCCAGATAGAGTTGTCTGGAAATTGAGTCATGGCAACTGCACTTTGATATGATATTTCAGAAATTACCATCAGAGTATAACTAAATTCTGATTCCTCTCCATCGTCTAGAAATATTTTCCAGATGTTTGTTTTTAGAAAATATTTTCTCCTGATAGGAGCGCTCTCAATGTTTTTTTTCTGAATGTGTGTGAATGTTGTACAATGCCTTAGCCATGAAAGCCAACTGGTGACTTTGGGCAAGCCACTCTCTCTCAACCCAACTCACCTCACAGAGTTATTGTTGTGGGAAAAATAGGAGAAGGAAGGTATGTTGGATATGTTTGCTCCTTGAGTTATTTGTAAAAATAATAAAGACATAACACAAATAAATACAAATAAATAAATTACAACCATTCATTTCCTAGAGCGAGCAGTTGAAACAGTGTGAGTCCAAAGACCAAAGTGGGTGAGACCCCCATTCATTCTCTGACACCCCACATCTTGTTTCTGAAACGTAACTTCTTTTTTATCTCTCCTATCTATACATTGGGGCAATGATTATTAAACTTGGTCTGTGTTGTGTAGGTTCTTATTTCAAATATAAAATTAGCAATCACAAGGCTTAATTCATTTTCACTTGGTCCTTTGTAGTTAGTTATATGTAAAAGAAAATCTGAAGCAAAAACTTATCCTTATTGATTATTGGATTTGGGCAATAAGTAAGAAAATAAATCTCTTTCAACCCCAGAAATTGTTTAATAACATTGTACTTGACATGATTTTTTCTTTTGTGATATTTAGAAACATGCAAACCCAATGAGGTAATTAATGCATGCTGGGGATAGCAAAAATAGAAGTTAATCCAGGATTATTCTTGCATTTTAATTGTTGTATGATGCATTTTAGAAGGCCAGATTGCACTCTAGATTCCCATCCCAAATATATAATGATTTTTACAGAATCTTGTATTTTACTCTGATTTCTTGCCAGTTTTTTTTAATCCTTTTGGTTTAGTTTCAGAAGTTGTAAATTTGAGAGCAGTAAAGGAAATAATTAATTTTTTTGGAACCAGCTGTAAAATAGCAGGCCATACTTAAAGATATCCAGCCAACTCTGAAGGGAGTATTTTGCTTGGGTATTAGCAAGGCATGATTTTTTCCCCTATGTATAATGCCTGGGATGACCTTGATTTACCTTTGATCATGTTCTCCATCAATGTAAAACTCTTTTTCTTTCAAAAGAGTGGGAATCATAGGGCATCTCTGTGAATATATGAAAGTGAATCTAGATTCATTCATTTAAATTAAAATTAGGAGTGAATTAGAGCATGGTGCATGTTCTTGTCTGGTGAATGGAATTTAATTATAGAGGGGAGTGGAGGTGTTTTTGTGGGCAACTTTTTTCCATGACCAAGTTCCCAGGAGTGGAAAATATTAGCATTACACTGACCATTGGGGTCCAACCTCTGAACTGGAATATTCAGCAATGAACTGGGGAGAGACATCAGATGACTTTATATATGGAGGCAAACCACACCCTTCTCCCAGGAACTAAGCTAGGTCAAAGAAAGGCTAAATAAGCTATTAATTCATACTTGAAGCCAAACTTATGTGAACCTCCATTATGAACCAAGGGATAACTGAATCTTCTCATTTGAAATTTAGAATTTTAATGAAGTTTACAGTACCAATAATAATTCTAAAATGGTTATTATGAAAAGTCTGTGGAAAGATGGACATCCCCTTTATTCCAGATTATCAGACTAAGATATAAAAATAAAAGGAAGCTCTTAGCACTAGCTGAATATTTTTGATTTCCACTCCACTTTCTAAAATATGGCATACATATTACTATTATCATTATTTGCTTTCCTGTTATTAAGCAGACCAGAGCTTTCCTTTGACTCTAATATTTTGATATCCTCCCAGTAATGGAATTTAACATTCCTTTCTAGCTACATAAGTGTGTGTTTCTGTGTATGCATGTGTAAATAAAACACCTTGCAGTTCAGAAAATATTTTCAATGCATTTCTTCCTATGTTGTCTTCTCATTTATCTAGACAGATGATACGGGTCGATTTAAATTGTTTGTTTGGGAATCCAAAGAGGAAGAGAGATTGAATTATGTTTCACTTTGTTCTCTCTGCTATGGTGAGCTCATTGATTCTCGTTACTTCTTAAAATGGTTATATATACTTGCTAGGTCTTTTAATTTCAGAATTCAAATTTCCTTCATCTCTTTGTATATGGATCTAGCAAGCATCAGATATTCTCTGGTAAAATTAAGCAAAAAGGAGGTGTCGTGTTAAGATCATAGGTATTTGGTAAAAACAGCAATGATGAAAAACGACAGAATGAATGGTGCACACTTACAGTGCAGTTCTTGGCCTTTTGTATCTGCATCCTAACATCAGTCCATAGGTTAAATAATTTCAGTGATTTTTACTTCCTCTTGCCTACCCCAGAGACTAAGATGGAAGCTAAGACTTTGAATGATCTGGTACTATAAAGCTCAGGTGGAAATTTAGAAACCAAGATGTCTTGCTTAGTTGGCTTAGTGATCAAAATTACAATCTTTCAGAGAATTATGCTAATAAGAAAAAAAGGAAATTGTAAGCCAATATATGAGGAAAGTCTGAAACTGGAAGGTTACCATAACCTTAAGTGTAATCTATATTTATTATATGGAGAGGGTATTCGACCTGTGGACCATGATTCATTGTTTGGTTTTTATACATTATTTAAAATATTTTTTAAAGAAATAATATAAGTAGTTTATTATGAACAGAAGATATGGTTAAGTTAAATAGGATGATTTAAACTAATATTTTTGTGCAATCTGATACATTTTCCTTTACTTTAGTATAATGCTTTTGTTTGGGCTATTATTTTACTCTTATTTTATAAAATAACTTGATACTCATTATGTCCATTGTTTCTACCAGAGGCATTGGCAGCAGGGGTTAAAAAAAATAAGATGACAGCTACAACTGTGTGTCTGAATCCTTCCCCTTTTTATATGTGTTGTGTTAGTAACACAATTTAAAAAGGGACATGGTTTCAATTGCACAGGCACTAGTGACTTTTTTAAAACCCAAATCCTGCTGCTGGATATTCCCAGCTACTAGTTTTTAAAATAAAGTTGAACTGATAAATCAATTAATTTCTTGATAATAAGAAATAAATACATTCAGCCAGTTAATGTACAGAATATTCTCAGCATATAAGAAAAAAGAGGAAAACGTGTAGTTTGTGTTTTGATGAATGAGTACATCACATAGAGAGATTTTTTAAAAAACATGCATTAAGTTCTAATCACGGCTGCCCTAAAATGCTTTCTCAAACTAGGTCTCCTTCAAATTTATCAACACTATAATTTCCAACATTCGTACCCATAGCATTTCTTGTGCCTCTGAAGGAGGGTAATTTCAAATTCATTTGCTGAGAAACATTTATAAAAGAGAAGCCAATCAAAATATTATCTCTATATATTCAGCTTTTCAGTCACTCCATGGAAACAGTTACTACTTTGTGCTTCTTCCACAGATACATGTAATCCTGTTTCACAATGTGAAATAATGGATCCCCCTCCAATTAATATAAATATGGATATAGCTTATATCATGGATGGCTCTCGGGATGTCAGCAGTGAGGAGTTTGAAACTATGAAAGAGTTCATGAGCAACATGTTGGATTATTTTGCTATTGCTTCCCTGCCACTTGAGTCAGACAAAGGAGCAAGAGTTGCTCTGGTACAACACGCTCCACGAAATTTCTCAGGGACTGAATTATCAAGCCCAGTATCTGAAGAGTTTGACTTGACTACATACAGCACTAAGCACCTGATGAAAACGCATATTCAGGAATCACTCCGTCAGCTGGAAGGTCCATCAGCTGTGGGTCATGCTCTAGAATGGACCATTAATAATGTGTTCTTGGGCATCGATAGGCCAAGAAAGCACAAGGTCATTTTTACAATGCTGGGAAGTAAGACAAGCGCCTGGGATAGAGAGAAACTTCTAAAAATGTCATTGGAAGCTAAATGCCAAGGATTCACCATGTTCACTTTGGCCCTTGGCAGTGAAGCTGATGATTCAGAAATGACAGAACTCTCCAGTGTTCCAGTGGAACAGCACCTGTTACATATGGGTAGAGCTGATAAGCTTGAATTGCCATATGCTCTGAGGTTTAGCAAGGCCTTCTTAAATCTTTTGAAAAGTAAGTGGTATACTTTAATTCCTTTTGTGGGACTGTTTGTTGATGCCTGATACACTTGTTATTTTGACATCTACATGGCTTGTTAGAGATGCTTACAAGTGGCAAATTAGAAAAATAAGCTTGGATGCAATCACATTCTGATATGCTAAGTGACATTAAGCCAGTGTCCTAATTTGAACATAGGTCATTATTCTGTCTTTGTCTCAGTAATCTCTTACCCAAGCCTATGTTCAAATGCAGGGATGGGGAACTATGGCTCCTTTATGAACTGTGACTTCATCTCCCAGAATTCCTGAGCCAGCCATGCTTTGAATGATCTGGTAGTTTAAAGCTCCACTGGAAATTTAGAATGCTGGCTCAGGAATTGTTGGAGTTGAAATCATAAAGGGGCCATAATTCCCCATTCCTGATCTAATGGGATGTATATGCATGTTACGGGAATGCAGGGCATGACTCATTATCAAATCTCCTTAAATCATAGAATAGGAACATGCGGACATTTGTTTAATAGTATTTTTAAAATAGTATTTTTCCATTTACAAATAAGTAATTTATTGTAATATTTGGCTCTAAACAGTGTCTGGTATTCTTTCCTTTCTTCTCCTCCCATGTTCCCAGGGGAATTGAATATTTATCCTCCTATAATCCTGCAGGAAAAATGTGACAACCTGCATCGAGGAGACACCTATCTGCAAGCTGTAGGGATAACTGACAGGTATAAAAATAGGTTCTTCTCATGAGAAGTAATTGGCAATCAATGCCATAGGCCTTAGCTGATCAGAAACTCCTAAGTTGGATAATGGTATATCAATCTGAACTGAAGACTTCTTGGGTATAATTTTCAAAATTGTGTAACTAACAGATTATTTTCTTCTCCTTTTTCTCTTTATAGGATTCTGTTCTCTGACTCAAAACATAATGATTTATTTCAACCTTCAGAATTATCCAGGAAAAATGTGCAAAATAAAATGCTAAAGACCACCCAAGGACCAAGAGAAGAACAATATGGTCAAATAGAAAATAAATACTTCACTAGCATCAGTATTCAAAATGGGGATGGGACAGAGACTGAAGAACTTTTTGAGAAACTACAAAGAGCAAAGGGTATGTAAATATGGATGCTTGTGCACATTATATAAATTGGAATGTTGAAAACTGCCAACCATTGGTTGATTTTATAAAAATTCCCTAAACATCTGAAATACATCTATCATTATATAATAGCACATTAAAGATGCAATGTCTGCCATACATGCACTTAATGATGGAGAATGTTTTGAGAAAAACAGCCAAAGCTCCTAACGCTAAAGAGCCATTTATACATTTTAGTAATCAGTTTTGCTTTCTGATCAAAGGGTTAATTTTGGCAACAAGAGTTGAGGCATAGAAGAAATGTACCCCGTTTCTTCCCACCTCCTTTATTTTTCTTCAGCATGTTCTGCACTAAGATAGTCAGGCCTTATTTCACTTATTATAGTTTTGCTTATTATGGTTTAACACAGTGGTTCTCAACCTGTGGGTCGGGACCCCATTTGGGGTCAAACGACCATTTCACGGGGGTCACCAAACAACGCAGTCCGCCATTTTTTCCCCTTTTCCTTAGCTGTGCTACTCCCTTTTATTCTATTCTACTGTTGAATAGAGTCTAATTCTATTGCCTTTCAAAAGCCAATAGGAATTGTCCAGGCTGTCTCTGCCCTGCTGAGCCCACCAGAAGTCTCATTCTGTAAATGGTGCTGCATCAGTTGAGTAGTCCTCGACTTACGACCGGTTGAGTAGTCCTTGACTTACGACTGGTTGGGGGTCGTGGCATTAAAAAGGTTGAGAACCACTGGTTTAGCATAAGTCAAAGTTATATCTAACAATGCATTTAAACTGAAATTCTTACTTTCACACTGATCTGAAATCTCTGGAGAATGGGCTGCTGGTCAGCAAGTATTTCCATTTAAGTTATTTTCAAGTCCATCTTAATTTTTTTATTTTTAAAGTTTTGCACACATTTTTGGATTTGTACAGTTTTTAAAACAGAAATATCTCATTGCTTTGAATTCCTCTACATCTATTATGAAGAAATTTCTGCTATTAAAAGACTATAATTCCTTTTTTATCCAGTTTGAAAGACAATAGAATTGGGATTATGGGGATTGTAGTCAATTTGGAAGGCATTAGATGATGGAGAAAAGGCTGATAGAGAAATATTATTTTAATTATGTAGTTTTGGAACTGATCATTTAAACTAGGCCAGTTATTGTTAATACATATTGGGCAATAGGCTTTCAAATTAGTTATAAGAGATATACCATCCACACCTATAAAAATAACAAAGCCAAGCAATAAACAGAAACATATATATTTCTGGAGGAAAGAACAGAAAAGAATGGAATTCTTTTTCTTTCATCATCCTAACCAAAATTGCATGGAAATAGAAGAAACGGGATGCTTGTTTTCTGATGAATTTTGTTTACCTTAGTTTAGAGAAAAATATGATTAAGCAAATAGGCACTGAAGAAGCTAAGGAACGCATGGAATGAATTTATTCAATGAATCTTGCCTTTTCTTTCCATTAATGTCTATAACATCCTTTTCCTAACTTCAAGATGTTCAGGTTAGTTGGGATTATTACTTTATTATTGGAGAGATTTTCAACTACCATAGCCATACCCTTTGAAAGTGATGGGCAGTTCAGAAATGTTAAATAAATAAATATTAGATAGATAGATAGATAGATAGATAGATAGATAGATAGATAGACAGACTGACAGACAGATAAATAGATAGATAGAAATTTTCAAGAAAAAAACTGGACCATCATTTGTCCAAGACGGTAAGAGGACTCCTGCCTTGCATGCAGGGTTGGACTAGAAGATGTCATCAATCCTTTTGAATGCTATGATTCTATGAATCTTACTAGTGGGGTTATGTAGTTAACCATGACTGGAAGCCATTAGATTGTGAATTGTTCCAAAAACTCAAATTTGCAAATGACACCAAATTGGCAGGAGTATCCAACACCCCAGAAGATAAACTCAGGATCTAAAAAGAACTGGATAAACTTGAACAATGGGCCCTATCCAACAAAATGAATTTCAATGTGGAGAAAAGCACAGTTTTACATTTAGGCAAGAAAAATCAAAGATACAAGTACAGATTAGGTGAGACCTGGCTTAAAAACAGCAACTGTGAGAGGGACCTTGTAGTCCTAGTGGACGATCACTTAACCATGAGCCAGCATTGTGCAGCCATCACCAAAAAGGCTAATACAATCCTGGGTTGTATAAACAGAGGCATAGAATCAAGATCACATGAAGTATTGGTACCGCTTTATCAAACCCTAGTATGACCACATCTGGAATACTGCAGCCAATTTTGCTTACCATATCACAAAAAAGATTTTGAGAGTTTGGAAAAAATTCAGAGAAGAGCAACTAAGATGATCAAAGTTCTGGAGACTAAAACATACGAAGAACAGTTATGGGACTTGGGTTTGGCTAGTCTAAAGAAAAGAAGAAATAGGGGAAAGATAATAGTAGTGTTCTAGTACTTAAGGGGCTGCCAGAAAGGAGAGGGGGTCAAACTATTCTCCAAAGCACCATAGGGCAGGACAAAAAACAATAGTTGGAAACTGGTCAAAGAGGGAAGCAACCTGGAATTAAGGAAAAACTTCCTGACAATGAGGACAATTAACCTGTGGAACAGCTTGCCTCCAGAAATCATGGGTACTCCATCACTGGAGATTTTTAAGAAGAGGCTAGACAGTCAGTTGTTTGAGATGGTATAGGTTCTCCTGCTTAAGCAGGGGGCTGGACTAGAAGACTTCCAAGGTCCCTTCCAGCTCTATTTTATTCTTAAAAAAAGAGAGAGAGAGGGAGAGGGAGAGGGAGAGAGAGAGAGAGAGAGAGAGAGAGAGAGAGAGAGAGAGAGAGAGAGAGAGAGAGCTCCCTATTGAAAATGCTACAGAACAAATATGGTAAGAAATGTATTCAAAGGAACTGTTGAACATCCAAAAAGCTTGCTGGGATGATGTCATTCATGTTTAATATCTTATGCTGTCATGCTTTGCTTTTTTAAAATCAAAGCAAATGACTATATAAAGTCTTTTTGTTTCATAAAGAGATAAAACTTATGCTAGACAGAAAACCTAATTAAAGTATAGAAAAGTCAGGAAGCTGTATGTCACTGGAGAATTGAGTATACAAGGCAAGACAGGACATTACACAGAAATATTTTTTAATTATCTCAAGATGAATTAAGTACAGGGATTTACACCATCCGGGAAAAATTCTGCACAATTCTCTTTTCCTTTGATACATTTCAAGAGCTGACAGAAAAAAAAAATGTGGAATCTCTCTCTCAAACTGTCTTGCTAGGCTTGAAATAAGGATACTGATTCTGCTTCCAAGTGCAGAGAGTATTTCTGTCTGCCAGAAATGGAAGTGATGAAGACTTACTTGTCTCTGGATTTTTCCATCATCAGAATTGAAGATGAGAGGGCCTTTTCAATTCTAGTGCACCAACCTTAGCATGGTTTTTAAAGAAAGGTTTTCTAATGTTGAGTTTTCTTTTATGTTCTAATTATTAAGAAATAATATTTTTAGTCCTACATTGTACTGTCTTTAAGGAACTTCGTTATTGGGGTTGTTTTTAAACTCATTAATTTCTTATGTTGTAATTTGTATGTAAGCTGCTTTGAAAATCCTTGGATTAAAATGGAGAATGAAAAATAACAATAATAAATTAGGATGGAGTTGTAGAAGGTAGAATGGAAACAAAAGTGGGTTTGACAGCTGAGAAGACCTGCACAGCTAATAACCCATATCAAGCCAAAGATAAGCTAACATCTCTATATTTGTGGACTCAATGGACTCTTTTTTTCCATGATGCCAAGAAATAAAAAAAAGCAGTGAGAGAGTGTGTGGGACATAGTTCTACACAGCAGCTTGCTTGTCTTTGAGTCATAAGTTGCAGAAAAAAATACTGCAGCTGCACAAAAGGACCTTGTCCTTTAAATCTTACAATATAATAAGAATATAAAAAATGAAAAGAGAAATCAGAAAGATAAAAAGTAAATAAATAAGAAACATAGAAATTTGATTTCTGTCTTTTTTCCCTCTGTTCAGTGATCTTACTCTCATCTTACTCTCTTCTCCTTAACTCTTTTTTACTTCTGACCCATAAATAACTATTTCAATTCTTCTTTTTATATAAGGCTTCCAATGCAACATTCTTTATTGTTTCTATACAAGTACCTTGATTTCATGTCACTAACCACAAAGCATTTTTATTTTATAGATGCTTGTTCAAAAGACACGGACATTGGGGAGTGTGAAAATTATACTCTGAAGTGGTACTACCATAAACAGCGAAACATGTGCTTCCAGTTCTGGTATGGTGGCTGTGGTGGAAATAAAAATAGATTTGAAACTCAAGAAGAATGTGATGCTTTATGTGTGGTATCACCATAGTATGAAAATTTATAAACTGTATGCCTAGCTATGCACTAAATAAGAAAAAAGTAAAATGAATCAAATATAAATTCCCATCTTCAGATGAAACAGGTTTTTAAATTCTTTGTTGCAGAGAGGAAATCTGTATAATTCATAGTTGCTTGAATGCAAATTTTAAACAACAAGCATTCTTGTGTCATTTAAAAAACCAACATATTTGGCATTTTGGAGATCAGCCTGTGTATTGTCAACTTCTTAGTCCATAAGAATTTGTTTTCTGATGACTTTTTTGTTGTTGTTAGACTGAAGTTACAATCTTGTTCCCAATTACCTTAATAAATACTGTTGTACTCATGGAATAATGTGAATACAGTGATGTACTCAGAATTGTATTACAATACAGTGAGATTTCTGTTTCATTTTTAATGTCATTGTATTTCCATGCTTTCAGATTATCTACTTTGGGAATATTGAAAGAATTATGTGATTGAACAAAGAACATTTAATATAGATTACAAAATGAATAAAACTTGATATTGCTTTACAACACCTAAATATATATTTTGTTCAAAAGAAAAATAAAACAAAACAAAATATGATATTTCAGACAACTGTATATTTATCTTTAGTAAAACTAGATGTAGAAATGTTTTTTTTTAAGATGCATGCAGAAGTGCAGACAATTTTTTTAATATTGCTTTTTGTTAGAAATAAATATATTGAACAAAAACTCTTTTCTTCCTTTCACATGGACGATAGCTTGACAAAAAAGACAAAAGAGAGGGATGCCAGAGAGAGAAGGAGAGTGTGGGTTTATTAGAGAGGTAACAGCATCCTTTCTCTGTACCCCTTTTACTTTAGTCCTTCCTACTCTTTGGCTTCAACAGATTATCCAAAGGAGAGGAAGCCTTCCAGAAGAAAAACATTTTCTGTACATTGTTGTTTGTAATTCTTCAAACATTTCCCGAGTTATAAATAAGCAATGGGCTGGACATTCAGCCTCAGATTGATACTCTCTCATAAATTCCTTGCCCTCATGTTAAACAAATCTGACTGCCTCATGTCCTAATTAAAAAGAGAAGCTGGATCTTGAATTTGTGAAGGTCCATATGTTTAAAGAAGTTCTGAAGAGCTCTGCTATGTTCTCCTTTCCTGCTATTTTATGTATCCGTCCAAACAAGGTGAAACAGATGCATTTCTCTTGACTGGGAAATCTTAATTTTCAGTGAGAAAATAGTATAAGATAAATTGTATTTTTAATTCAGTGGAAAATCTTTTGAATTTTGGCACATATCAGTTCTACTTTAGTGGAAATGTTACTATAGTCCAAAACCGCAGATGTTTTCATAAAGTATTTTCTATCCATTAATGCAGGGTGATTTTTTTTGTACTTTAAAGATGAATAAACTTTTGTTCTTGCTCATACACAGTCTTCTTTTATTTGTTAGAATAAAGATCTTGATCACATAATACAAAATAGGAAAGGATTAGCATCAGGTGATATTCAAATATTTTGAAAACATACAGGTACATTGAAATGAACATGATAATAAATATTATACATATGCAGATAGAAATATATTACTTTCCTTTGTACAATGTAAAACAAATAACAATGCATCACTTTTTGAATCTGAAACTGTACAGATTTAATTGTCCAGGATATGGATTTTTTTTTGAGCAAGCATGTATAAACATGAACTATAATGTATGAGGAAAGCTCACTTTTAATTGAAATGTATTTGGATGAATATGATATATGCACACCAGGATGGAGAAGTTGCCTATAAAAATTTATAGCATGCTACATTCCTGTATTTTTAATATTCCTATTCATGCTGTGTAGAATTCCTAAATCCAGATGTATAGATGTCCAACTATTACATTTCTCAAAAATATCTTCAAATCGTTTTTCCATATGCGATATTTTACAGGCTACTAGAACAAAAAATAAACATATTCCAGCAAGCAAATTGAATACTTTGCAAATATGTTTATAGTTCTGACCTTAATAACTAGAACAATTCTGGAGAAATAATACAGTAAAACTATGATCTATTATTACCTGAGTAGTACAATTCCAAAACAGGTCTGTTAATCCAATTTTATTTAGATAATTTCTTTAATAGATGATTGTATGGTGTGGTCTCTTGATAGCACTGAAGTATTTGAGAAAGGACTCTATGAGGTCAAATAATACAGAGTGGATCTGGTGGGAAACCTTTAGTCAATCCACATTTGGCTGGAAGGAAAAAATGGTTCCTCTGAAATAGAAATTACAAGGTTTAATCCTGGATAGGCAGATTCCAATAAAAAGTTAGGACCTTTTCCTATACTAGAAGAATTAACAGAGGCTGGATATCAGCTTAATACAGGTAATCTTCAATTTATAACACTTTGTTTAGTAACTGTTCAAAGTTACAATCGCACTGAAAAAAGTGACTTATGACCATTTTTCATACTTATGACCATTGCAGCATCTCCATGGTCATGTGATAAAAATTCAGATGGTTGGCAACTGGTTTATATTTATGATGGTTGTGGTATCCCAGGGTCATGTGATCAACTTATGTGACTTTCTGACAAGCAAAGTCAATGGGGAAGTCACATTCACTTAACAATTGGATTACTACCTTAACAACTAGAATGATTCACAACAACTGTGGCAAGAAAAGCTGTAAAATGAGATAAAACTCACTTAACAAATATCTCACTTAGCAACATAACATTTGATCTCAATTGTGGTCATATGTTGAGGACTACCTACAGTCTCCTATAATTGCTTCTAAATTATAAATTGTTTTAATAGTAATTTTATTAAAATTACAATAATAATAATACAAATAAATAAATAAGAAAAAGAAATATAGGAAGCATGGAAAAGAAAAAATAAAAGCAGAAAAGAAAGAAAAGAGAATATAATAATGAAAAAGAAAAGAAACATATAAAGAAATGGCTTTCTCCTGCATTACAAGTATAAACAATTTTAGTAAGTTACATCCCAGCTTCTATCCATAAATAAATCCATAAAGCTTTATCATTTCAGTTTTAACATCAGCAAAAATCCATTAAGGATTACCAGAGTTAAAAACATATTGATTTTAATCTAGATGAAATAACTTTATATTTGTTGTAAGGAAAATAGGAGGAGGAAAGTGTGTTGGATATGTTGGCTAGCTTGAGTTATTTGTAAAATAATAAAAGTGAGTTACAAATTAATTAAATAAAATATAGTCTGCCACATGATTGGATAGTCAAATGCCTAGAAGTAACAGAAGCCAGTAGAAATATCAGAAGCTTTGGACTTCCGGTGGCGATGGCCACGTCGATGGCGGCTTTTTTCAGCCATCTGCCCTGGGATGTGTTAAAGCCAGCTGAGACAGCGAGCAACAGCTGTCTCGCGGCTTGGAACCTCTCTCCCTGGGTGAAGGGGAAGGAGGTGAGCTTTCCTCAGATAGTGGTAGAGCTCCCCGAGACTCCAAAGCTTTCTTTTTGGTGGTCGGAGGGTGAGAGCTCCCACGGAGTCTGAGGTGTCCTCCACATTCCAGGATGCCTTTGTCCTGATTTTTATCCAGGGCAAAGCTAGATGCTGCTTCCACATCTGTGCTTAAAGTGAATTTATGAGTAAAATTTAAAGCAGACAGAGCTGACCAGGAGAGATTAAAATGGTGATTATTTCGAGACTCCAGCTCTGGAAAAGGATTTATCTTTTCCTTTTTTTAAAAAAATCAAGAGTGGTGAAAAATGGCGCTGAGATGTTGATTCTTTGAGTGAAAGGACCGGAACTTCTATTTGAAACAATGTAACAGATTTGCTATTTATATAAAATGCAAGAATCTTCTTTTTTCTTTTAAGGGGGCTTTTGTTTTTTTTCTTCCCCCTTTTTTGGTATTTGTTGATTTTATAAGATTTTAGCAGACTTTTTAACAAGTGGTCTTAAAAATAAAATGGTTTCAAAGCATCTCGGAGCTTCTATTGTTTCTAAAGCCTCGATCTTCCTGGTAATGCAGACAGCTCAGCAAGCTAAGTTTAAGTTACCACCACCTTCTCCATCATTACCAGCATCTATACTTAAAGATTTACAGGAGGCCTTGGGAAATAAGGCAAGACAGATTAAAGAAGAGATGGAAGAATTTCTTGAAAATAAAATTAGGGAACTGAGAGAGGACATTGCGTCTGCGTTTCAAAAGTTTGTTGGTCATATAGATCGACTGGATGATCATATTGATGATGTTGTGGAAAATTTTGAAAAACTGGAAGATCGAATTGATAAAGTAGAAAATAAGGCGGAAATAACACAGGATGAAATTATTATGTTACAATATAGAGACATAGAATTTGCTTTAAGAATAAGGGGAACGAAGGAAAACACGCAAGAGGATTTGAGACAAGTGGTGGTAAAAGATATACCTTTCATTTTGGGGGCTGAGCCTGAAGAAATACTGAGAGAGACGGAAAAAGTTTTTAGGGTTAATTCAAGGGTTGCAAGGCAGAGGAATTTGCCATGAGACGTGGTTATTTATTTTTTTAGAAGATCACTTCGTAATCAAATTTTACAGGATTTTTATAAGCAGAGATTTCAAATTGCAACTCAAGATGTTATAATTTTAAAAGAAATACCTTCAAAAATTCTTAGAAAAAGAAAGGATTTTGCTTTTTTGGCTGATGAGCTCAAAAAATGACAGGTCCGGTTCAGATGGGAGATACCAGCTGGAATAGTGGTAAATTATGCAGGGATATATCATAGACTTAACACAATTTCAAAAGCAAAAGATTTTTACACTTCTGTTTTGAAGGCGGGCTCTCTATCATCTTTACGATCTGAGATTATAGAAGAAAAGTCGGAAAGGCAGCCGGTTGAAGATGCTATGTTATTGGATGTAGGAGACATACAGGCTGAACCTCTGCAGCAGTCTTTTGTGACAGAAGATTTTTTAAAGAAACCTAGAATGACTCGTGCAGCCTATAGACATAAAGTAAAAGAACAGCAGAAGGCAGATGTTGGAATAAAGAAAAGGAAATGATGAACTTTTGTAGTAGTTTTTTGAGATGGGAGATGTTTTAAAGGAATAGTGAATGATTTGTGTAGTATGTAGATGTAAAGAAAAAGAATAGAAGGTGATGATTTAGTGGAAAAGTTTAAATATTTGGGAGTATATATATTATAAAATTTTTAATTTAAAGTGTATAAAAATAATTATGAGATATTATGGGTAAATGTGTAAAAGAATTTAAATTCTAATGATTTCTGTTGGTGAGAATTTTAGTGATTAAGATGAATGGTTTGTTGAAACTTCTTAAGCAGGAGGGTATTAATAGATTTACTTAGGGGTGGGGAAAAAAAGCAAATAGCCAAGTTTATCGAATGTAAGTTTGTTGGTTGGGTTATATTGGAAGGAAAATTTTGTGTTTATCATGGATGAATGGTTGTTTAAAAGAAATATACACCTCAGCGTGGAGAAGATGGATAAATTACATGTAGAGTAAATAGAGTTGATATGGGATTAAAAAGTATTATTTAGATTATGAATAATTTTTAGTTTTTTAATTGGAATTTTAATTTGGAATTGGAATTGCTTATATTGTTTATATATATAAACATCTTCCCTGGTCCAACACCTTAAAGCCACAGGACATGAAATTGACTTTAAAAATACCAGAACCATTGCCAAAAGTGAACATTTTAATAACAGAATAATCAGAGAAGCCATCAAGATAGAAAAATGCCCA